AGAGAGAGAGAGAGAGAGAGAGAGAGAGAGAGAAAAGAAGAAAGAAAGAAAGAAAGAAAGAAAGGAAAGAAAGAAAGAAAGAAAGAAAGAAAGAAAGAAAGAAAGAAAGAAAGAAGAAGAAAGAAAGAAAGAAAGAAAGAAAGAAAGAAAGAAAGAAAGAAAAAGAGAGAAAAAGAAAGAAAGAAAAAGAAAGAAAAGCAGGGACCCGACCTGCTCCAGACGGTCCCTGCTACCCTCCCCGACCCCAATGCTGCCCGGGGCTCCGGCCCGGGGGGTCCGGGAGGATCCGAGGGGGCCGGTAGGGGCCGGTAGGGGTCTGGGGGGCCGGTAGGGGACCCCCGCCGGCCACCGCGGACCCCTCCCGCTTTGGCGGTGCTGGGGGTGGCCCGGGGAGGCGCTCAGGTGCACACAGCGCCGGGGCGAAGAGGACCAGGTGGTGCTAGAAAGAAAAAGGGAACAGAATGGAACAGGGCAGAAGAGAACAAACAAACAGACAAAACGAAAACCAAGCAAAGAAACAAAAAAACAAACGTCGGAAAATCAGAAAATGGATGCAGGGGCTCCCCAGACCAGCGGCATATGCGAGGCGTTATTTTCCACCGCATGCCCCTGGTTATCTGCCGCAACGCCACACAGAGGTTCCTGATTCCCGCGCGGTCATGCCAGGCTATAAACCACCTCTGTGATGTTTAAGGGCAACGAGTCCCGAAGCCCAGAACTCTCTGCTTGCTTCACAGGTTCTCTTACCACCAACATATTTTTTTGTCATGGCACCTGCCCAGTTTCTGCTTTCAAAAATGGGAGTTTTGCCCATCACAGCACCCTCTGGGACTCTGCAGACCTCAGGAGAGTTACACCGGAGATTATTTGTTCCTAGCTGAAATAACTGCTTGTGGCTGTACTCAAATAGAAAGTGATCCAGCAGAGTCCATCTTTTACCAGCCAGTGTGGGCTACCAGCAGAGTCATCAGCTAGTGCTAGCTGGCTCTTTCCAAGAGGATCCAGCCTGCAGCCATTCCATCCCTTCCCATTACTGAAAGTATTTCAAGACTCTTCCAAGAGAGGTGAGGCCACAGCCTTGAACATCATCCAAGGAGGAAATAGAAGGGAGTTCACCTCTCTGATTTTCCTAGCGCCGTCGAAGCCAGACTGCTCCAGACAGAGGCACTGCACGTTGCGAGGTGATGTCAGTCAGTGCTGCCGTCTTCCAGATAAGTCATCTGTTAGATATTCACTTCTTACATCCTCCTCCTCCTCACCATCCTGATTTGATTTACTAAGTGTACTGCAACCATAGCAAAAACTAAGGCAGGTCACTTTCTAAATAATTCATTAGATGTAGCTGAACAAGACAAATCTTGGTCTGAAAAGGGCTGGACAACATGCGAACTGTTATTATAGGCAGAGCTGGCAGGGGCTTATCATTTTCCATCCTACATCCCTATGCTCATCTGATTATGATTTTGCCAAATCTAAATCATTCAGGTGGAAAAAAAAAATCTGAAATCTGTTCTGGGGGAATCTGCCTCATGCTGAGTACCTTTAAGGTTTCAGCAAAACTGCTTCAGCTGTTTCTGAGCATTAGGTTAGAGGAAATCAGATTCTTTTGCCAGCATTTAGGTATCCTTGCCTTGTACTGAAAACCTGTGGTGCTCCACCACTAGGGAAACTTCAGGAGATGAAAGTGTCATGCAGAAAGTCAGCCAGGGGTTGCTTCTTTGGTTCTTCCTTTGCTCTTCCACCTGGGGCTGTAGTTTACAGTCACACAAAATGATCCCAAACCTCTGTAGAGAGACACCAATGCCTCTGTAAGGTTTTGGGCCTGATTTGGCTCTCCAATGACTCAAAGAGCTCTTGCTTGACGCTGAGTATTTGTGGGTATGAGACATGTTGCTAGCAGTGTGCCCTTTTCCTATATGCTGCTGTCACCATCTCTGTGGAAAAAAAAATAATAATAATAAAAAAGGCACAGAATAGCTTTAATGGTGCTTTAGAGTCTTGTCAAAGATTTCCAAGCCAACATATGCCAGAACCTCCAGGGAGCACATGGGTAAGGTGCTTCCATTTCCTCTAGCCCCCAGTATTATTATGTTAATACCTCTTCTGGGACACCTTGACTCTGCAAAGTGGGATATGCAACATTTATGGCTCTGTGGTGGAAGGAAGGAACACATGGCCCCATACAATAAACATACCCTAATACCTCTTTCTTTCTGGACTGGGCTGTCCTAGCAAGTACAGTGATACCAGCTTCTCGAAACCAGAGTTTAAATCTAATTCAGCTCAGTGTGACATAATTCACCAGTTTTCTTCTGAATTGCAAAAAGGCATCCTAAGAAACTCTGTTTAAACTTTAATGTTTTTTGGAATGCAATTTCCTAACCCTTCCTTGGCCCAAACAGTTTCTTATCTGACCGTTATGAGAATGTGGTGAACAATGCTATGAAAAACAAAGCAATATATTGTTCCTTACAGGCTCATATTTCCTATATATCTGCCACCACAAAACATGCACTATTCTGGATCCTGCCTATGAGTGCAATTGAAAGCTCCTTGGTTAATTATATTTATTTGGGGTGATGGCAAGAGTAACATGTTAAAACTTCTCTATATTCTTATGTGTTGGCTACACACCTCAAGATTACACCCAAAAACACATATAATTCCCAGGGGCTAGATTCTCTCTCACATCTTGCACAATCATTTACGTAAGTGCAAACTGAACATAAAATGCTGCTAACACAGACTACTGGCTACTGTACACCCACTCTGTGTTGATGTAAATGACTCTAACAAGATAGCAGACAATGGAGAATCTGCCTAAACTACAGTGATGACAAAACACCTTTTTTTTTTTTTATAACAGCATAATCAGAATACAGAATATTGTACATTTCAAACAGGACTTGTGCAGCAAGATTGTACATTGCAAGAGTTCCAGCAGGTCCAAAGTACACACGGCTAAATTTGATGTCAGTAGGAATTAGGTATGAATGGGGAGTGTTACTTAGTTATTTTTGTTAATGTTTTCCAGAGCTTACACATTCACTCTACATTTTTTAGCAAACTTTATCATTTTGGCATCATAAAATCAATCCCTAGGTAGGTTTGTTTTATCTGGAGCAGATACATGCATGCAGTTGTTAATAGTCAAATATAGAAGCTTACAAGAACAATCTAGCTAACAATTAATGGCTGTTTAACTGCGGAATTAGAAGGATGGATCTGAAATCTGTCCTCATCTGAAAAATAGACTGCTAGACTCCCAGGTCCAGAAGCTCTTCAAAGGCTTCATTTCCATGGGTAGGAGCCAAAATCTTGGGTAGAGTTGGCGGTAAAAGGCCAGCAGAGGAATTGCCTTAGAGACAAATTCAGAACTTGTGTAATGGTTTTGGAGTCCATTGAAGCTGATGATCTTCAGAGGCAAATCATGTAGCTTTTCATAACAGCGTGACAGAATTTGCCTTGATGGTTGCATATGGAAATATCATGTAAAGTACTATATTAAATGGCAGAAATAAAAGGAAGAATCATTATCATGCCAGTATATCCTGCTAGTTCATGCCAGAGGAGGCAGGAGAGTTACTGCTAGGTCTGATGACAGTATGGGGTCTCCCGCTAGTGGCAAAATCTCAGTGTCACAGAACACTAATGGCACTTTCAGCTGCCCCAGGAATATTGGCACCCACTGAATAGGACTTCTGCTTTGGGACGAGGACTTGGGATGATGCCACAGCTCCTGGAAGAGCAGCCAACATGGCCTTCACATGGAGCTTGCTCCTCTCAAGTAGAATTTGGGAACACCAACTTCTGAATTGTCCAGCTCTGCCAACAACTCCATCTTGGGCCCAGGCAATGCTATCATGGAGTGGAGAGGAAACCCACATGATTAAGTATGCAAAGCAGAAAAATCTGATACTTTCCCCAGTCAAAGAAAGATGGTAGTGGTTCCATTCTATGTGTGGAATATAGAAGCAATTGACATCCAACCTGGAACGTTTTGTTGTTTTCTGTGTTTGGAAAGCATGCATCATTTAATAAAAAGAGCCTCATATCAGTTCTGTATCTGCTGTTGGCTGTCTAAGCAGATGTGAGCTCGAGCTGGCTCAGAGAAAGGTGTAGGTGAGCATCCTGAGTGGGCTTTTGCTGTGTCTGGTTTCATTCACCGTCTGCAGCAGTAATCCCTTGTTAGGCAAGAAACTGTTTGCATCTCTTCAGCATTTGGAATTAAGGGAACACTTTTGCAAAATGGCAACCTTTGCTGCTCTCAGTTAGTTTATTTCATAGCCTTTCTTTGTTTGTTTGTTGCTATGTTTATTTCCCTTCTCTGGAGCCTGGTTGGAAACTTTATCTTGATTGAGCTGTTGTGTTTCTACAGTTTGCTTCTCCATGTCAGCAGTGCTGGTTGGGGAAACCTGTTGAAATGCTTGTGCAGCTGAGTGGAGCTCTCCTGGCAGACATGCAGTCAGGCTGATAGCAGGGTGTGTGGTACCACATACAATTACTGCTGAATGGAAACTGGGACAGCAATATACACTGGGATGGCAATATCTACACCACAACCCATACTGATTATAATACTTTTTGTAAAGGCAAAACAAAAACTAAATCACACTTGGCATGAAAATTAATACATTGATATAAAATCTGTCTGTCAGACCTTATGTATGAAAGATTCCAGTTCTTTTCTAATACTTCAAGAATTGGGTTTAACTAGTTTTTCAGAACAGCTGCTCTTTGTCAATCCTTCCATAGTTTGACCGTCTCATAATCTTACCTCATCCTGGTATTGAGGCCTGAAACTGTAGGTGCAGACATTGGAGTTTTAGTGTTGCAGAATTGAAACCATAGCCCAGAGGTTTTCTTGAACCCAAACTATAACCTCTGAGTAAAACCTGATGCAGATGCTAATCCAAAATTTGATCTCTGGCCATAGTTTATTGTAAAATGTTTGCTCAAAAAACAAACAAACAAAAACAAACAAAAACAAACAAACAAACAAACAAAAAACTGCAGCAAAATTACTATAAAACAACCCAAATAGGGAGCTGAAGAGTATCCTCAGCAGCCAGCTGATAGCTGATGAGAAGAGGCAGCAGGACTTAAACCCAGAGCTTATTGTTACATCCTCATAGATGCTTGCATGCTGTTCAGTTGCTGAATTATCAGACTAATTCAGAGACATTTAAAGTACATGTTTCTGCAGCCATGTTTTTTGGATCAAGCACACGCATGAAATGCCTGGAGAAGAAGCACCACATCGGGTCCCCACGTTGTTCCTCTTCCTAGCACAGTTAACAAATCCCCATGGTTCGAAAGTGTGTCCTCTTCTACGGACTCTGAGGAAATGATAGGCAATGACATTTGCTGGGATCATTCATAAAATGAGCAGTGAGAAATGTTAAGCTTATTGGTCACATGCCAATCCATGTGGTTGTTCACATGTCAAGGTACAGCCAAAGATACAATCTGCATGTGAACAAACACAGGATTTTAAAAATCTGTTCAGACTCACTGGATACACAGAGCATCTGGGGAGAAGATGCAGAAGGCAGACTGCTCACCAGGACAGAGACTTCAGAGACTTGCAGATGGTGGAAAAGTCTCACTAATAATAGAATCAAAATAGACCAAAAATCCCTCGTACGATATTATTAACATATACTAGAAATTAACTGGAAAAAAACCAACATGTCTTTCTTTTAGAAGATCTGATTTTACACTGTCCTCTGTATAGTTGTGTTTTAAGCTTATGTAATCTGACTTTGGGAAGTTTAAACAATAACAGTAATTTTCTTAAAAGCTTAATGTAAATTAATATTTCAGGATTAACTAAAACAATCTAACCATTTTAAATTGAGAGTAGAGGTAGCTCACAGTTATTCACTGAAGAACTTCTGACAGCCTGGGAGGAACTGGTCAGGAACTACCTGACTTTCGCCATTACTTTTCCTTCCAGAAGATTTGTTCCTGAAGGAAGGAGTATTCTTCTGCAGCTTCTGATGCACCGAAAATCTGACCGTAAATCAAGGCAGATTTAATTGGCCTGTGATTACAGAATCATGTCAGAACTGCCTACATCTGAAGATAATGTGCCTCAGCCAAGCTCTTCATTTCTGTAGCTTCCCAAGCTGCTTTTCTATTGGTTTTCTCTCATTCAGATTACGTCACATTTCATACCAGGACAGAATCCACTGGGAGACATGACCTTGCTCTTTATGTATCCTTCATAGCACCCATTTGACACCTGTAAAATATTAAACTGTAAGAATGTATGATAAAGTCAGTTAGTCCAGATAAGTGTGTGCTACAGACAAACCAGCTTGTTTGGTAGACAGCACCATGGCCTGTCAAAATCTCCATGTATATCACTGAAGAATAAATTCCTAAAGAGTCAGCATGCTCTAGATAAACAGAAAATCACAGAAACTAGCAGAAGGAAAAAGTCTGCTGCACCATGTATACTCTTCAAAACCACGGTGCAGTTACATTTGTTGTAACTCATCTTTCACGTTCTGCCCATCGCTTTTTCATTCCATGCTGCAGTTCTATTTCCTAGTTTTCTTCATACTTAATTTATTATATGGGCTTTGGAAACTGCAGTCACCCTGTCCACATGTTTCAGGACATAAATAGGTTCTTACGAGTACACAGAAACCTATGGATATAGCCTAAACAGAACTAATTTACATATCTGCCTGCACCTTAACTTGGACGCAGGGATGTGCTTTCTTCAGAGAATGCCTGAACCAAGGTTGAGGTCTTGCCAGCATTGCCACAGACCAGAGCACAAATGGGACACAAACGGTGCTGCTCTCTGCTTTAGGGACTGGCAGAGCAACAACCCCAATGAGCCTTTCTGCTGGCCAAGGGTAGGTGGCTCGAGTGGCCCCCAGCACACAGGAGCCCTTCTTTAGGGTGGGCAATGTTACTAATGACTGTGCCCACACCTCTCACCACAGGATAACCTATATATAACCCATAACCTATACTCCTGGCAAACGCACCGGAGACCTTGAAAGGCCGGGTCAAACGCAGACATCTGGCAGGGCTGTGGATGATGAAGTACTGTTATTACATTTTATTTCTGCTAAGCTGGTCGTTACTTACATTACCCTCTTGCACCACACTAACCTAGTGCCTCTTATTCCTGCAGGTTTATGCTTAAAACATTATTTAACAGTTATTATGTCATCTTATTCCTGAAGTGTTGATTAGCAAATTCTACATCGTCAGCTCTTTATGCTTTTTCTCATCAGCCAGTTCTTCCAAGCATAGAGCTACAGTTGGCTCTTCTTCTCTGAACTTCCTCCAGCTTGTCTTCCTGGTAACGAGGTGCAGAGAACCACGCTCACCTTTTCCAGATGCTATCTCGCCTCAGTTCCAAGAAGAGAGGCTCGCTCTCTCTTCCCTGTGGTGTGTCTCTACCGAGAGCCTCGAAACATATTGAATTTTTTTAACCATTGTATCACCTAGCTAACTCAAATGCAAATGCAGAGGCCCTCCTTGCCTGGAGCACTAGTGAGAACATTTTCTTCACCCAGACAGAAAGGGAAGACCGCAGACCTTGCTTTTCTTACAAAAATTGTCATTTTTGTAGGGAGTTCTGATTGTTTTCTGACTCTGCGCTAGTCGGGTAAATTGGTTTATTTATGACAGGGAGAGGAATGATAGGAAGTACTAACTAACCCTGTACTAGTGGTCAGAGTAACAGAAAAACAAAGCTGGTTTCCATTTCTCCGCACTGAGACTGATTTTCCATTGTCGTACCACATTATCTTCCCATTTAAGTCTGCCCATGTAATTCTGTTGTGCATCCTGTAATTCTGTTTTAGCGGGTTTAAAACAAACAAAAGGAAGTACTTTTTCACACAGTGCATAATTAAATTGTGGAACTCGTTGCCATGGGAAGCTCTGGATGCCAAAAGTACAAATAGGTTCAGAAAGGGAGAAGACAAATTAATGGAGGATAGGTACATTGATGAGTATTAAACATAGTGGCTTGCTTACAATGTTTGGCTCAGGAAGCCCTTACGCTGCTGTTTGATGAAAGCAGGAAAGGATTTCTCCAGCAGTGCCTTTTTCTCACACAGTTCCCCTCAGTTACCTCGTCTAGTCACTGCCAGGAAGATACTGGCCTTAATGATCTCTCTTAATATGGAAGCTCTAATGTTCTTCTCCTAATGCAAGACACAGATGTCAACAGATGCCTGCTAAATTGAAAGAGTTATTTTTAAGCTGAATGTTGACTCCAGCACCTCGGAATTCCTCTTTGGACATTTTTATCAGATCTGATCCAGCTGACATTAATGCCTGGAGTTTACAGCAAAGTGTATTACTGAAGTCAGGTATCTTAAGGTTTCAGGACTGCTAGGTTTGTTGGTGCAGCCAAAGTTTGGTTTTGCAGATAGTATTGGTTGGATCAACGTTGTTGGGGACTGATGGCAAGAGGAAACCTGTTATCTGTGCTGTGAGAGTTGTATCTGCTCTTGGAGCTCTCTCCCCTCCCTGGAGCACCACTGAACAAACGCTCCCACCAGCCAACATGGTGCCATCTCTTCTTGTTGACTTTGCTCTGTATTTGCTGATTTATCAGCCTCTCCTCAGACTTCTCAGTCTGTCTAAACTGAAGAACAAAATGAGCACAGCCAGACACACACACTCAGAAATGAGGAGGCAGCAGGCCAGTGAGGCAGGGACTGGGTCCCTGGCCCCACGGTTGCTGCTCTTGCCGGGGTGGAGAGCCTCACCCCACAGGCTGCACCAGTCTCCCCAGTCCAGGAGAGGGAAAACTGGCCCTCAGCTCTGACATCATCCTTAGTCGCTTTCATATCTTGTTCTGTGTGTTTGGCCACAAAGTATGCAGCTTGATTTTATCTGTGTTGCTTTGTCATTTAGGTCTCTCTCTGTATCATTCAGAATGACAGAATTTCCTTTTGGTCACTACTTTGTTTCCCTACTTTTCCTGCATCAGCTCTGACTGTGTGCTAACTGCTTTATTTACTGCAGATAAATTCACTAAGGAAATGTAATGAATAAGAATCAAGTGATTTATTTGTAGTGTGAAGAGAGCCATGTATGTTTATCTCCATTATGTTTGTTACAATGCACGTGGTTAAAGGCCAGAAAACGATCTGTTGGCTAAGGGCCTACCTCACCGGGAAGTTAATGGAAATGCAAGATCAAATGAAGTAGCTCAATTCTCTCTTTGCCAACAGAAGCCCTGAAGTACAAGACAGTTCCTTGGATTTTTAAGATATTTTTTTTCAGATGCTTTGGTCGCAAGAGGAAGGCTGACTGCTTAATCTGACCGAACTAGCTATCTGCTACTCCAGCTCCATCACGTAGTACTACGTCTTCAGCATCTCCTGTGTTATTAATGCAAATTTGCTAACTGTTGGTATAGCTACTTGACTCATATGGTGGTAGACTCTGCAGAGTGAAAGCTTAAATCCAAGTCAAGCACTGGGAGCAGCTCTGGTTCTCTCTTCTTCCCTGAGCACATGCACTACTGGGATGGTGAACAGGAACTCCCAGCAAGAGATGCAGCAGTGACTACTGCAGCACTGTGCTGCCAGACAGGGAGGGAAGAAGACCATGGTCCAGCAACTCTGGACTGGAAAATGGGAACCAGGACAACTAACCACTGCCACAGCACGCTGCTGGATCTCAGGTCATCTCATCTCTCTGTGCCTGTCACCTGCTCCCCAGCCAGTTTTTTAGACTATAGTGTTCTAGAGGTATGGTCTATACAGTGTCCTGTTCAGGGAACTCTAGGAGTGCCCATAATTTTCAAAATCATTTTTACACACACAGTGATCCAAATATTCAAGTTATCAAGCCTTGTTTTACCAAGAAGTTAAGATGCCCCCATGAAAAATTATGATCTATCTTTTCTCTCTCAGTAAGTTAACATACCAGTCCTCAGTTTTTCCAGTGTCAATTATTCTTGCCTACACAGACTGGGGTGCACTACACATGGTACAGAATATTCCCTACAAATAATAGGTTAAAATAAACAGCTGACCCAAGCCTAAAGGCAAAGAGCTAGTCCTGGACAACGGGCAAGATAATCAAGGAATAACTAACACAGATAATCAGCAAATCAGTCAAATGAATTGATTTGGCTTTGGCTGGCGTCCCTGTTTCTGCCTGAAAGCTTCAGTGAAATCCAAATAAGTGGCAGTTATCTTACTGTCTCTTCCTGTTATCTGACTCTAATGACAGCAGGGGAGAGAGGGGGAAATCATGTCTTTGAACAGGATCATGGCCTTTCCTTTAAAGTAAATACTACATCAAAATGGAAACTGCCTGAAGAATGAGCCTGCCTTGGCCTAGTTCTGAGCAGATTAATATATTAAATCCAGACAATATTGGATTCTTGCAATGGCTTCTGCACCTTCACTACAAACAGACACACAGAAAATCAGAAAGTTGTATTTATAATGACCTGAAGGTGGCTAACAATGCAGTGTGAGGTAGCTGTGAAGAGTCAAAATGCAGCCAAGGCATCTGTATTTTATGTTTCAATAAATGTCTTTAACATTGAAAAGTACAATATGAAAATTCAAAGTGAATGATCCTTATCCCAGATTCATCTACACACTTGTAGCATCCAATTCAAAATCACGATCTCCTTGGTTTTCTGCAGAGTGGTCAGAAACAAGAATGGCACCTAGCGCTGAGGTTTCCATCTCTATCCACCTTCAGACAGAGCAGAGAATGACTGGGTTCTCATTTAGGTACCACAGAGAACATCAGTTTTAACTATTTTGTTAAAACAAACAAAACCAACAACAAACAAAACCCATATCAAATATTCATTCTTACACCACAGTTTAAAACAGTCTTCCTAAAGTCCTCCATCCTTCCTTTGAGTACTGGTTCCTGAAGAAACAATGACACGTTCCAACTTTGTAGTGTTATGGCACTACTGTCATTAGGTTTGAAGATATTATTTTAGGTACTTTTCCAAGGTCTCTAACATTTTGAGTGTTCTTTCATATTTTCAAAAGATTGTACCCAGATGGATAGATGGCACTGAGGGGTGGAGAGATATAGATCATAAAAATAATACAATTTAAAAAGACTAAATAATTTTTTAATACTTTCAGCTCTGGAAGGTTCACATTCACTTCCTTAATAATTATGGTTTTTAATGAGAGGAGGAGAGGACACATTATATTGTATATCCAAGATTTGTTTCAACATATTATTCTGAAAAAGTTGCTGCCAAAATTGAGAAGACACTGGCCAACATTTTTGCATATTATACTTATACTTAGCATTTTGTTTCATTTTACTTCTAGAACTTTAAAAATGTTTTGACTCTGATTTGCTGGAAAGAAAATGAGCTGAAAGTGAGGTTTCAACCTGGACTGATTTTCAAAGCATTAGAAAATAAAAATGGAAATGCTGGAAAATGAAATGCAGTCTAAAAATGTTCAGAGACAATTAAATGTAATAGAAAGAAAGCACCTATCACTTAACTGAATTTTCGCTGCTAAAGCAGTTTTATGTTTACTATCCACAGGTACTAACATTTATGATAGTAACCTTTATAGAGTCAATTTAATTATCTTTATCTTATTACAAATAATAAATTTAGTTGTCCTACAATGAAAATCAATTGTCAACATAAGCTATGGTTAACATCTAATAAAACAGCCCTCTGTAAATCCATGATTAATAAGATTGGCTTCTGTATTAACTAACAGACATCATAAAATTTCCTTCCTTGCATTAATCTGTATATTCAAGGTTCATCCTGTTGGACTGAGTTTCCTAAAATAAACTGTTACAGTGAATGAGCAAGATTTTGGCGCCTACCATTACTGTTATAACCATTTTAATATATATCTATAGCTGAATGGTTTCAAAATTAATGTCGTATTTTAATTAAGTCATAGAAGATGCTGGCTATAATGAATAAGCGATTCACTTCTTTGTTTCCATTAGTCTCTGAACATAACACTAACGTCACTTATGTTTAGTTTTGAGGGTTAGTGAAAGCTGAAATATGTAAAAACAGTTTCCCCAAACAGCCTTTACATACTACAGTAGTTCAGTTACTTCACTGTCAACAAAAAGATTGGTATCTAATCCCTCAGGAATATCTGAATAAGATATTAACAATCTATCTTAATAATTTACTTCCAAAGTCAAAGTGGTGGTCCTCAAATTCATCAAGAAGTGATGTTCCTGAAGATAGGGGACATCTGCTGTGTGAATTTGTGTGCACTATTTTCTAGGCTTAGTAGGCTCTCCTTTCTGTAATAAACGTTATGCCTAAGGATACTGTGGCACGATCTAGTGGCCACTACCATCAGCACGAGCTTCAACAGATATTGGATGAAGTATTGTAACAGCAGAACAATAAAATCCTACCTATCCTGAAAGATCTGAAAGTCATTTTACAAATGACTTTTTTTACATTTTTTTTTTTTGACAAATTTTACAGTTACTTTACAAAGAAACAGAAGTAGATATGCTTGAAATACCTGTAAAACAACATGCAGAATTAGGAAAAACTGCTAGGATTGCCTAGCCAAGTCCTAAATGTCATGAAATCTTTAGTGGCCATAGAGCAAAGAAAGCCCTGGATTTTTTGTTCTTTAAAGCATCATTATCAAGTTAGTATGTACCTGGGAAAATAGGAAATTTGATCCTTCACCTTATAACTTTTATATAAATCAAGTGACTCCAGTAGGATTACCCCCATATAAAACTGTACACGTGCAGAGGGGAAACCAGTAGTTTGAGAAGCAGCAATCATTATTATTACTCAAATGGCTAGGGAGAAGAAAAAGATAAGCATCTTTCCACATATTTAATCTGTTTTGTTTAGTATTTGTTGTCATAAACACTAAAAGAAAATAATAACAAAAATAGTAGCAAAGAAAATATTATTCACTTTGAAAATTGTTGTTAACTAGGCTAAAAAAGATTTCCCTTTCAATTAACTTCTGCCAATGAAAATACAATTCTTTATCACATAAAAAATATCTTCATCCAGTAGTGCTCTGAACACTGCCGGAATTATAGTTGAAACTTATTAACAATTGAAAATAATCATAGCTAGAAAGATTTGAAAAGTAGTTTATTTCTATGTAAACCATTTATTTCATTTTTATGTTTTGGTCATTTTTTAAAAAAGAAAATATACCAGTTAAGTACGAAGTTTCAGTTATTGTGTCTCTTTCTTTGAATTACAATAGTTAGGTTATGAATAGACCAAGAAAGTCCCCAAAATGTTTCAAGTGTAACTAATGAAGTCAAAGAAACATTTACAGAGGTTTAATATTCTGGATAGAAAAAGAAACAATCCAGTTAATCTCCATTATTATACAAAATCTAATTTTGTGCCACCTGAAGGCTGACAGTTTTTCCATGAAGTACTGGAAATAGTTCTGTGATATTGTTTGCAACAGGACAAGCATGCAAGTTATTGAACATTTTTTTCAGTACTCATAAAAATGACAACTTGTTCCTATCTTTTTTCCTGAAAAGAGAATGTTAGACCAAGCATTTGCTTCTTTTTAATCCATCAGAAGAGCACTTACCTAGTGATAACATGCTCTCATTTTAGTACCTGGGCCCTTTAGGAACCAAAGAAATCAAACATTATTTTAGAATTCTTCTGAAGGTAGTAATCTAAATATTCACTTAGCTGCACTGTGTTCGTACTGACTCATGGACTTTTAACATTTTTAAGATTGAATGTAGCAATTCTGCTGTGGATTGGGTTTGGTTTCAACCTACAATAACAGCCTGCTATGCTAGGTGGTCTAGATCTCACCTATAACACTGTCATATAAAGCCTACTAATGCAAAACCAATGCAAAACCTGGCATGATTTATTTTTATTTAAGTTTATAAAGCAACTCTGTGGGTGGGCAGACAGTTTATAGAACATAGCCCTCTACCATAAAAGTCATTTCTAACAGGAAAAAGAAAAGTAGTAGTCAAATGGTTGTTGGTTGTAAACACTTGTTTAAAAAGTGTGTATTTACCAACTGTATATTTTAGAATCTTTTTTTTTCTTCCTCCTATTTTTAATGCTCTAGAACATTAGAGCTCATTTTTCCCCTCCAACACTTGATGGAAAATGAATTTCAGTATTTAGTTTTATTTTTCCAGCTCTAACTTTAATTTTTCTTTTATCACTCCCAGAGAGTTACAGGCTTCCCTCTTGTTTCCTCTACTCATTTAAGAGATGATTATTGGGATGACTGATGCTTAACAGAAAAAAAGAAAGGTAGAGCCTAATAGCTAAGCACCTTCTCCTCACTGGTTGCATAGAAGTGCTTCTACTACTTGAAATAAAAGCAGCCAAGCACAGCAACCAGGCAGCTTAGTTGTTTTTCCCTCTCTTCAAATAATTATTGCAGCCCCCAACAACTCCAACACAAGTGCCTCAGCTGCCCCATTTTCAGGAAGAAGCAGGAAGCTTCCTTTCCTCCACTTTCTCTTCATATCACAGCTCTTTTTTTGACTTAGAAAATGTTCTTATTTTTCTTTCCACTTCACTATGTCACATTATTCATACCTGCCTTCTTTTTTTTTTTTTTTTTTTTTTTTTTGTAAATAAAGAGCTATCTCACTTGGCTGCTAATCTAGAATCAGAAAAAAAAAGCTGGTCCATTAGAACACAGCTATATTCCTCAGTCCCAGTCACACCACAACTCTCCCTCATGCTCAGCACAACTAATTGAGCCAGGATATTATCTTGCTGTTTGTTTTGTAGAAACAGCTTCCTTCTCTTCTTATGAATTATAATTTCTAATGAGACAAATTGAAACCATTCTATAAACTAGCCTAATTTCCTCTGTTTGGGTTAAACCTTGTGAATCCAGTAACTATGTATAAGAAAAAAAAAGCCAAAAAACTCTTCTCTTAAACAAAAACAAATAGGTTTTTCTTCCTATTTCAGGGACTGTGCATGCAACAAAAAAAAAAAAACTAAAACAGCAGGTCAGGAGAAGTATTTAGTTACAGTAAGCTTTGCTTATTTTTTGCTAAAGGCACAGGTTTGATCATTTTTTTCTTAAATGTGGCTCTTCGTTAAACAAGCCCTTGCCCAAGCTTGAATACAGAATTATCCTCCCTGAAGCATAAATTTGTTATTGGTTTTAGAACCCTGTACTTTTAACAGATGTTTTTCAGAAAAATTAACGAAGCACCTGTTCCTAAGCCCTGGTTAGTGACCTGTGCTTGAGCTTTGAACTAACACTTTAGTGTTAGAGCCATCTAGTGGGAGAAGAAGTGCCGGCAGGGAAGCAGAGGTTCTTGCATCCAAAGCTTTCCTCTTATTCAGCTTTCTGGTGTAACCTCTGGGCACCAGGCCCGATGAAATCTGTCATGCTGGTATTGCAAAAAAAAAACCAACAAAACAAAAACAAAAACTATGAGAGGTAGTTTGAGAAAAGTAAGCAAGGAGTCCATAAGATTCATACATCATTTAGGAAAGCAGCCTGCACCTGTACCAGGGCAATGCAAACAGCTGAGGGGACAGTTTCATAGAAGATAAAGCCAAGAAGCACAGATTGTGGGCATGGTTTTCATGGATGTGACCTGTCTTCAGCAGAGGTTGTTCCATTTTGTTCATACTGATCCTATGAACACCATAGGGAAAACTAAGTAGCAGAGTGAAAGGTTAAAGGCCAAATGAGAACGGCCATTCACACAAAGCTATGCAATCAGCTCTTCTGCCAGAAGTTTAATTCTTAAGTATTTTATTGAACAGTCTTGGAAGATTTTACTATAATCTAGTCAACGATAATAGTCATAGTGCAAAAACCTAGCTCCTAAGGTCCATGATGATGCTTCTGGTGCCAGAATCCCACAGTATGCCAAGCCATGCTGATGGGAAGATTTTGACAGCTAAAGCAGTCTTTTAAAAGCCTTTCAAGGTTTTGAGGTTTCAAGCCTCATGCCACAATGGAATGATCTAGTACATTAGCTAGTACACGTAGCCAAGACATCACAAAAAAAACAAAACAAAACAAGGAAGTCTGTGTGGAAGCATAGATGTCTCATTCATTTGAAAGGGAATTAACGTTTTCCCTCTTTCTGCGATCCTGCTAAGGAAAAAAAAAAACTAGCTTTGCCAACAAAGGCTAAAGAAAGAATAAATGAGTAGTAATAAATGAGTAGTAAGATCTCAAAGGAAGACAGCTGACTGGTCTCATGCTAGAAAGTGAGAGAAGCATAGTGCCAGAACATGCGCTCCATATATCAATTGATTTATTTGAAGTATCCCAAAGACATCTGTCTACTTCATGGTAACAGGAATCAGAGTAAGGTAGGCACAGAAACAGAGCACTTATTTACAGCTAATTAAAACACATTGGCAGATGCTAATGCTAATAAAGCATTATTCCACAACCCTTGCTGTGGCTTTAAACCTGAGAAGCAGAAAAGGATTTCTTATTTGACAATACAAAAATCCACATTCAACATACAGCACCATAATCTACAAGTTTTGTTTAAAAAAATTTGTTTTAAAAAAAAGTCTATTAATACTCCACAAGCTACTGCATACAGAAATGGGACAAAGGCAGGACATCTGTCAGGTCAGTCTTTTGATCCAAGTTTGCATCAGTATATTCACTATATACAGAGATCAAGAAAAACTAAGAAGTTATGGCTCAGTGGACCATTAGATGTTAAGCATTCCAAAACAGGATCTGCAGTAAAGATTTTGTATATAAATATATATATATGTATATAAGAGTAAAATCTCTTAGTTCATTGATCTTAAAGGAATCTTAGATTTGGGAAGAAGCTGTTCTGTTAAATCCTCTGTTTTGGTCTTCTCCAACGTTGCTGCAGATTTGTTCTCTTTATCCTTTTTGTGACTCCTTTTGTGCTGGGATTTAAAAAAAAGGCCTGATCAATTTTCCATGTTAAGAGTATACAAAGAAATTAAAGACTTCTTACCCATGTACAGTGCAGTATAATGTTCTAAGGAAAAAAAGTTGGTAAAACCCCTGAAAAAGTTTCCTAATACTGCATTTACTCAAGAGATTTGAGATTTCTTGTAGACATCTGTCAATTCACCAGCAACTTAAAGGACCCATGACAAATAAATTCAAAAAATAAACAGGCCTTATATATCAGGGGTCTACATTGACAAACAGGTAGAAAAAAGCATCAAGAGCAAGGCAGAAAGTAAAAGAAAAATCAAGAATGATGACATATTTGCCAGGCCTCTAAGAAGATACTACACATCTTTTCAGCTTTTTCATTAAAGCAAACACAAAAGCATGCATTTGTGTCTAGCAAATCGTGACATTTTCCCCAAAAGATTACTTGCTGAGGAGTTTTTACCATCTGTCCAGGTTGTTAGAAGCTTGCTGTTATTTTAGCACAAATTTAACAAAGCATATTCTGCAGAATTAAAAGGAATTATGAGACTACACCAAATGCTATCAGCAGATTTTATACTACATGCCTATTGTGGAATGATAATTTTTCTTTGCTTTTAAATACATAGTTGTTTAGAGTATCTGTGAAAAAGTTACCTGAAAAAATGGAATTCCACCATTTGTGTTACAACTTATGTTTATATCCACTAAGGATTTGTAGCCAGCAATGCTTTCACTGGATTCTTGCATCCCTTCCTCCTCTTCCAGTAAGTCCTAAAACAAGAAGTTTTCAGAAAAGTGCTTTGAATGGCTGAAGTGCCTAGATGAATGTATAAAACATGATCAGATCTATAAAAGACATGCCACTTCTATTCCTGTAGAACAGAAATGAACATCTAAACAAATATTGTCTCCCCTTATTTTCCAAGATAATGGTCTTCTCAAAAGCTCAGCATGTGACTACAAGTCAAGTACCCCACACAAAGGTTGCAACCGCTCTGGGGTTCCAAAATGAGATGAAAAAAACTACTGAATACTTGAAATCTTCATTGCAGTGTCTAATTTATCATTCATATGCTTACTTGATCTGCATTCTCCCTTATTTCCTTTGTCACACTGTTTAACATAGCATCAAGCTTTGCTTGCTTTTCCCTTAATTGCTCCAGTAGAAGTTCCCTGGGTTCTGTTCGCACCAGCATGACTGGATACAAGTAGTCTCTTCTCTGTGGAGTTGTCCCTTTAATGAAGATGGTATACTAATGAAAGACACTGTTAAACACTTAGAGTAATAGCTTTAATAACAAATGCTCAATTTTACAATAACTCAACGCAGAAGTCACACTTTCTTCAGTCAATCTTTGCATGATTGATTGAAAAAGATATGACTGCCAGCTGTATTATATTCCCATCAATCTTTGCTTATGAACTCTGCAACTCAACACTTGCTTTCTGCAAGTGCATTCCGTCTCATGCCCTATTTCAAATACCTGTTGGAATATCCACTTTAAGTTCCTCTTGCAGGAAACCATTAACCTGAGTCAGTCCATGCTGTGCTTCCTCATTAAGTGCCAGCTTCTGCTCCAGAAGTATCTCCTGATCAACTTTTATCTGATCAAGAAGGCCATTTAGTACCTTCTCATCAGCACTCTTTCGTCCATCAATACGGTCAACGATTTCAGCTACTGCTCTATCACAGTTTTCTTTGTTTTTCTGAAGAAAAAAAGAAACAGAAACACCAAGTTAACAAGAAAGTTAAGGTTATGGCCTCTTTTCTAAGATGTGGTGCATGATTAATAACATGATCTGAAACGAAACAACTGAGACCTCAAATTGAGAAGTTTCAGTGCCAGTTTTACATTCTCATTTTGGGAACTATCTTCAGAAGATAGTCAGTTTCTTAGAAAGTATGATCATTTTAGAAAGATACTCATAAGAATAAAGATGATGCCATTTGGTTCAGAAGAGAATTCTCAGGCGTCTACACATAACCCTGCACAGAGTTAGGATTTTCAAGTGAAAGTGAAAAAAATTATAGAAGCTTTATGCATTTCCAGAGGACAAGGAGGAAAACATGAATTATTAGTCCTTCCCATTGGAAGGGAATTCCTGAAGTGTTCACATGGCATAACAAATATAAATGTGTTTGCAGTGTCAAGACACTCTTAACTCAAAGCTTTTTTTTCTAAAAGTTAGTAAATGTTCTAATAAGTAGTGAAACAGGAAAATCCAACAATAGAACAAGGGTGAGAAGTGAAACTTGTGATGAAAATTAAAGACGGTAGGTGAAAAAATTTTGGGGTAAGAGCTAGTATATGCCTAAAAAGGAATGCTTTCTCCCATATTAGCACAGCTGACAGAAAAAGTCATTTTTATTCTGCAGAAATTAGTCTATGATCTCTGTGGAAGTTTCCTAGGGACACTACTTGTAGATAAGCTTTAGATTTAGCGCTGCGTACTATCAAAAAGATGTAAAAAGCCCAAGGTACAAATAGAAGTTAACCACACAGGATTGATCAAGATTTTTTTTTTTTAAGTTATTAGCACTTCAAGTTCAAAATCTTACTCAAATTAAGCTTTTCGATTTCACCAAAATGCATCTGTTTAAGTTAATTAACATGAGTCTGCTGTGATCAAAATGCCACCATTTCATACTGATCATAATTGAGAATGTCCTCCTACAAATTCCACTGTTAAGATTTGTTTCTGAATGTTACATTAGACTACAAACAGCTATGCGTACCTGTTGTGAACACAGAAGCTGTTTCTTCTCATCACTGAAGGACAACAGCTGCTGATCAGTAAAGCTGATTATCCGAGCAGCTGCATGTTCACCCCATTTATCAGTATCCTGAGACACATCTTTGAGACTGCTGAGAAGTTGTTGACAATGGTCTGTGGATTCTTCCAGCATCATCTTGTTTTCAGCATTTATTATCCTGAGCTCTTCAGAGAAGTTATCCATAGATGCAATAAATTTGCTGTGATTTGAAGTTGCACTGCTGACTAGGTCTGTGGTTTTCCTACAACAACAAATTTTTAATAATTCAGAAATATTGAAAGGCAGATTTTAGCCTATTCTATGCATAGAAACAGTTGAGACCAGAAAGAATGAAGTAGTGCAGTTCTATCAATATAATTATGATATTATTGCTCCATTCTGTAAATTTGGAGATGGCAGCACTCAGACTACTAGGTTTGTTCAATCCCCTTAAATCTTTGGGGTGATGTTAGTTATTCATTCTGAAACTGAATAAAGCACGCAAAAAATAATTATGCTCTTACACTTCAAGTTAAGCCTTCTTAGTATAAAGTGTAGCAGTACTGAAGGCCATTCATCACAACACATTGCTCCCCCAAAACACAGTCTCTTATACACAGTATGCTTGGGAGACAAATCTGAGAAAAAGCTCTGTAGGGCTACCATTACTCTAGAGAAAGGTGAATATGATTTATATTCTGTGGCTGAACTCAGCTCTAACAAACGTTTTGCCCAGAATTTATGAACATATAAATATCAAGAACATCTAGTTTTGTAATCTTCTTCACACATAGTTTCATCTTGCATCGCTATACACCATAAGTAATGTGCTCCTTACAGGTGAACGTCTTCTTGCACAGCAGTGATGGTGGTCTTCATACTTTGATTTTTTGCCAGTACATCACTTAAGTTCTTCTGAGTCTCCTGAGCAAACAGGTCAAGCTGGCTTTGCAGTGAGGACACTAATTCTGCTGTACTCTATTTAAAAAAAACATTGTACATCTCATTAGTATTCTGCACTTTCTTATTAAAGGCATTTACGTACTCTTAAGAAAAAACAAATACTAGAGCTTTATTATAAAATAATAGGGTAGACAGACACAGCCTGTGGAGATTTATGTAAAGGTATATAAACCAGATGTGCTCATAGCAACCTGTAAACTTTTGCTAGCTTCTTATGTAAGCTTCTTAAAATAGCACAAAAAAGCTGAAAATAATTATGATCACCAAGCTACTGTGCTAGCATTGTAGCAATAAAACATTGTATTTGCTTCAGAAGCAAAGACTTTAAAATAAAGCAACAATTGGCCTTCAGATTTCTTACTCTAACAATACCTTCATATGTGCCAATCTTGTCATTTCCACTTCTTCTTTTAAATTCTCACAATCATTCTGAAGCTGAGCAAGAACACTGGTCATTTCGTCTCGTAACTTTTTCAAAGTGAGAGAAAGATCTTCAAAGAAGGTATCCACTTCTTTTTTATGACATTCCATCTTTGAAAACAGAGGTTTATTCAAAGTTAAATACTTATCATTAGATAAGAAATTAGATACTTTTCCCTGACATAACATGGGGGAAATGGGGACACACCACCTGCCTTACACAGAAACAAAGGCATTAATAAACTACATCCACTACAGTGGATATAAAAGACAGCAAGTAACACTTGGAGCTATCTGAAGTTACAGAATGACACTTCTTTTCCAAATTCAGCATCAAAAGAAGACAAAAAAGGAAGACAGACAACATAGTTGATTAAACTACGGCCCTAGCTGCTGTTAAAGTTTCAAAACCAGTAACGAGCCTCTAGATGAGGGGAGTTGATTTCAAGTGAGTTGCAACTGACAGAAGAGGAAAGCTAACTCCTTCATGAGACACAAAGTTGTGTGTTTTTTTTTTTTTTAATAGGAGAAAAAATGAAAGAGGATGCAGTTCTATAAAAAAAATACAGTATAAGGTAGACTAGAAATAAAAATTCAAGTATAGGGCATATGCTAAGGGCAGTGCTGTCTACACTGTTCACCAGACACAATACTACATTCTCTAGGAATCAAAATAACTAGAGAAAAAGTTGAGTATGACAGCAGAAGGAATTTTAAGTGACAGAATTTGTCTCAATCAGCTCTTTCAGACCTCTGTGATACAGAAGAGACTACTGTAAGAATATTATCAAGTATTTGTTACAGGTAGCTTTGAGAATCTATATTGTATCCTTCTTTTGTGGCATTTAGGTGAGCAGCTGTGCTAGGTAGCAAGTGAATAAACCATACGCAAAAGTGGAGAAGTCTGAATTAAAGAGCTAGAAGGTAGAAAAAAGGACTTAAAAAATCATAGGACAAAGCAGGAGCAAAGGAGAAAAAGCCAGAGAGAGTGGAAACACCTATACACTGCAGAAAAGTCAAATTATTATCTGTAAGTTAAAAGAAATAGCATAAGATAAGAGACAAAAAGTGTGTTACCTTGTCAGCCACAGCAGAATATTTCTTCACATTAGTCTGAAACTGACAACTTAGGCCAAGGACAAATTCTACCATTGGTGTTAAGCTATTTAATGCTTTTCCTAATCCAGATGTATGCTCCTCCTAGGAAAAAAAACAAAAAAAAAAACCAAACAGAAGTAGAATAGAATGAGACTGACCTACATTACTAAGAAGCAATCCATATTCATGCAAATAGCCATGGTCCATGGTTAATGTTTGCTGGATAGTATGGGAATGGCTTGCGATGGCATGGGAATGGAAGTGAAAAGGGATATAATCACAGACAACTGCTGAATCAGACTGGTAGAGCATCAGGGAAAAAGAATGTTTACAGCACCTCTTCTGGTTGAGGACAGTTTCATATACTTCAAATATGAAAAGAGGATGAAAATTTACTTACAATTAATCTCAGGAGCTCAGCTTTACAATTAAGTGACAGATTCTCATGTTGTAATATTTTTCCAGACATGGAAGAAACTTCAGTAGACACTAATTCTTTAACAGAGGCAAGAGATGCTGATACAACTGATGCTAGAATATTAGCTGCTGAAGAACTGGTAGACAAGATGTCACCTACAAAAGAAATCCAAAAATGTTACAAAACTTAAAGATTCATTTTAAGAACAAATTATTGCTCATCACTGTATTGCCTCTTACAACACAGGAAGGCAGTATTTTTTCTTAGTTCATAAAACAAAGAAAATAAAGTTGAGGTGTATGGTTGAATGTAACTACTATTTTTAGTTGATCGCCCCAGATATATTGTTATAGGTGCATCTGCAATCATTACATTGGTTAAAATAAAGCTTCATCCATTTACTAAAAATATCAGTTTTAAGAAAAACTTTGGTACTACTTACCAATAAAATTTGTATAAGATGTCAACATCTGTTGCTGCTTCAAACTGTTCTCATTAATTGAATTTTGTATTTTGTTGAACAAATCAGTCATTTGTCCTGCAAATGTATTTTGAACAATAGCATTGTGCTGATCAACTGCCTTCTTACGGTCCAATTTTGCATGGAGACCAGATACATCTTTTGTAGTTTCTTCAACAGTACTAAGCAACTAAGAAATTTTAAAGTTAGTCAACCTTTAAACCAGAAGTCAGGCATAAATTATAAGAAAAAATGTAGTTTAAGTTCAAGGAGAAGCAGTATCCCTAGAAAGATAGGTATTTCCCTTAACACCAAGTTACAAACATTCTTAGTCTGATGTTGGGATTTGTAGTCTTGAAACACAGGAAAAATTTACCTTCTAGAGGTAAACTTACTCTGACTTTGAAATTAAAGCATTAAAATAGGACATCCTCTCAGTCTTTGAGTATTTAAAATATCATTCATCATAGTGGAGTGACCAAAAAATTCCTGACCACTCCAACTTATTCTGAAAGACTTGACAGTAAATATATATTTGTAATGATACTGGAAGTAAGTGATTTCCAGTATTAGTTCTGTGATAAATAATTTAGAATTTGAAAGCATGGTGAATTCTTAGTTTTGTAGTTAGTGTAAATTACTGCACCCATTTGTCTCACACTGACGCTCCACAACCCACATGCAAATGTAAGCATCCCAACCTTATAAGAATCTGAGTTGAAAGAACTTTTCATGTTCACTGAAGTTAGAGGATTAGTTACTTCACACTTAAAAGAGCAGGACTCTCTATCAAGTCTGTTTTGAGAATTCAGACCAGTTCCCAAACACTTCAAAAATACACCCTAAAATATCGAGGTGACAGGGAAACAGCTTTAGTTATTCACTCAGCAAGTGTAAATTATTACACACATCCCTGTAAAGCATCTTGCTATTTTTCCACCCCAGCCATAAATAATTTATTCTATTTTAAGGTCAGGCACAAGCTTCTAGTAAGGTAAACTACATGTACTTATTCTGCAGAACTCCTCACAATAGATACCACAAAGTACTGAAACTCTCATGACAAACTAGACTAAAGGAAAGGTAGTTTTTTGTCATTTTTGTCACTCTCACATCATGCTTTAGCAACAATGATTTCATTGAACAGATCCCGAAACTCTTAAACATCAGAAGCTACTCTTGCAATTAGGTACCAGGAAAGTGACAACCTTGCTAGCTGTGCCATGAAGTTTTTGTTCAGTGTCTTCCAAAACTGAAACCACATATTCTTCTTCAGCCAGATGAACCTTGGTTTCTTGCAGATCTCTTTGTGTTTCTTCAAGTTCCTTCTCCTTGATTTGCAGGTCTGTTTTACACTGTTCAAGTTCATTTTTATTAACTGTGAACAGTTCCATGCTCTACAGTGGAAGACAAACATAAGTAGAGCAACAATGTGTTTTAAGAGCAGTCCCTCATGTGTCTCAGATAATGCCATGATACTAGAATACATGTTGCAATCTACAAAAGGCTCGAAGGTCTTAGACCTGACTAGAGACCTGTAGAGCCTCTGAATTCACTGAAAATATCAGCAACCAACACCATTTTCACTATGATAAGCCTTTGCTTCCCCTCTCAAGCTACAAGACCAGGCACATCACAGTGAAGAAATCCCACTAAAACGTAATCAGATAGAATGGGTAGGGTCAGTAAAGTTGATCAAAAGATAAAGTCTAGTTACACAGATTAGTTATGTGTCCAGCAGATTAATATTTGTATTTCTTTAGAAAAGGAAGCTTCCGTTTTCTGCATATTCTTTATTCATTAATTGAAGCTCATCACCTTCTCTACCCCATCATTCTTTGCTCCTACACCGGTAACTGTCAACTGAGATACCATATTACAAGCAAATTGTAGCTGAAAATCCAGCAAATAAAATTAGGTTTTAAACCTTAAAACCGCTTTAAAAATAAATGTGTTGTGTTTTGCAACATCATATATAGTATTTCAAACTTCTAGGATTAGAAAACTTCCACCCAGCTAATTATAAAGGACCTTTAAGAACAAAACCTCTTCAAATTGTTGTTTGCTCAATCTTTTTTCCTCTTTCCCCAAGGATCCCCTCTCCCCCCCTTTTTTTTTTCTCTGGCAGATATAAGCCACAGTTGAGAAATGGCACTTACTCTTTTCAATTCTTCCTCCATGACACTGATTTTGTCAATATACTCTGCAATTTGTTCTTCCTGAACAGTCAGCTTCCCATTAAGGGCTCTGAAGTAAAGATTAATAATAACAGAGTTGATTCCAAGATTACCTATTATTCTCATGCTACACATTTAGCCATTTCAAGAAGTATTGTTCACTTCTGTATTAAGTGAAAATTCTGGTTTTAATACAGAAGGGATTTATGACGATTTTCTATTATTCGAAACTTTCTGTATAAACAAGCCCTCTTACAAAGTGAAGCAAGCTTTATCAAGGTTGCTCTCCTGTATCAGCTTCTATCTTGAAAAAAATGCATGCTGGTTCTGCATATAGTAAGTTCCACAAATAAAAATGCTCAGTACAAACCTACTTTTTGAGGCTTCTGTCTATGTAATAATTAATTTCTAAAGGAGACATTGACTGGTCAGTTAAGTTCTTCTATCTTCAGCTTTCTATGACTGAAAATAGACCTGAAAATATTTTCTGTATAAGGATCAGTACCAATATTTGAGATTTGTTGTTAGACATTTTATAGATATCCTGAAGACATACTCAAAGTTTTCAAGGGAAATATACACTCCATTTTTTTCTCGTGTAGCAGCCAGGTCTCGTTTCAGACGCTCGATCTCCTCAGTATATTCCTGCATGAAGAAATAAGCATATTTAAACCTGAACGTTCATACCTTGTTTTCAAAATTTAGCTTAACAGGTACCTCAGAAAGATGGAGTTTAAAGGAAGTTTTGCATAAACACAGGATAACTTTCTAAATCCTAGTGCTTCTTCATTTGCGTGTCCAAATACGTTCAGCGTAGCACTATTTAAAATCATACGACTGCATACATGTCGAGCATCAAAGCTTCCAATTTCAATCATACTTAGTTGTATTTCACAGGTTATAATTGAAATTGCAGCTTCTTTAATACCAGTTAGCTTCTTCATGTTGCCTTTCATTCAAGCTTACTAACAAGTTCACTTTAATTCATGCATTTGCTAGAAGGAAGCAGCTAATACAGCAAGTCCAGAAAAAAAAAGTCATCCAGTGTATTTTGGGATCTCCACTATCTTGTAAATAGCTAGTCCACACACTGAGTCATAGCTAGGGTCAATTGCCTTCTTTCTCCAGTTTTAGTCTTAGCAACAGTTTCAGTAACTGCAAAATGACTAATAAATATTGTACTACTAAAGCAGCTTAATTTGAAAGCATCAGGTCAGTGATTAAAATGACCTCAGAAAAGCACTGTTACTAACTAATCAGCTTTTCCATGACTTCATAATTCCTACATAGCAGAATTGTGTCAACACAATCAAATACTAAATTTGTGAAGTTATACATCTAGCTTACCTTAATGAGGGCTTTTTTGGTCAGCTTCTGGTTAACTTCCGGCTTGTTCATTATGTTCTTTGCTCTGTGAGCATATTCCAGCGTACTCAGTGTTTCCTGTGATAAATAGATACAACATTAGGTCAAGCTGAAGATAATCATTTTTTGTATCCTTGGAAAAATATATCTATTAAAGGAACGGATATTCAGACTTAAATTTACCTCAAGATTTATGGATGCAGGAGAAACAGTGGCAATTATTGATGTTTTTGTTCGTCCTCCAAGAGAGTCTTGAAGGATTCTTGTAAGTTTAGATTCCCTGTATGGAATATGTGGGGCTCTTTCTACTAAAGCAGTAATGACTCTTCCTAGTGTCAGGAGAGACTGGTTGATATTTCCAGCTTCACGAGCTCTTTTGTCAACTGCCCCAGATCGACCAATGTTTTCACTTCCTGCAAGATCAACCTGAAAGATAAGAGAAAGGACATGCTTCTATCTCAAATAACTATGAAGAACGTTTGCTCCACAGTGTTGCAGAACAAGACATATGAATTAATTTATGCATATATGTTCAGGAGACATAGGGAGTGAAAAAGCAGACAGACAGCTCATATCACTTGAAGATGATGATTTTTGTCCTTATGAAAAAAATATGATTCTCAAGATGATGAAGTTAGATTTAATTCGTTACTTCAGGAGTATCACCAAGGAAATTTAGTTCAAATACTCACCAAGTTTAGCTTCCCAATTTTGACAAGTTCTTCTCCATCTACTGTGGTTTCTTTCATATGGATGGTAATCGAAAACACAGAGTGGGAGCGGCTATAAAAGAATTGCATTTCAGACAGACATCTCATTAAAGGCCAATGATCTGTTTGCTACAAGATACTACTTCAGGTTAGCTATCAGTGCTCTTTTTAGGAAATAAATTTGGCCAATTAATTACAACTTACACTTTTTCAATATGCCAAATAATTCTACTATGTATATTTTTGTGTACAGGGGGAATTCCAGGACTTCCATTCCAACTAGACAATATCATCACAAGATATACTCATAACAAAGCATGCAACCTCTAAATAAGAGGGCAAGCTTCTATAATCATGTGTCTTTCAGAGAGCAACAGCTTGCCAATTTTAAGGTGGGAGGCTTCAATATTTTATAACCTTTCATACATGCACTAGAATACATCGTCCCATAGTTCCAAGTTCCAGCTATGGCTTTGGCTTTCTAATCCACATGGAGCAACGTAAACTGTAATACACAACCTCAAGATTTGGTAAAGTCTACTGCAACTTGTACAGCTTTTGTTTCTTCAGTAAGATCCTGTTTAATAAAGCATCAACAAAAAAAAAATAAAATCTGAAACAGACAAGATTAATACCTAGAATATGCATTCATGTAAGTAGCTGCAGTTGTTCTCTTTGCTGCACCCCTTTCCAGGATTTGATAGACTTCGTTTTTGTTGTGTACAGTTACTTCTTCCAAGCCTTTAATAATTACACCTCTCTGTCAGAAAAGAACGTGTGATTATTATACATCTTCCAGCAGCCCCTGAAGCCGTAATGTCACAGATTTTGGAAGACAGTACTCACCTTGTTTCGAGGGTCATCAAACATCTGCAGTCTTTCTCCAACATCGGGAGTAGGATTCAGAAGATCAAAAAGCTCCTCATTGTATATTTCCAAAAGAGAGACTTTCACTGAAAATTCCGTGCCATTCTCTGTGAGTTTTTCAAATATTTGATGCAACGTACGGGGTATTATACCTGCTAGCGGATCCTACAGATTGAAAATGCAAAGGAATTCAATGTGTAGATGTACTACAAGAGATAGAGGGGTGGGGAGCGGGTGGGGAGCGTGCACACCAATTTCAGCTAAGGTCAATTAGGTTTGATAAAAATACATTGAATAAAGATAAATTTCCATAAAATTATTGCTAAATATGCCTGCAGTAATAATGTAAAGTTTGGATTCTCATATAGAGTAATGAGAACATGTATTAATTTGCAAGTGTTTAGAGAAAGTCAGCTTCAGTATTTGAAAGAAATCAACTTTAAGTTTTCTTCAGCTTTCTGCAATATCTAACTTTGGACCACCGTACAGCTTTAAGAGAAACCTCAGGAGTGAAAACATACCTCTTCCCAAGTATACTCCTCGTTGGGTGACCGCTCTCCTTCCATTGTGAAGGTCTTACCAGTACCAGTTTGGCCATAGCTGTGAGAATGAAAAATTAAAATGTAAACAAGAAACTAAAATTAAAATGAAGTTTCCTAATATTGATTAACATACTTACGCAAACACTGTGCAGTTATAGCCCATAATAACTTCATCCAAAATGGGACACACAACACTCCGGTACACATCAATCTGCTTTGCCTGAGCTCCAAAAACCTGTTGGAGCAAAGACAAAACGTCCCATTTACCAGTACAGTAATACATGCACCACACAACACAGACATCAGACTGTATTAGAGAAATTTACTGGCTTTTATCTAGAAGTCAAAAACTTGACAAGTAGTTACCATATCAAATGTGTAAGTCTTTCTTGATGTCTTATCTGTGACTCCGCCAGTGCGGACACTAACTTCTTTTCGTACTTGATCACAGTCTACAACGGCATAGGAGCTTGCTTTACGTTCTGAGGCATTAAAAGGCCTAAAGAAAAAAAACAGTAAACCGAACTAATTAATGCACTTTAACAACATCCTTTCTTTCACTTACACAAACAATACAGACCACAAGTCTCTCATGGATGACATAACTGTCTGAAGCAGCAGCCATACTAACAGAACCTACAACTAGCAGTAGAGTAGACAGCAATACCAGAACCTTTACAATGCTGACACATTTGAGTAGAATCTGAATTGTGAGAATAGTAACAAGACAGAAAAGAAATACCTGATTTTTGGAATAAAAAGTCTATGCACCTCTTTATTTAGCCTTTGAAGTAAGAATTTTAAATAAGCTTAAGAGAAATACAATAAAAGGTTAGAAACATGACGGTGATAATTTTCTTTAAACTCTAATTTAATTCAAACATGGCATACAATTTTCCTTGAAGGGGCATTAGCAATAATTCCTCCCCCAAAACACAGGAATAACCACAGGCTGAAAGCTGACAGCATGAAGTGCTATTTTGTAATTCATTTAGCAGCGCTACTGCACTGAATGCGCATTACCCATGAAGGAGTATTCAACCTGAAAACAGAACTTCTACAACTTTTGCAAACTTTAAATTATTTTGACAGGAGAGGCACTTCAGATGCTATTACACTACAAATAAAAAAAAAAAAAAAGAACGTGTGCCACAAGGATATGACAGCTCAGTTTCCTGACTCTTGTGGCTAACATTTCTTCCTCACCATAGCACAGAGGAAGAAGAGTTAACTCTGTACAGACCACTACAGGCTTCAGTGCAAGACTGAGAGCAGCAGCGAAGGCAGTCAGGTCATTGTGGGGACAGCCAATAAGCACAGAGACCTTTTTCACAGGGACAAGCTCTAGCTTTGGTTTTGCAACTTTCAAAATAGTAGGAAGCCAAACAATAAATATAGTCTGCTCTGCAAAGATATAACAGAGAACCAGTCAAATGCAGGAGCCTTGTTGTATGGGCCACAACCATGAAATTAGAAGCAATTCAGTAAAACCTGAGCATACATGGGTTCAGGTACCAAGTGGCACTAGACAAGCAGCAGCTTGGTATGCCATGATGACATCTGATCACAGGTTCATCTCATTAGATAATCCATTCAAAATATATCCTAATACATGCATTTTAAACATCCAAATTCACATTTTATCAAAACATAGTGAACCTGTTGCTTGAAAAGGTTTTTGATAAGCTCAGTGAGACACACCAGGCTTTGTAAACAAACCATGTGTCACTAAGATGACACTATCTACCTGTAAAGTAAGTAGAACTTGACAGCTGAAGTAGAAAAGGGAACCACAGGAGAGTTTACTACCTCAAACAGCAAACCTATATTGAAAAGGAAATACACTACAAAATGCAAGAGAAAGGGTGAGCTACAGAGTTTTTAGGGGATAGAGACTAAAACTTGATATAGACCTTAGACTGAAGGTCAGTCACAGCAAAAGCAAAACATCACAATGCCATTCACATAGAGCACTGTATCTAACTGAAGTATGCACTGACACTTTGTGAGGCTCTTCCAGAACAGTTCAGGACTAATTAAAGAAGAAAAAAAAATGATTGCTAGCAGTGTTTCAAACACAACTGGTTCACAAACATTACTTGTCTTTTGCAACATCCTTGATTTACATTAACACTTTCACCAATCCCATAGCACTCGTTTCAGCAGCTCATTCCTTGCGTTGCAAGAGTAGCAGAGAACCACCCTGCCAGTTCTTAGGTTCATGGTGCAGCGGCAAAAGTCGAACTTCCAAGCAGGAAGAGGCACTGACTGCAAGAGGCTTCAGTAACAACAGGCAAACTTGCGTTTGTGGTTCTGGTTCAAAACAAACTTCTGAAAGTATTTCTGAACGCAGGTCCTAACCGTTAGCAGTAGGATATGCTTCACAAGCAATGCTTTAATAACATTTGAGACCCAGTATGAAAGAACAGATCTTTAAGTCACCTTGAAGTTATAGAAATTCAGTTTTTAGCGCACCAGATCTGCCACACCATACCGAAAACTTGTTTCTATCTCCCCAGGCCAAGGCAGCCGGCGATCCCCACGCCGGAGGCTGCCTCCCCCAGCCTGGGGTCTGAAACTCGGGGCGCCTCCCTAGGCGAGCAGGGGCCGGAGGCTCTCCAGGCGCGCTCCCAGCCGGGAGAAAACACCTCAGGGGTTGGGGGCTGGACCACCCCCAGCCCCGTCAGCGCTGCCCCAGCCCCTCACCTCCCCGCGCCGAACCGGCCGCAGCCTACCTGCAGCGCACCACCACCTGGATGTTCTTGCCCTTCTCCTCCTTCTTGCCGCCGCCCTGTAAGCTGAGGGAGGCCATGGCGGGACCGGGACCGGGACAGCGCAAGCGCGGCGCGGCCGAGGAGCGGAGCGCGGCGCAGCTGCCTCGTGCTCGTGCCTGTGGCTCCGCCAACCGCCCGCCCGCCCCGCAGCCGCTGGCCAGCGCGCGCCCCGCCGCCCAGTTTGAAAGATGCGTCACCCCCCCCGGCCCGGCCAATCGGCGGGGAGCGCGCGGAGCACCATGGGACGCGGTTTCAAACAGCGGGAGAGCCCGCGGTGATGATGCAAGAGGCTGGCGGAAGCGGCGCCTTTCACCGCCCAGGAGCGCGGGGCGTGCTGGGGGCTGTAGTGCGCGGGCGGGCTGGAGGAGGCGTCACGTGACCGAGGGCCCCCGGCCGTTACCTCAGCGCTGTCACCGCAGCGCCGCCGGCAGCCCCCGGGCCCTGCAGGCGCCCCCGCGGCGGGGAGATCTCTGCTCCCTGCCCGGCTCGGTGTCCTTGCTGAAGGGACAGCCGCGCCGAGGCTGCGCTGCTCTGGTGGGGTTTGCTCTCCAGAAACCCCAGCACGGCCCGGCTTCGGTGCTGCAGGGCCGCCCCCGGTGCCGGCAGCAGCATCGCCCCGCCCCAACCCCGCAAGTTCCCTCCCCACCCCTTTTTTTTCTTCCTTATGTAAAACGGGTGCTTTGAAACTTACACCTCCTCCGGGAGTTCTGCAGAGTACTGAAGCGAACCCTAGCCTGCAAGGCTCGCAGGAATTTTTCTGACAGGGACACGAAGCAGCGTCACGCTACGCTCCTCTGCCCTTTACCTCAAAAGTTAGAGCAATGTCAGAGCTAATCAACTTCATAACAAGCAAGAACACAGACGTGTTATTTTTACAGGAAAGGACACGAAGTGTTGGTTCCTGGTCTGCCGTGAGCAGGCGTTGATTCAGAGAACATGAACATCCAACAAATTTGTCTGATGTTCTAAATAAAGGCTGATGGTGAGACAGAACACAAGCTAGAAAATCTTTAGTGATTAATAACAACTTTCATTAACAACCTTTCTGAGCCAGTATTTGCTCTTTGTTCCACCTCATTCCTTATGGCTTGAATGTCACTGAAAACACTAATATATATTTTCTATAATATACAGCAAATATACTACATTAAAATTACTTTGCAAGGATAGGCATTTTTAAGTTCATAACTGCTGGACGAATTACTGCCCTTCAACACCCATTTTTAATCATTTGGGCTCTAACCTAGAAATAAGGCAATGATTCTGTAGAGAAAGCTTGTAGAAGAACGCCTTTAATTTATAAGCATGGAAAACTACAGAATCTATGTTTCCTACATTTTGAAGCTTAACTTTCCAACCAAAATCAGTTTGGTGGGTGAAACACTAATGAATCTCTCTGAACCCCTCTGACCCTCTGGTGAAACACTAAAATCACAATAATACATTTTGTTTCAGTTAAGAAAAGATTTAACAAGGTGGGAAAACTAATGGAATACAAAGCAATATCCATTGCAAATATATTGAGGCCAGAATTATTCTTACTTGCTTTTTGTATTGCGTGGGTACTAGGAGTAAAAATAATTCATACAGACAAGTGTATAGGAGTTACTGCTAGGCTGAAGAAGTTGAATGCAGGTGTGCAAACATACAGAACTACCTTTTTCTCCCTACTCCTGTCACACAGATCATACAAAAGAAGGCAACACTGACAGACGAGGTCTTTTGATCTCATTTCTGCCTGTTTGTTCATTTCTGGTATGAAAGGATGACCTACTTTAGTCAGATGTGTGCTCAGAATATAAACATGTCTCTCGTAAACATAAAAGAGATTAGGAGATCATACAAACCTGCATTTAAACAACAGGAATCCAATTATTAGGAGTTGAATCTGGCCCACAGATACCTTTGCCACAGCTGTGGTAGGTCCAAACAACTCTTGCCGGTAATCAAGTTAGCTTAAAAAAATCATACAGTTTAATAACTGTGGTTCTGTTTTATGAAGTCAATTCATAGCTTAGGTCATACATTTTCTTAGACTATGTTGAGCCTAAAGATACTAATATGTTATAAACACAAACAGTAACAGGGAACTGGCATTTCACAAGCAATGAAAACAAGTATGAGAAAAAAAGAAACAAGAATACTTAGTCTAAACAGGGGTTAAGAGAACAACCTTTAAGAATACATGTACATTGTTCTGTGACATTTTTTTCCTTTTTTAGAGAAACAAAAAAAGCATTACAGGAAAATAATTTACATAATAATACAGATACCAATATACTAATTTCATTAGAGATTACTAATCCCTATTTATTGACCAAAAAGGACATTTTTTCACTAAAGTTTCAAAACAAGAAGTCAATGTTTTATAGTTATATTCATGGACAATGCATGTTTCAACAACAAAATCTGTATTTTCATAGGATTAAAATAATATGACCTAGGTAATTATAGGTATGGAGGCTTGACAAACAGAATTGTTGACACCAAACATGATTAGCTAAGAATTAATAAAGGCTATAGTAATGGAGAGATAATAATTAATACAAATTATAAGCTTGGTTGAGAGTTCAAGGCTTCTTCAAGGCTTAATAACACCTACCCTACTTTGATTATCAACACGGTACACAGTATAGAAGCTGAAGTGAGCTAGAGTAGGGTCTCCACATGCAATTACCGGTGAAGAATTATCAGCAAGTCACACTTATTTTTCTTAGTTTCAGCATCTTCCTCTTATCTAACCAAATCAGAGCCCATTTAAATCAGAGCCCATTAAAAATCAATAGCCCATTTAAATTTGTTTACAGCCTCCAGAGTAAGAACCCCTGGAACAGATTCAACTCTTAAAATGAACATGCAAGCACTAAGATGTTTTTGAAGGTAGAGGAAGAAGCCTCGACTACATGCAACTCATGCTTCATGCTGAGGAAAAGCAGGGAGTATAGCAATATAAATTACATTATTAAGAATACCGTTTGTCCATTACTACTATAAAACAGGTTTTAATTCATCTTCATAACACTCTATGGGCACCCTAGCCCTATGGCCCACCAATAATCTATCTCCCACCTAAACTATCTCCCATATCTGTCAAAAAAAAAAAAAAAAGAGGAAAGAGGGAAAAAAAAGCAAAGTTCATATTCTTCTTTCAGTTATGCACATTTAACTCTGCATTCAGTTCAGTATTAAGTTCATACTAATGTAACTAGTGAATCTCAAAACATCTGACAAATATGAAACAAAGGCAAAATTATTCAAGCATTTATTTCAGTTGTTTTTTCTTCTGAAACATAAGCACCGACAGATCAATCATATATACAAATACAAAACATAGAGGGGAAAAATAAATTATACTTACAACAGAACTAACAGAAAAAGCCCAGAAGCCAAACAAGTTGAGAAACAAAAATGTGTCAAGGTGTCAGATGAATACTATTTTAAATAGGAAAACTGTCCTGAAAATACAAATCAACCTCTGGTATATTAAGAAAGATGTTTATATGTACGTTTATTGCTGAAACTGGTGAAGAGTGGTCACTATTAGGCCTCCGTGCAGTTGCTGGCTTGTTTGTTTTTTCCTGGTATAATTACTCTATCTAGCTATGAGTATGGGGGTTTAGGAAAGTTGTAACAGGGAAAATGGAATCGTACTGGCAGAAAAATATCTGACACTACTAAAGAATGTTTTTTTTTTTTTTTTCTCAGTACCTAAACACATGAAAAAATGTCTTACAATAGAAGAAGTTATGCCAGTTAAACAATACTGGTATAATTACAGGGGTTAAATGCTTCTGTTAACAAGCCATTGAGGAAGACAGAAACTAAGTTATTTTTGTAGGAAGAGATGGGAGACTTTTCCTAGTAGTTGGTTACTGACTCTATTTTGTAACACAACTGCAGTTTAACATCTCATGTTTTATACATGACTTCTTTAACATATAAAGGTTCAGTTAGGGAAGTCAGATGCACAGTCAGGAGCAAACATATTCTGGCAGTTACCACTAATTTTTTTTTTCATATATGCCTTGTCATGAAATTGCCACTATTTATTTTGGAGTGGAAATAACTATAATCTATGTTTTTTTCAGCCTGAGGCCAGATTTCTTCAAAGCCCTTTTATATACAATTACAATTTGAATTTAATCCAGAATTTTAGGTAGGCAGAAAAATATGCTTCCATTAGAAGCATGTCACGACTGTACTTAGTGTTTTACACTTTCTGCTTCTTAGTTTTCAAGAAGAATTGAAAATAGTGGGTTTATTCTAAACAGTTTCAAACCTGCCTATTTTAAGGATTGTTTTTCCTGCACTGTACAGCTATGTCACACATCCTGAAGAGGAGTCTGCCACTACTACTCCATAACGTTTCTTCATGGGATTTTTTCAATAATTTCCACAGTTACTTGTTTTTTACACTTGTTTTTCTCTATGGCAGATGAGAAGGCAAGACTGAATACCACAATTGTCTATGAGCAATTAAAGTTTCATATGGAAAATATTTTTGGTTGCTGGGTTACATTAAGAAAGGAATTTTATTGAAAGTTCTGTTAAGTTTTGGTAATGGTGTTATATTGAAAATACTTTAGAAACACGCAAAAGACGTCTAAAGTAGTGGATGAAGGTAATTGTTGGCTACTATAAACTGAAACAGAGAGGGGCTAATTAAAAGAATATGATCTCTAAATAAACATCAGTGCTGTCGCATAGCCTCTAAGCAAACTTAGAGGGAATAAAGTTGGCATAGGTACAAAGTGCAGTAGGTGTAAACTTTATGGTGTTTGACACAATATGAAGTGTAACCTTTCATCACCGTAGTTAGAGAGGCAGAAGCCCTTGCTCTAGATGAAAGTATTCCCAGAAGACGACAGTTTTGCAGATGACGTCTAATTTGCTTTCCCAGAATTGCCCCGTGTATATCTTAGGTAAGATCTATAAGGAAAGACAGTACTTTTCAGAGCAGGTAACTCACGTGGAAAAGGCAGGGTACATTAGGGCAGCAAATTCTCTTTCAGGACCCTGAAAAAGGAAGAAATTGCCTGCACCCTCTCGTAGCTTTCACCCCTAAGTGATAACTGATTCAACACATCTACCACTCCTGTAGCCAATAAAGGTAGTGCATTTCTACTATACATCCAATGTAAGAGAGCAATCACCCAGCCTCTTAATCCCCTGGTTTACTTTAGAGAGGGCATAGACAGACCACTAAGAGGCAATCACCTGGCAGTGTGCCTTCTGCTAGACTCAACAGTATTACCCTCTCTGATGCAGTGGCAGTGGTGACCAGATGGAATTAAGACCTCACCATTTATCATATCCTGTTTCCTCCAGCCTCGTCTCATCTTTTACATACACTAGGAAATGGAGAAATCAGATTACTTCAAACTAGAATCCCACGAGGACAAAGATAGCCTTTATTTTCACAGGAGTTAACATGTTGTGTTAGAACCAGGCTCCCACGCAGTTCTATATCCAACCAGTTAATTTAGGTGAAAACTACCAGCAGCCTTGCTCTAACCAGGATTAGTTAACTTGTGAGACAGTTCTGTGTCTAAACTGAGGCCTGAGCGTGGGTGTGCTTGATGTAGACGCGACTGTTTTAAATTGGGTAGTGCAGGTACGAATAAGAGCGTCTCTATAGCAGCAGAGGCCTCAGTGGAAACCAGCAGCTGAACGTCTACCCCAAATACCCCGACAGATTTCGTTGACCATATGGAGTAGTGTGCTGCCATTTTGAATAGCTAATTTAACCAAAGCCAACAAGTTTGAAGCTACCTTACATACACCTTCAGTCCCATCTTTGGATACGGGAATGGCCTGAGCTATCTCCTCAGGTCACATCTTTCTTTTTGACGACAGGAGTGGGGTTCTCTGAAGTCAACTTCCAGCTGTGAGACGCCAGCTGTAATGAAGGCAGGCAGTGGAAAAGCTGACAGTCTCTCCCTGGACTAAAACTGGGCACTAAATATAGCCAAGTACTGTTTTCTTCAGTATTTTTAAATCTTGAGAAATAAGACAGAGGAAGATAGACACATCGGAGGAAAGCACGTTATTAGAACTACAAATGTGTGGGTGGTGGGTTTTTTTGTTTGTTTTTGTTTTCCCCAAAAGGAATTAAAGTAGCCGGCCACTACCACGACTTCCCCACAGGCATCTCTACCAACAGATGAAAAAACTGTTTCCCCAAATGCCAAACCCATGGGGTTTTACCGCAGGTTCAACCTAAAGGAGCATTCACACCCCTGAAGCCGTCTCGCAGGCAGCCTGAGGCGGCAGGGACCTGCTGCTGCAGACCTCTCTCGGCAGCCGGCTGGAGGCGAGCGGGCTCCTGCCGAGGAGCTCCCAGGGCGGAATTTCTCTCCCTGAGGGCAGCGAAGCCTCAGCCGGCCGCTCCACCACGAGATCTGCAATCTCAGCCGCTCAGGACGGCGCGGCGCGGACTCCACTCAAATTACGAGGCGCCTAATTACCTTTTGTCTCCGCTTTCGCCGCCGGGAGCCGGGCGGGCTGCCCCGCGGCAGGGCGGGCAGGCAGCGCCCGCCGTCCCCTCACGACCCGGCCCCGCCGCCCTTCGCCCCGCTGTCCCGGCCGCCTCCACCGGGCGCGGCCCGTGCCGGCCGCCCACCCGCGGCGCCGAGAGTCGCCCCGGCTCCCCGCCCAGCCACCCACCCCCTCCGCCGCCTCCGCCTACCTCCCAGAGGCCCCCCGCCCCCTCCCCAGCCGCAGCCCTCGCCCTGCCGGCAGCAGAGGCGGCCTCGCGCACCCCCAGGTACGGGCCCCGCTAGGCCCGGCACCGCGGCCCCGCCGGGCGAGGAGGGCTGACGGGACCCCGAGGGCGCCGGGGAGGGGTTGGCCGGGCCGGGCGGGCGGGGAGGGGAGGGGAGGCGGGCGGAGAAGATGGCGCCGCCGCCGGCCGCCGCGCTGAGGAGCGGCGTGTGCTGAGCGCGGCCGGGCGGCCGGGCCGGGCTATGCGGCGGCTTCCCGGGCTGAGGCGGGCTCTGCTCGGCTTGGTGCACCCCTGCGCCGCCCCGGCCTCCCGCTTGGCCTCTCAGAGCCGGCGGCGCAGCTTCCTCGGGTACGGTGTGTGTGTGTGCGTGCGGCGGGAGGGGGAGCGGGGCACGGGCCGGGTCCCGGCGCTGCGTGAGGGGCCGCGGGGTCTCTCCCGGGTCCCCCCCGTCGTGTGCGGGCCGGGGGCACCTCGTGCGGCCAGGGCAGCCGGCGGGGGGCGGCTTCGACCCCGGCTTTGTGGGGAGAGAGGGGAGCCCGGGCCGCGGAAACAGCGAGGGGAAGGCGGGGGGCGGCGGGGCACGGGAGGCCCGCGTCCTGCCCGCCCTGCCCGGCCGCGGCTGGGCTCGGGTTTCCCGGGGCGCCCTCCGTGCACAACGCGCGGCCGCTCGCTGCCGTCCTGCCGCGGCGCTGCGCTGCCCGGCCTGCCTTCATGCCCCCTTTTGTTTTCCTGACACACAGCCGCAGAGTTCTCACGTTGCTGAGCTCCTCCGCCTTCCTACGGCGTAAATACCCAGATGGGTTAAAAACAAGCGGCTCGTGGAGTTACCAAAGTTGATGGGAGCGGCCTCCGCAGTTCGTGACGGGCCGCCTGCCGCGGGCAGGGAGCGGGCGCCGCTTTGTGCCCTCCGGGGCTGCCAAGCGAAGTTTGGGGCCTGCTTAAATAACTGGGAGCTGTTTAAGTAACTGGGGGCTCCAACCTGGGGGCCGGTGAGCTTGGGGGCTGGTTGAAGTGCGGGGCACCTCAGCACGGCTGTTCCGGGAAGGGAACGGGGGGGGGAAGGGAAGGGGGTGAAGTTGTTTTCCTCCTTCTGTAGCTGCTGGCTCTACTAGCTTAATCGCCAAACCTATATTTAACGCTGCAGAAGTAAGAGATGTCAAAAGTAGCGCGTTTGTTTTTTTTAATAAGGAAAAGAAGTGAGTTATGATGACTCATGCTGTCAAATGCTCGTGTGTCCAAATTCAGACGCACCGTTATTGTTCTTAATTGCGGTGCACACAATGCTGTGAATGCACAGTGTGTGTTTCGCTGTTGTAGAGGCAATCCGCAATCCACGGGCTGAGCCAACGCTTTCCTGAAGCTGTAGTTTCTTCTACTAGGCTGCTGCTCTTTAAGCATATGAATATATGCACTATTGGGACTTAACTGTGTGTATGTGGGTAGGCCTGTTGTGTTTTCATACTGCCTACAACCATGAATTAATCATCCGTTTAATTGTGAATTAGGATCTACATAAATACTGAAATGAGAGGAGGCAGAGTAGGCATGGCACTTACACATTTTTCTTTAAGATGGAGAACATGTAATTGAGAGAGATTCTTAATTCTTACAAGTTACCTGTTTCCATTTCTGGATTTTGTCCGTATTTTGGCCTTTCTCAGCTTTAAATTTTGCTCCTCTTATTTTTTAACCTTCAACTGCACATCAAGTAACAAAGATTATTTCTCTGTTAAACCTTCTTATCTCCTGCTTCTCATCTCACATACAACATTATTCTATTTCAAATTATTATATTTTCAATAGAAAATCAAATGATGCTGATGTTGGGGATTCCCCAAAAGAGTTCCTATTTACATGTTTGAATGCTTTTTTTTTTCTCCTTCCTTTTACCTTTCTGTATTTAGTTGAATGTAAGGCTGTGGCTGAGTCCCTTGGAGGTACCTTCAGGCCTTTATCAAAGCATCAAGGATATAACTCATTTTGCAGACGAATACAAAAGTAGCTCCCTGCCCTGCTAGGTCCAGAAAAAGAAAGGGGGAAGGAGAAAAAAGTCTTACCTCTAATATTTCACTGAGCTGGAAGGTGTTAGGCTTGTAGCTAGGGGTCATTGCAGGTTGTTTACTGAAGTCGTTTACTAAAAATACTGTCGGAGCTTTTGGGAAGTCACGTTGGTTTGATATTTCTGATGTATTTTATTGTATTAGATGCTTTCGTAGTTTTGAGATATCAGTCTTACAAGATAGTTATCAAAAGGACATAGTAATAAAAATGTCTGGATAGGAATGGATTTAACTGGTATTGTGCCTCTGGTTATGTACTTGCACACATGTGGTCTGTCAGTGAGTATCTTCATGTTCTCAGTTCTTACATTTTATCAACTCATTGATTTATGAGTTAGGGCTGTATATACGCAATAAGGTGATTTTTGATGGAGCTTGTCCAAAAGTTGATTCAGTGTAGCTCTGTGTTTAGAAGATTTGACATTCTGCAACTTGTTTTTAGAATGAGTCAGAATTATAGCTTGCCCAAATGACTGAAATGGAAAAAATTGCTCTAAGTTAAAAGTTTACTCGCGGTGTTAATAGTAGAACTTGAACTGAGATGTCCAAAATCATAAGAAGTAGAGCAAAAATAGGTAAATAGTCAGGACTTCTGTGGCTGAAACACATCGCTGAGTTCTGTAAACTGCTCACTGTTACGGGTCTGTTGGTTCTCTCAGATCCACTATGAAATAAGAACTTGTATTTGATGGGGGATTACAGTACTTTTAATGACCAGAAGTCCTAAAGTTCTTTGTGTTTTTGTTGCTAACTTAGATTTTCTCCTATCTTCTTTGTATGTTCTTGTATCTTTCTATGCATTTCTGTTGTTGTGCACTACACCTGAAGTTTCAGTCTCATCTTGTTTTTTTACATCAGGCCTCACAAGTTTCTCTTCTTGAGTGTTTGAGACAGATGGCAGCATAAAGTGTTAGGTGAGTTGGCTTTACAGAGAGTCTTGGACAATCTGATGTGCTACTTGCTGACAAAATGTATGAAAGACACATCCAAAACCATTCTAGAAGAAAGCACAGAGGTCTCTCGTGTTGTATCCGGTTCTACACATCTCCTGACATGTGCAAGGCTGTGTGCTAGACAGCACTGATGCTCTGTTGTGCACCGAGCCCTGCAGCTGTAGGGTGGTGGGAGAAAAATATCAGGGAGGGAGGAAGAGTGAAGGAGAACCCCACTGGCTTCAAAGCATTTGATGCATAAAGCAATTAAATGAATTCATGAGAATGCTTCTGAAGAAAATACGCTTTCAAGCAGCATATAAGACTATTCTTATCAGTCTTGTTCATAGCACATGATTTGAGACTGTGATGCAAATACTGATGCAATCTAAAATACTGTGCCAGATTTGGGAAATCATTCTGCAGATCTTGTATCATCACATTGTCTAAAGAACAAAAACAGATGGTTTTGCTTAAATTTAAAATGACCCAATCTTTTAAATAATGAAAGGCTTCAAAACTCTTTTGGAATTTGCCTAATTCTTAGCAATCTTCTTAAAAGTAATAATAATAAAAAAGAAGCAATGAAGAGCTGGGAGAAGGTTCATTCCACTTGTTCTAGTGAACCTGGATAAAACTTGTCTACTCTGGAGAATGTGTTTGGTGATTTTTTGAGACAGTTTTTAGAGAATGAAAGTATTGTGAAGTGGTTTAGAATTTTTTAAAAACTTGATATCCTTCGTTGAGATGTCTAAAATTAAATCATATAAAATCCTGCATTTTTGTTTGAAGTTTTTACCCAGTGCTTTGGAATCTGTGAAATGTTCGAGCAGAGGTATATAATTTTAGGACACTGAGTTAGCTTTATGGTGTCTCACTGGTACATCCCATCCTGTTTGACCAACCCAGGGCAGCTGAAACCACATCATTTTGCCGCTCTGGCCAGATACTTTGCTGGGGCCTTATCTTACAAATACAACTACTGTGGCCCTTGTTCTTGCCAAGTTCACACGTACTATCATCTCATTAATGCTATTGGTAATGCTTGTACAGTCTCCACACATGCATTGACAGTGAAACGTGCATCAGACCAAGTTTTATGGCAGTGATCTAGAAGCTGCAGGAGCTGGACCCTTCTGGGAACAAGAGTGAGGAAGGCGGCATCTGCTCGTCCACGGTCATTAGGAGGGAATTTTCTGACTCTATTCCAGACTTGGCAAAAAGCTGCAGACTGAGGTTCAGAAAATGCTTTCATTGTAGTGAGACTTCAGACTTTACTCAAAATGAACTGCATAACAAAACCTTATAAATATTCATCATCCTTAAACTTGCCTGATTTTGCATGATTAGTTCTTAATAACTTGGTAGCACTGATTAAATCATTGTGGGTAGCTGGAGCTTTTGTTTATGAAGTAACATGCTGAATTCCTGATGAGTTTGTAAGTGTTAAACTTCTCAAAATGTTAACATTTTTATCTACTTATGCAGTCTATCTGCTTGTGTATGCAATCAGATTTATTTAGATCAGCATCACGAATGTGTTGGAATCTTAAAGGCATTCTCTAGCTTCTTGACAAGTAAATTCACAGAAGACTTGTGCTATGGATTATGGATGTTGAATCACATCAACTGTTTTATTCTCAAAATGTATAAAAGAAGGCTTATTGGGTTTGTCTACTTATGAACCTGTAGCCTAAGAGAGTTATGATTCATGTCTTGAGGCATCCTTTATGGTAATGGTCACCTGAGCTGATTTAGTTTGGTGAGATTACTCACTCTCTGCTCTTTTTTTTTTTTTTTTTTTTTAGATATTCATGGTAGCAGACCTTAGTAAAAACAAGTGTCTGATTTTTTTAAGGGGGAAAAAAAATGAAACTGTACTGGCCACATAGTACAGTTTAAAAAATAAATTTAAATTGTGGCGTAAAAGTGATTCATGAGGTTAAGAGAGCAGGTAGATTACTGGCTGATTTGCTGATAACGTCACTGTTATGCATGTAAGGATGTCACAATGCCATCAAATGCTGCTATTGTGAGTGGTGGTAGAGGCTAAAGGAAAACAGGAGCGGTAAAGGCATGTGGGAGAATGGGGATTCATTTTATTATTGCAAAGCCACCAGCTTGTAACTGAAGAAGTTCATGGAATCCTCCGCAGTGCTTGGTTCAGTAGCAAGAATTCACTGCGAGAGAGGTGAGAAAACTGCCTGTGGTTGCCACTGGCTGGCAGTTCTGCAGCCCTAGGCTCCTGCTGAAGCACACAGCTCTTCTTTTGCTCCAGGTATTGGCAGCTGAAGAAGGCTTTGTGTAAGTTACTAAGAACTGTAAACCAAGATGGATTAGTTAATAATACAGAGAGCATGTATCACTGGTCGATCCCTTACAGGGCAGAGCCGAGTGGTTTTGGGTCAAGAGAGGTTTTGATCTGTAAGTAGTAGGCAAGGAAGTTTGGAATTAAAATAAAAACAAACAAATAAAACAAACAAAAAAATAAAATACAAGTGGATATGAGTAAAACACAGTTTGGAACAGGTGCAAAATACGAGATTGAACATTAATGTGGTCTCTGTATAGTTTCAAAGACAGAATTTGAATAACTATTTTATAGTAGTCAGCTTATCAAGTGCATTTGAAAGATATGAAGCACGAACTGGAAACTAGGAAAAATATAGATTCTGGTGTATGCAAGTGTAAACATACAGTGAGCATGTTGAAATCCCCACAGGCACATACATGAAAGTAATTTGGGTTCAGTTGTATCAAAGCTTCAAGGAAAACTCCAAATTTTAAGACAATGGCGTACATGAAACTAAGTATCAAAAGCTGCTGAGCTGGTAACTGTTTGCTGCCATTGGGTTACTTTAAGCTGATTAGTGTTTAGTGCCATTCATGTGGCTCAGACCTGTATATCAGCATTTGCCTTAAATACGTGCAGATTGTTACGGCAACAGATCTTGAAAACCACTTTGGAGTTTGTGCTTTGAGGGTCCTATTTTTGTTAGCTAGTTACATTCTTGCATTGAAGGCAGCCCTGAGGAGTTTCTGTTAATTGGTTTTCAAATATGGTCATTTAATTGTTCAAACTTAAGCTTGACTGCGGTGGTTAATTCTTAATTAACTTAAGTTTACTAAAATAACTTAGAGTAGTTCAGCAGAATCCTGTATCACTTAATCCCCATCCCACTCTGTAATAGTCTATTTGCAGGTGGAACCTGGCATCCCTAGAGAGCCTCACTGGTCCCAAGGGACTGCCTGCCTGGAACTCATTACCAAAACGGGGCCTCAAAGAATAGAATATAATTTTACTCAAAGTGTTATAGTGTAAAATGCAGTGTCTGTTTGACTAATATCTTTCCTGTACAAGTGAAGTAGTTTTGACGATAAGGAAGAATGTTTAATATTTCCTAATCATTGAAACGGGACGCTGCTCTTGATTCAAACATCCCCGTTCTTTTTTCTCTTTTCTTTCTATCTCAGTCATCTTGCCACCTGTAGTTTTTGAGACACAGGAGAATTCCCAGTGCCTCAGTAATGCTTTGTATTTGTCCCTACTGCCTCTGCTTTATTGGGTCTTCCTCTGTTGCTTCTCATTTGTTAAAGTAGTATGACATTATTTCTTTGAATGATACTTCTGTTAGGATATTAGCACTGTAATAAACAGAGCATTTAGTTTGTGGATGAATTTCTTTCCCACTAAACATCAGCATCCAGCAGTGACTGTGATGATAGTGAGTAGATACAGCAACTTCAGGACGAGGTCTCAGCGTGACTTTAGGAATTAAGCCACTTATTTAAAAAAAAAAAAAAAAGTGTACATGAAATACCTAATTATTTTTTTTCTTTTTGTTTCTCCTATTGTCAAAAAGTGGTTTGAAGTGTTTTAGGGTTTGTAATGTTTCAGAACTCTTGTGCAAAAGAAAGGAACATGTAACTGTTACAAAGCAGTTGCACTTCAGCAGAGAACTTCAAAGTCGCACAGAAAAGCAGTCCTGTGAGGGAGTGGTTAATATTGCAGTTTACAGTTTACTCATTAAGAAAGTGTTATTGTAGAAATCATCTATCTTAAATGATTTTTTTTTTAGCTATTGTGTTACAGTAACATAGCACCAGGAGGAATGGTGATTTAGCTGGAAGATACTGGACTTGAACATTTAATTTTTCTTCTTTTGGCACATTGCCTTCCAAGTGTATTTCATACATGTAGTTGGTCTGCTCTTGCCTTTGTGTGAGCAGCAGAATTCAGTTTGCAGGGGAGTAATTCTGGGTTAGTCACGAGAACCCGTCTGAAGCTGAAAAAAATGTTGCATTACAGTTCTCAGAAATAACAATCAAGAAAGAGACATCAGATTAAGTCCTTGGTTTGAAGGCTTAATTACTGATTTTGACCTTCTGAGAAGTGTAGTTTCTGTTGTACTGAAATTTGACTAGCAAGGTGGAGGTAGCCTACAAGGGAGGCAGAAGAAGGGAATGATAACAAAATGAGATGGAGGTGTGCAGCTTCACAAGACAGCAATTGAAATCTCATAAGATTTCACAGGAGCCGTGTAATTTGATGAATCACATTGGAAAGATGAGTCATTTGGACAAACAATGTTCTGTGACTTAATGAGGTGGTAGAGAAATAAGGAGATACCAGATGACAAGGAAATTGTGTAGAATTTTTCCCTCTCCCCTGAAATTTTATAGTATACATGTATGTTATGATAAGCAAGTGGTATATTAAGTGAATATTTTAACTGATAATTGTTAGCAGAGCTGAAATCAGAAGATACAGAAACAACCTGGTGCTCCTACATACGTACATCTGACAACGCAATAGAGTTGTGTGGAAGAGACAGTGAAATGTAATTAAGAACAGTTTAATTAGGCACTTTCATCTCTGAAAAAGAGTACCCATTCTCACTTGATACATTTTGCCTGGTATCTAAGTGTAATAGAGTATTTCTGTTTAGTACCCTGACCCTTGAACAAGGAGGCATTTCTGTGATAAACACGCATTATATACATGCTGCTGATACCGAGAAGCCAAGAAGTTGCCGTGCTTGGAGTGTGCTCCATTTTTGAATGATACCTTCAAGTCTTCAGAAGGAGGAAGCCGGTACATATTCCAGGCAGGTTTAGCCTGAGTACATGGTTAGTTAAACTAGTAGATGAATGACATTCAAATAAGAGTGTAGGTGTTTAATTCAGCACCTAAGTTATGGATCAGTTATTACATTTGACCACACTTCTTAAAGAAATACATGGTGTGAGAAGCGTGCTTTACTGGTGGAAATGTTTGCTTCTCAAATGCAGTAGCAGCATGTTCAGAAGTGTCATTTTGTATTGTTTATGACTGGTTTGGCAGCATTCAGATTCTTCTTATTTCTTGCTGCTTTCTGTATTCAGTGCTTGTCTTCTTTACTTGGATTATAATTCCTGTTTGTAATTGTGCTTTTTTCACATAGGGGTGTTTTATAACTTCAGTCTATTTGTAAATTACCAAGTAATCTTTTTACTTCTTCCAAATGTTTTCAAAGATCTAATGCCTACCTTACTACTTTTGTTTACAATTACATATTTTTAGTATACATATGTATCTCATTTCCTTAGCATAAATCCTGCTCCATACATACTTTCCCCCGGTAAAGGTAAAATACTGATTTTCTGTTTGTGAAACACTGTTTTCCACCTGTTCTGTTGTAGACATTATGTTCAGAGACATTCTTTCCTTAACCTGCAGTTAATAATCAACTATTTATCAGCTACATTATAGCATATTACACCAACACTGATGATTGTGCATCCCTGGTTTCAAGCTGGATGCTGTTTTTACACCACCAGCAAACAGGAGGGGAATAATCCAAAGGGACAGCAGCTGATAGAACTGCTCCCGTTCAAAGAATGTTACTCTGTTGTAGGAAGGTGATTTTACCTGACTCTTTTTTTTTTTTTCCCATTTGCAATTCTAAACCATTAATGCACTGCGTAATTTAGATTTTCTTTTCCAGAGTTGTTATTTGTGTATTGGGTAACATTGAGTGTTCAGTTAATTTGATTGCTAAAGAGTTAGTTATAATGTCATGGTTGAAGACTTGAAACAGTATGTTGACAGCTATACTCCTTCTTGTACCACATCCTATACAGTCTTAAAGCTTGGATGCAGTATTAAAACTTGGATGAAGTTCCTTGAATCATATAACCTTGAAAATTTTAATAATAAATACTGTGTAATTCCTCATTCTACATACAGTATGGCCAGACCCATACAAAATGTCTCATGCCTCTGCACGTGTTGTGGTGGGGTGCTAAACTTGGGTCTGGTTTTGTTTGTAAGTGCAATTAGTTCAGCAGCTACTAGTTAAACTGATGTAGTAATTTAGTTGGCAGTAGAGCAGGAACATTTCACCACAGAAGATTAAGTTTGGCTGACAGTGTACATTTATAGCAGGCCCCTTTCTAAAACCCTTCCTGTAAAATAGGGTTAGAATTCATTCACTGTTACATACAGGAATATACCACATGATTTTTTTCTGCTTGTGTCAAAGCATTACTCTCTCGTTTACCACTTCAGAGATTTGCTTATTGGTGGGTGGATGGTTTTTCTGTTTGGTTGCTTTAGCATGCAGTCAAGCAGTTCCCCTCCATCTCCCAAAATATATGAGTCTGAATGTCTCACCTTTTCACTTCACACTTAAAAAACGGAATAGACGGGGATTATCATTTTAGAATCACACTTTGTTTATTAACATTTCAAAATGTGCCATTAAACAGTCCTGTAGTATATCTGTTAAATAGTAGAAGCTGAAACCTGTGAAGCTGTCTCCTCTTTGATCATGGCGATTATGCTCTGTAACTGTGTTTTTATGGTAATATTGTAAATAATGTCACCCTTTTGTGCCCGAGTGTACAAACCCAGTTGTAATATTAATATTTTAATCTAAGACAACTGTAAAGTTACAACGTCCAGAATGCAACTGCCAGTTAAGAATCGTGAAGTACTTTCCTGAAGGGTGAAAATGTACTCGAGATAGCAACATAGGACTCATTTCATTTTTATCGCAATTTCAGTTGTATCAATTAAGGGGATGTTATTTCTTTGGTAAGTTACTTTTTAATTACTGCTAGGATGAAACTTATTTAATCCTTCAATTATGTGATCTTCTTTTTTTTTTTTTTTTTTTTTTTGATGTTACTTATTTTGACAGAATTACCTCCGGATCTGAACTACAGTTTTAGACCAGGTCTATGACTTCTGTGTGGATTGAAGTTTCTTGCTGTCTGTATCACCTGCAGCTTATTCTCTTACATAATTTTTCACTTATTGTTTTTATTTAAGACCTGCTAATAAGTGAAATTTTTTATTTTTTTTTAAGGCTTCAGAAGGAGACAAAAAACAAAATGAACAATCCAGCTATTAAGAGAATAACAAATGAAATTATCAAATCACCTGAGGATAAACGAGAATATCGTGGACTGGAACTGGCAAATGGCATTAAAGCGCTTCTCATTAGTGACCCCACCACAGATAAGTCTTCGGCAGCACTAGATGTGCACATAGGTATTTAAAGCATTTTGTGTTCATTATAGACTTTTAGCGTTATTAAAATGCTTTAACTTTTGGTACCTTAATTGCAAATAAAATGGTAGGAGTAGTATCTAGCTGGTAGCCTAGCCTTTTACCATAATTTAGATTTTAATTCTTTGACATATCTAGTTGAAAATTAAGAGCTAATTAAACTCTCTTATTATACGGTGTTTACTCAAGTGTAGCTCAGTCTGTAGAAAGACTTCTAATGAGTAAGTTTCATGTTATGAAAGCTCTTCTGTAAGCAGAAAAGGGGCGGATGTGAGTACAATTATTTCAGATGGCTCCATCTGTCACGTCAAACTTTTTTTCCACGTTAAGTTGTTGATGTGTTGAGGTGAGAAGATGCTATAGTGCAGGAGGAGATGGGGAGGCACACCCTAAATGCAGTGATGCTTAAGATGCAAACAAATGCTGGTTATAGAAGTAGAAGACAGTATCTTTGGAGCAGTAGAAGCCTTTTCTTTTATGTGAGGTATCTCTCAAACTGACAGAGTTTCCCACTTGCTTTTGAAGTGTGATGTATGCACACGTTACCTAAGCATTTTTATCCTCTTGCTGTATTTGTGGTTGGGAGCTCTTTCTGTTGTTGATATTAGGACACAGATAGTAATATTGTAAACTTCTGTCCTGTTTTATAGTGGCATAAAATCCTTGTCTCGTTCAGAGGATCCCAAATACAGTTTTCTTGGATGCTGTGACAATAATAACCAACTGCAGTGTCCAGTTTGTGCATGTGGAGATGTCTGTTGCCTTCACCTCCGTTCTCCCATTGTACACTGTTGCACACTCCAAAGCAGGCCTTCCAGATGCAAACTTCCACGCTTCTGGCTTCCATTCCTGCACGCACGCTGTTGTTTTCTAAAGTGTCACGCTTCACACCTACGAGCTGGTCTGCAATAGCTGCTTGTGTCCCGGCAATTAATTACAGGTTATCACTCATCCCATAAACCACAGGAGAAACACCTCCATAATTGTGGTTGTGAATTGCTGCCTTTTAACGCTGTGCAGTTATTAAAATCAAGCTATAGAAGTCAGAACATTGTGATCTGCCAGATCTATACAGATTATGAATCATGGACTTCAGTTTAGATCTTGTGTCTCTGTAAAGCAATGCAAGCTGATCTGGAGAGGTAATTTGAGACACTAATTGGTTCAGTTACTCATTTTAAATTTCCTTTTTATTTTATTATTTTAAGATTGAGTTTAGTTGAATAAAGCTGCCAAATATCTACTTAAAACTAGAGAATTGGTATGATCGACACACAGTAATATAAAGCACATTAAAAGACTTAAAAGTTTTATTACTTTTCCTGAATGGTTGTATGAATTCTTTCCTCCTGTAGGGTCCTTGTCTGATCCCCCTAACATTGCTGGGCTTAGTCATTTTTGTGAGCATATGCTGTTCCTGGGAACCAAGAAATACCCGAAAGAGAACGAGTATAGTCAATTTCTTAGTGAGCATGCAGGGAGCTCCAATGCCTTTACCAGTGGAGAGCATACCAACTATTACTTTGATGTGTCACACGAACATCTAGAAGGTGCACTGGACAGGTAAACACACTTTTATTTGCAAGCAATCTTTTAATGTAATGCTATAATTGCATAAGGGTTCTTCCTCGTGCTTTGTTTATTATCCTATTAAAGGAGGGGCTGAGAGCACTGCCTTGTATTACAACTGGTATTAGATGATTTTTCCTTCCAAAAGTTTTGCTCAGAATTTTTTTGGCTAACAGTATTTTTAAAGTCCAAGGGTTGTGTTTACACCAAATATTTTTGAAAATGCGGGATACAGAATGAGATCGTGAACATACGCATTGTGCAAATATTCTGCTTATATCATCAAATACAGTGCTTGTCACAGCATTCTTACTTCTTTGATAGCATAAGAAGGATGAACTCCAGAAATAAATTGGGATGCCTTTACTCAAGGGAAATGACTGAAACTTCTGTGGTTTGTGGGAGGGGACAGAAAGTAGAATTGTAGTTGATGAGATAAAGAAAATAGATTTTTTTCCCCTTGGTAAGAAATGTCCTAGGAAACTTTTTTCCTCCCCCCTTGTTTATGCCATAGAATCTCTGTGTTGATGACCAAATTATTCCCATTTTCACAAGGAGTGAGCTCTTACTAACATTTGTTCCTTGTTTCCTGGATGTGCAAGATTAAGAACCTCTTGCAATTAAACTTCATCACAGTAGAAGTTTTGTATGCAAGATTTATGATGTAAAGTTGATATTTGTAATACCTTGTATGATGAATATGTTGTAATCCGCATTTATAGATTAAAATGAGAAACAAAATAGTGAATCAGTGTCAAAACTTAAGGAATTTGGAAATTCTCTATTGAGAAGTAATACGTAAAGCTATTTTCAGAAGGGATTAAGCTTTCTGTTACCATTTATGTACAGTACTCTTGACTTGAATTGAAAATTTTCTGTTTAGATTTGCCCAGTTTTTCCTGTGCCCTTTGTTTGATGAAAGCTGCAAAGATAGGGAAGTGAATGCTGTTGATTCTGAGCATGAAAAGAATCTGATGAATGATGCCTGGAGGCTGTTTCAGTTGGAGAAGGCTACTGGAAACCCTAATCATCCCTTCAGTAAATTTGGAACAGGTTTGTCAGAATATTATTATTTGTCCACTGGAGTTCTGTGTCCACTGTGTGATGTATGTAGTGTTATTGTTTAGATAAAATTGGTTAAGATCAGACTGAAACAATTCCCCCTCTTTTCCCCGCCATACATGTTTATTGTGGTACATTATTTGCATTTTCTATTTGGTAGACCAAACAAAGCTAGACAAAAAAATATTAAACAGTGATACAAAACTTGGAAGGACAGAGGCATCCTTTATGATGTGATAATTACCACAGTGGATGCTGTTTTCCAAAGACTGGATTTCATAATTTGGTACTGTAAGTCTTAGTGCATGGTGAAGTGAATGGACTGTGTTTAAATTATTGTTAGCTGCACTCTCTCTTTTTTGCTAACTAGTATTCCATTAAGACTAGGTGGCAGTGACTAGGTCAAATGAGAAGGATTAGCAAAGTAATGTGACAGTTACTGAAGAAGAATATAAAAGCAAAATCTGAAAGCATAAAATGCAGCAGCAGATGGCTAGGTAAACTAGTCTTGGACAAATCCCAATCCCATTGCTGTAGGGTTTTTTTTTCAGGCTTTATTAATCACAGAGTGCTCAGTAACCATGTAAAATAAACAACCTAAAACCTAAACTTAAAAAGTATTAAAGTAACATATGGTGGTTATAGTTAAAACCACAACTGTTTGGCAGGAGTTGTTACAAAGTTACTTTCTACATTAATTGCAAGTTTATTTTTGAAACTGTCAGACTAATAGGGCCATTAATTCAGACACTTCACTGTTTAATCCTTGATTGTGAATATTTTTTTGTCTGGGTCAGTTTGCTGGGTCAGTCGGTACAAATGTTGGGACCTGTAAGGGTGATGGGGGGGCAGGTAATGGACTTTAAAGACTGGCTTCTTCCTCTGTCCCAAGGAAAGAGAAGAACATTTCTGCACCTGATGATGAAGGACAAAGTTGAGGGGCTGGTAGTCAGCTGCTACAAGTGTGTGTGTTTTTCTGTTTTCCAGTGAAGAGAGGCTGTCTGAAACTAGGGGAAATATAAGTATTGCTCAAAGAGGTGAATTTGAAAGCAAGTCTTGAAAATTACAGGCAACCATCTGAAGTACATTCTATAGTCTCAGAGGGGTGGAATCTGGCCTTCCTGAATCAGCAAATAAATTTTTTGCTGTTACTGAAGAGATTGTTTCTGCAATTTCTACTAATGTTATCTGCGTGCTACACAGAAATTAAAAAATAGTTTTCTACGGTTTAGGAAGGTTTGAGAGTTGACACACGTGAAATTTTAAAGGTAGAATACCTGAGACATGCTCAAATTCAGTAATAGTAGTCATATTCATCTCTCCTTAATTTGGGCTCTGATTCTGAAATTAAATTACAGCACATTGCTAAATCAGATGTACTGGAAAGCTAAGCTAGAGCCCAGCTTTGATTTTTTTTTTTTTTTTTTTTTTTTTGTATTTACTCAGAGTTGTTAGCTGTGATATGTTTTTGTGACAATAATTTCAGTCGGCATTCTTATCTTTTCCTTTTGACCAGATGAGATGTTACACAGAATGACTCCATTTAGGTCACACTGCTTATTGCTGTGGAGCCTGTTTTGCCAGCAGAAACAAATGCACATTATTCTTCAATTTTCTTGTTCATATGTGCATCTTGTCCTCAAATAACCTTCACCCATCACTGAGTAACTGTCTGTGGCAGTAATTCTTCATCAGTATCCTCAACCGTGTCCAGTCCTTCCCCAGCACTTTTGCACCGTCCAGTGTCCATTTTCCTACCTCTACAAGGTGTCTTCTGATTGTTGCCTCCTAATGTACGTCAGTACTCTTAACAGAAGTTACCAAGCTGAAGTTTTAGCTCTTTTATTTTATTTTAATTTGCCCTGTCTATTGATTCTGTTGCTATCTAAAACTTACGCGTTTCTGTTGTCTTTATGCTTAAATCTGTAAGATCTGACAAGCTTATGCAGCTTAAAAATGGGAAGGAATATTGACAAACTATTTAAATCATAATACCCTAAATATTCATTCTAGGTTTTGCTAGGAATCATTGCTTTTACTAACAAATGTGTGAAATTAGAAAATCAAAGTAAAATTTTGATTCAGGCAGCCTCTCTGTATGATGTATTGTTGGCTGTTGCAGTTGTAATTACACTTCTATCTAATCACCAGATAACTGGACAATATACTTGTCTTATTTTTTGTGTAGCTAGTTTTGCCTCACTGGTCTGTATTAATGCATATCTGTAATAGTAGCATTTGTGCACTGGGCATATTTGTGTACCAGAAACATTTTCCCAGTGTTTTCTCTTACTCTTGCTGTTTTTCCTGTAAATGCAAGGAAATTTTGTTGCTATGTTTCCTTGTTTTAATCTTGTTCCTTATCCTCTGCTTTTTCTGTAAATGATCTGGTTTTGGCTTCAGGGAGTTCCTGATCTCATAGTTAGCAGATAGAGTATTAGAGTTCTGGTCTGAAGATTCTGTTGACCATTTCATGTGCCTGTGTAGTAATGGAGTGGAGTTGATTATAATCAAGCATACTCGTTGTAGACTGATTTTTTTTCTGTTGTTTCCAGTTCTTGCATTTTACTAAATAAGAATTTTGCTCTGCTCGAGTGTGGAGTATTTCTTCACAGTAAATTATTGAAAGCTTGGTGTAAAGATTGCACTGATTAATGGGATAATAACTTAATGGAGAAAGTTTGGTATGTGCTGCAAATATGGCTTATTTAGGGAACAATTGCAGTGGTTCTCTTCCTCTTTAATCCTGTTCCCATACTTCAGGAACAGCTCAGCTGTTTGTGAAGCAGAAGCTGAGCAGTCACAATTTACAAACTGCATTTTGAAATTAGTAACTACTTCACTTTGTCTTAGCGTTCTAGGCTATAATTTGTGGCATGCAGTGCCACAGATAATTTCATACAGTGATTCCTATGTGTTGTGGTTTAACCCGGCTGGCAACTAAACACCACACAGCCGTTCACTTACCCTCCCCCTCTGGGACCGGGGAGAGAAACGGGAGAATGAAGCCTGTGGGTTGAGATAAAGACAGTTTATTAAGACAGGAAAATAATAATAGTGATAATGGTAATAGTACTACTACTAATAATGTGTACGAAACAAGTGATGCACAGTGCAATTGCTCACCACCTGCTGACTGATGCCCAGCCTAACCCCAAGCAGTCCGCTCCCCCTCCCCCTGGCTAGCCACCCTTATATATTGTTTAGCATGATGTCAGATGGGATGGAAACTTTGGCCAGTTTGGGTCAGGCGTCCTGGGTCTGTCCCTTCCTAGCTCCTGCTGCACCCCTAGTCTGCCTGCTGGCAGGACGGAGTGAGAAGCTGGAAAGTCCTTGGCTTAGTCTAAGCACTGCTCTGCAACAATTAAAACATCAGCATGTTATCAACACTCTTCTCATCCTAATCCAAAACATAACACCCTACAAAGAGAAAAGCTTTCCTTTTTCTGAATTAAAGTCTAGGCTTACTTGCGTTGCTTTGAAATAGCCATTCAAATAAAAAAAATATATATATAATTTGGAAGGCTGAAACATCCTGGATTCTTGAAGAAGATGCAGATCGAGAAAGGAAATATTGTTTCTGATGAAAACAGACAATATTGACCCACTTTTCCTGTTATTATGTGTAGTAGTTCTTTTTAAAAAGAGCAGATGCATATACGTATAAATAATTTGTAAATTCACAAACCGTAAGTATATATGTAATCAACAAGCTATATTGTTAACTCTTATTTTATGTTACAGGGAACAAACTCACTCTGGAAACTAGACCAACCAAGGAAGGAATAGATGTAAGACAAGAGTTATTGAAGTTCCATTCTACTTATTATTCATCAAATTTAATGGCTATTTGTGTCTTAGGAAGAGGTGAGAGCTCAGAGTTTTTCTGTTAATTCGTTAAGAATTTAAATATATTTATGTTCACAGAGAAGAAAACAAAGTGTATGCAAATCTGAAGATCTATAAAGGGGAAAAAAGCAAAGCTTGTACAGGCTGACCAAACATTGTTTCGTTTAGTGAAGTCTCCAAACCAACTTGCAGTGTGTAAACTTAAAAGTTATAAGCTTACAATACTAAGCTGAAAACTTTAAATTCGTTATCAAGTCCTCAGTTGCACTCATTGTGTGTTTCTTATGAAGACTGACACCTCTGTTTTCAGTTTTTGAGGGCTTTTGATATTGTTCTCATATTTAAGACTTGCACATACTTCCACTACAAAAACTAACGTGTTACAAAGGATGAATGTAATGTAACACTGAGATAAGCCTTTACTTCCGTTTACTCCTGAAGTAATGTAACAGACATTCCAATTGCTTAAAACCTTCCTCAGTCAAGATTGTATAAGGGTTTGCCAAAACCTTAATGACAGTGTGTTGAAAACGGCTTCTTGAAAGCATGTTGATAGATGAGTGTTTTACAATAATGCTCGGATGGTGAGGATGAATAGAATACCATTTACTAGCAAAGCGGAAAGCTTTCTTTACAGCCCCCTGTTCACAGGGCGCTGCATTTGAAGCACATTGACAAAGCATATCTATATCATTTTAATCGTAGTGCATAAGTGATTTCTTTTCTTGTAGATTCTAAGATGGGCAGACATCATGAGGCTTATAGTTCTTAACCAATTCCAACTATCCAACTTTTGTGTGTATATTCCTTGTCAAATCAGTACCAGGCTCCCTAATTCCTATCAAGTTGTTTTATTATTAGAACTCATCTGCTTTAGTATCATATATTGATGAGAATACCATAGAATTTTTTGTTGTTTTACTGTGCAGGCTGCACAGTAAAATGTATTAGAATTTTATTTAAGGAGTAGGGTCAGGTATGTTGTTAGTAGGTACTTATGTAATACAACAAGGGTTAGATATATTTAATGTGTGAGAATGCCTTGCTTATTCTCCTAGCAGCAATGGAAACTTTATGCAATTAAGCGCTGTGATATTAATGAAGACAGCCTATAAATATTTGTAAATAGTTTTTATTTATGTTTGAAGGAGGAATTTCCCTCTACTCCTCTTTTTTTCTTCTGCATATTCTACCTGAGGAAAAAAAAACTACTTTTGTTCTAGAGAGCTTTATGAGCTTAGAAGTATGTATACAAATTTGTTTCCTCATTGAGGAAGCAAGGTTGTTGTCTAAGGAGCTGCTTATTTTCTTTGAAGTATTGATTTATTAATTGAAGATAAGTAGGTATCGATCAGAGTTGATAACAATTGAATTAATTCTCTTCCTCTTCCTGTCCAGGAAGACTGTACAGGCAGTCTTCAGGACAGACAAAATCTGCATTTCAGATACCAATAAAATGCAGAAAATAGTTTTGCTTTCAAACGTTTCTTCAGTTTATATATATATATAAATATATATAAATATATAAATATATATAAATATATAACGTGTATGTGTATATATACATATATGTTTAGGATTCTTTCTATCCATTTTGTAAAATAAATAACATTTTGAAAGTAACTTTTTGTTACTTGTTTGAAGCAGGCTTATTGTCAGTCTGCTTGTTTACAAGAGGATATGTAACTATACATTTTCATCGTAATTAAGTAGTTGTCACAGTAAGTGTGAAGTGTTATTTGGGAAAAAGTTGCATCTTTCTTTGCATCTTACTTTCCCTGAAAAGAGACATAGCGTTTCTCACTCTTATTATTTGTTCAAGCAGCAGAATTATGCAAACGCTTTTTTTTTTTTTTTTTTTTTTTTGACGGGTCTGGGGGGGAAACGACAACTTCTGAAATAAGCTTTGTGCAGCCTCATAATTGTGTGTTTTTTCCCACCACTTATATATAAGTAAAATGAATATACAATGTACATCTGTGGAAAATGGTGAGAGAATCAGAATATCTCTGCTAATTACCTATAAATATTCAAAATAAAACTGTACTGAAATTGAATCATGAAATTCAATTTAAAACGTCTAAAGATTTTTATTTTTTTTCTTAAATCACCCAGCAAAAACAAAACCTAATCAAAATCAAAATTCACTGAATGATCACGGAACAACTTCAGTACAGCAGTTCCCATGTAGACTCTTAAATTCTTACTTTTTCAGTAAGAATCACCCTGGCAACTGGAAATTAGTCCTAAAGAAAACCTTCACAACAGTTCTGAAACTTAAATGATTGTGTTCTTTGATGCCCATTTTGGGGTGGCTTTTTTGGTTAGCTTCACAGAGACTTGAGTAGGAAAACTTGAATTCAGATTTCTTGTATTTCAATGTAGCTGAACACTGTACTTATTGATTTATAAGGAAGCTATATCTGGTAACTAGAAATATTATTGTGAAGCTGTTTGTTGCTTAAAGAGGAAAAATTTGTTTGATGTTTAGAATTATTATCCTCACGACGTAATTCTGGCATAATTGTTATTGAGGATTTGCCAGAGAGGTGGCAGTAATGCATTGTATGCCTTCCTTAAACTAAGAAGCCAACTTTGGAGGGAAAAATAAGTGTCAAAGTAATTCTTTGAAAATAATATTTTTTTGTCTTCTGTAGCCAAATTAAACAGGGTAACAGGTTGATAGATGGCAGCTGGTTTTCATTTTAGCATAGAAAAATGCAAACTTGAGCCTCAAATGGCTTCTAACAAAGTAAGCCTGTATCTTTCTGCAGTTATTTTAGTGTTACAGGCTAGGGTTAAGCCTGAAAAGGCATTAACAATACCTATTAAATGTAATGTCCAATACTATCTCACACTGTAGATGCAGTCTTCAACACTTTTTTCTGATGGGGATTGAAAAAATATGAATCTTTAACAGAATTAGGTGCAGTTCACAAAATCTTAGTGTACAGTGATCCATCTTGGCTTATGCTGGGTTTTTTCCTCTGCAGCACTCTGTCAGGTGTAACTCATGTAGGAGCAAATTTATGTCAGACAGGAAAGATTCCCCTTTCTAAATCTAACTGGGATTGTTTTGAGGAACAAGGCGACCACTTTTTGAAATCTTTCAAGGGTTGAAGTTGTACTTTGAGACATTCCAGAAACCCCAAATTTTCTTTCAAAGATGTGTGCTAAAAAATCTGAAGGATGAATCTCTTATCTTATTGTTACTGTGAGAAGTGCTCCAAAGTGCATGTTTTAGCAGATGGCTAGTTTGAAGGTAGTATATCAGCTGTATAGATGCACTCAGGTGAATTCATGCACAACAGCAAGTACTTTCCACAAATGGTCTTCCTATCATATTTGGAGAGTATTAGTCAAGGCCTGCAACTAGAATGGATGTAAAGTGCAAATGCTTAAACAGGTCACAGATACGTGTATGAAATTATGAGGCACTGAGCACAGATGATACTGGCTCTCAGTGTGTGTAAAGTATTGGAGGTTAGCTGAGATCAAAGAACATCTTTTGACAAATATACTTTTCCTCTGGAAAATTAGCAACTGTAATTCCATCTCCCTTGGGCTTTTTGTGAAATGTTTATTTTTGTAATGTTCAACATCTGACATGTCTCTTCTTCAGTTCCACCTTGAATTCATCAGTACACTTCAAGGATATTTTTTCCTGTTAACAGGATTTATTTTAATCATGGTTGAAGCCTGCCTTTAATAACCATGATGCTTATAGCATGTTATTATTTAAAACCTTAGCATTATATATATTTCCTTTTTGAAAATAACAATCATTGTGTCATTAAAACTACTTTTCTATATAATCCACATGTTTTCCAGATAATATCCAAAATCCAAATTAGCTAGAAATTTCAGATAATGATTGTTTTTTTTCTAATGTTTCTTTATTTTAGAATCCTTGGATGAGCTAACTTCCTTAGTGGTGAAGTTATTTTCAGAAGTAGAGAATAAAAATGTCCCTATACCAGAGTTTCCTGAACATCCTTTCCAAGAAGAACATCTCCGGGTAGGTATAGAGATGTATCTTCTGTCAGGAATGTATACCTTAAGTGATAGTTTCTATATTACAGCGATACATTGTGCACTTCACTACTTTTGTGTCAGTGTTCTCATGAATGATGTAGTTTGTACAGCTTATGATAAAGTTTGTATGTTTCATTGTTCCTTTAAGCAACTGTGAGATAATTAGTTCTATGTTTAAGCATCATGAATGCCTCAAGTGTTCCCCTATTTTTCATTTACCTTTCAATCTGATTTAGATGTTATGTAATAAAATGTGTACACGTGAAGGGGATATGATACGTGCTTCTGAAACGTATAAATGAGATTGGGTGAGTGTCTGCTTGTTTATGGATCTCCTTTTTTGTTTTCACCTTCAGCAACTTTACAAAGTGGTGCCTATTAAGGACATCAGAAATCTTTATGTCACATTTCCTATACCAGACCTTCAGAAGTACTATAAATCAAATCCTGGCCATTATCTTGGTCATCTGATTGGGCATGAAGGCCCAGGGAGTCTTTTGTCAGAGCTTAAAGCCAAAGGTAAGTCCTTTGAAAATAAAGAATGAAAAATTAGTTAATTGTACAACTCTTGAAAACTTAAATGTTTAATTTATAATTTATCTCTGTAAGTTAAATTTGAAGTTCCCAGCAATATGAGTAATTTGAGTTGTAAATCATTTCCCACTTTATTCTTGTTTCTGTGGTGGGTACAAATAAATAACTAACAAACACCCTAACCATTGATGCTACTATTTTTTGTGTGCTCCTCTTTGTCCACCCCTGCTTAGAGAGACATGCAGTTTTGCTGTACTGATCTTGTCTCTGTTCTGTCACTGAGCTAGATTACTGTCAGCTCTCTTGATGTCTGGAAGAGTACCAGAGTGTACCTTTCACTGTTGTTCATTATATTACTGTGTACCAAATAGAAATAAATTACCTGGTGACCTAGTGATACTGAGTTTGTTCTAGTACCATGAGCACAAAATAAGATAGGTCAGATATTTATCTTGCCCTGTTGCTATAGATGCTAAGGAAGAGAAGGGGAACATGTAATGTTATTAAAATGCCCAAAAAAAGAAGGGGGGGAGGGGCGGGGGTAATGTTGCTAAAGCATACTAAGAAAGTAGTATAAACCTTTACAGGTTTGTTTATACAAAATATTTTCTTTGATTTTACAGGATGGGTATATACTCTTGTTGGAGGACAGAAAGAAGGTGCTAGAGGTTTCATGTTTTTCATCATTAATGTGGATTTGACAGAGGAAGGACTTTGTAAGTGAAGCATTGTTTCTGCATTCCATGTTAGTCCTGATCTTGATGGGCTTGTGTTTGTATCCAGAGAGAGTAATTGTCCTAATAACTTGACAAACTGTATATTTTAATTCACTTATTCTGGTTTTGGATCCCAGTATGTTAACACATTTCATCTAACACAATAAATGAATTTATTTGAGGTAGTATTGAAGTATTTCATTAAATGAGTATTTTAAAGTAAACTACTTTAGAAGAAAAGTTGTTAATACCTTTGTGTGCTACTTATTCATAGGATTTAGGTCCGAGTTAAATTATACTGTCAATCAATATCTTACTGTATGACATGTTCAAAGCAGTTCTTGGAATTAGCTGGGGACCTAAGCACTTTTATTCATGTCTATGAATAATCGTATTAACTTTTTCAGTGGGATTGTAAATATACTTAAATACCTCGATGTATCAGAATGTAATTCAAAATACAAAGTTTCTTACTTGTTTTCATCAGAATTATTTCTTTGTGTAGGATTAAGCAAGCATTTTTTTTCTTTTCAGTGCATGTTGAAGATATTATTTTGCACATGTTTCAGTATATTCAAAAACTACGTACAGAAGGACCTCAAGAATGGGTTTTCCAAGAGTGCAAGGTACAGTGATTGGTACACGAAATATGCAATAATAGTGTTTTTACAAATTTTTGAATTATAACTAGGACCTTTTTCCATGGCCGTGGACATAGTCTTTAACAATTGTATGGTAACCGAGTTTCTTAACTTTAAAGGTGTGTTTTCTGTGGTGTGGCTCAAATAATGAGTACATTGAGAATATGTCTTAATGTAAATGTGAAATGCTCTTACAGAGCCATGAGTTGACATTGCATTACAGCATAATGAAGGTACAGGAAGAAGTTTCTTACCCTGTCCTTAAGGATTTGACACTGCAACATTACTGTTTTTCTTAAAGTAGAGGTGTTCTCAAATTATCAGGTAATTCAAATACATAGAATCATAGAATCATTCAGGTCAGAAAAGGCCTCCAACAACTCCAGCTCCCTCAGCCACTCCTCAAAAGACTTGTTTTCTACACCCTTCACCAGCTTCGTTGCCCGTCTTTGGATATATGTGTGAGTTCTGGGACAGATCTATGATGAACGTGACTTACAAGACATTAATTTTTGTTCAGCACAGAGCTTTTTGCTAATAAGGTGTTAATAATAACACTTCATGTTGTGAGATGGTCACATGTTGCTCATGAATTTTGTGCAACTTGAATATTACTGAAACCTCTTGTGTTAGGTATTTGTCTCAGATTGAATGGTACTATAAAATGGATATAACAAAAGTAGCCATTAATTATTCTTAAAACAGTTTTTGATATATGCTTTTCAACCCTTCTTAAACTGTTTCCTAGGATCTAAATGCTGTGGCATTCAGATTTAAAGATAAAGAACGACCACGAGGTTATACATCGAAGCTTGGAGGAATGTTGCATGTAAGTGATACTTTGTTTTATTTTGTTTTGGATAATATGTTTTAGCATTTAAAATTTTGCAGTATGTTTAACCATACACTGAATAAATATGGGTATGTGCAAAGTTCCTTTGCACTTCTTGAACTTAAGAAGTTACTATCATGCTGCATAGCTTTTACCATTGGTGGTTGCTAAATTGCATTTCCTTCACACTACCATTTTTTATTTCTGCACTTAATAGAACGGATTTTACAGTAACTGGAGTTGGCTATTTGATTTGTTTCAGTATTTCTTAATGTATCATGTAGCTTTCAAGCTGGGCATGGAATTACATGTTTTCTTCTGAAATAACGTTCTATCGTAAGTCCAAGTACTATGTTTCTAAGTGCTTCTCTAATTAACAATATTGGAATAAAACTAGCATTTCTGCTTACTGCAGTAAGATAGTAGATCAGAAATGGTTTAGTCTTCTAATGTGGATTACATATTGGTAGTGAAAGTATCATGTAGCTTACACTTGGTCTTTATACTTCCAAAATCCAGTTCCCTCATTTTGCACTGAAGGAAGATTTTGCCTGTTTTCTTTTTGTTTTGTGGCACTCGTGCAACATCTGTAAATTGCAGCCACTTCCTATTGCACAGCTAATTGTTTTGTTAGATATTTTTTTTTGTTTTTTTTTTCTTCTTTGCAGGAATTCCTGTATATGCTCCTACAGTTTTGATTTGTAAAGTCTAAAATAACAGTCTTTTATTTCAGAATTGACTTTCTGTTTACTAACAGACAACTGACAACATTTAAATGAATATTTAATGGAGCTCCTATTTTGGTTGCTATTTTTGTTTTTGCTCTAAAAAATGCATAAAATTTCTTTGGGAACTGTACTATGTCTGTCTTCTAAAGCGGTCTTTCAGTGGTCTGTATTCGTTGGATCAGTCCTGATTACAATTACTGGCTCCAAAAATTGCATCAGGAAGTTGTCAGCAGGGTATCAATTCAGAATAGTGTTTTTTCCTTTGATATTCTTTGCAGTATAAATGGTAATTTTGATTCTTTCATTAGTTGCTTAAACATTAATAGAAAACTAACTGTTCTGGTTCTCTTTGCTTTCCTCTGAGTCATACTAAGTTTATGCTCTGAAGCTTCTTCAAGCTGGAACTATAGTTTGATGATTTCTTATGAGTACAGAATGTTTTTAATAATTGGAGGAGAACCTACATGTAAATTAGCACTAGCAAATGTAATGTCATAAGTTGTTACATATTTGTCAAAAGGATAAAAAAAAAAGACAAACTTCTATTCATCAGAAGTTCCTATGTAAAGCACGTTTCTGGTGGTGTAATGAGTCACCACTAAAGTCTCACTGACAAATTACATTCACTATTTGTCATGTGTAGGCTTGATATTTTAAAGACAGTTGTTCCCTAGTTTGCTATGCCCTTTTTGTTTTGTTCTGTTTTCTTAGTTGTATCATTTTTTAAACTTTCATTTTAATTTGATTGTTGTATGTAGATAAATTTAGGTCATACCACAATGTAACTAAAATAAAACAGATTTTCAAAAAGACAGATTTTCAAAACAGAATGGTTGAAGCTAGAAAGGACCTCTGGAGGCCAGTCTTGTTCAACCCTCTGCTCAAACAAACAAAAGTGATAAATTTTATTATGTTTAATTCCAGTTGGTGAGTAGAGTATGGCTTGTATTTTGTACAGGTAATAATACCATAGACTTCTGGTCACTAAATCTGAATGACCTTGGTCATTTCAGATTAGAAGTACATAGGTTTCCTTAAATCTCCACTTCAAATTGCATGGTCTGCTTAGCCTTTCATGCAGAATTCAGTTAATTGAGCATTCTTCGGTCTACTACAGATGTTTTGAACAAGACCTTTCCAATCTTGTTCTTGTCTGATACATTTGACAGCATTAACATTTGAATGCTTTATAACACAGGTTTGGTTTATTGTACTTGTGTTTGTTTTTTTTTTTTTTTCCTGTTACTCCTTTTCCCTCACCTTAGTCCTTCTCGTTTCCAAAATGCTTAGTATCAGTTACTCTGTTCTGGAAGTCATTCCACTGTAGTCTTGTGTATAATGTATATAATTCAGAAAACCGTCTTAAGGTAATTCTGGTCAAAAAGCTGTATAGCTGTATGGCAAAATGCTAATGATGCTTGGTGCTTCTTGTTTAGGCTACCTCATATTTTTTTACTGCAGAAGGTTTTGAAAGTTTTCCTGTATTCCCCCCTAATCACTTTCAGAGGAGTGAAAGTTTTTTTTTTTTTTTTCTTATATAATGAAACTCTGAGACAAGGTACATATTAATTTTTTTCAAACGTATTGTAACTTGTTCAGTAACAGTTGGGCACACACATAATTCACTGTAAATAGTTCAGCTACTCTGTAGTCAAATGTACATAACTAGATGAAAAAGAAAAGGCAGCATATTCTATGCATTTGAAATGAAATCTGATTTGATATATTTTTTTTAAATTGTCTGCTTTTCTAGAAATGGGGCTTAACTTCTGTTATCTTAAAATTTGATGAAATGTACGGTTTGGGTCCCTTGCAAGTGAAGTGCACAAAAAATAAGGGAAAGGTATGAGTCATCTCAAGGAAAAGCTGTAAGGAAGGTTCAGAGCTGCCTGGCACAGTGAGACAGTGGAAGCATCTCTTTTGGGAGGCAAGAAGTCAGTTGCCTAGGCTCCACTGACACTTCGTCCAAGAAGTTCTTGTTATTGGTGTACTTGTTGTTATTGGAAGTTCTTGGTGATAACAGCAAAAATGTGTAGTTGAATCAATTTGAGGGATTTCACACAAAGAACTGTTTTTCCTATGTTGGATCCTAGCATGTCTGTCTGCTGCTTCTTCCCAAAACATACTATGTGTACACCTGGAAGGTTTTGTAGAAAGTCTTAGAGACTTTCACTTTAAGCCTAAACAAAAAATGTTAGAATAAAAATTGTGTAAATCGGCATTATGCTTTTAAATAATTGAAAGACACTTTCAATTAGTGTTTGAATTATTAGGGAATCCTAAAAAAAAAAAAAAAAAAAAAAAAAACAACCACAAAACAAACAAACAAACAAAAAAAAACTTGTTCACTTGTTTTGTTATATTTAGTTTTTCCCAAATGCACTCTTAATGATCACTTGGTATTCTGCCTTCAAAGATATCCTCCAGGGGTCAGCATTTGCCGTGTTATTTTTATGTCAGTTCAGAACAGTATTTAAAGATCAGTGACTTTTTATATTGAAGCATACAATACTTCAAAATAAAAGTATAGTAATGTGCAGTATATAAATGCACCTGGTATAGGGAACAATATTATCTGCATAATTAGAGTGCTACTCTGTCTTGTTTCTTTTCGAGAGAGAGACTTGAAGTGATCTATGCACTTCTAATCTGAAAGTATGAAGTCGGTACAGATTTAGTGACCAGAAATCTCCGCTTTTTCTTTTGCAAAACCATTTTTTTCACGCTTAGTTTTTGTTTAATTCATTTACACGTGTCTGGGCTTTGTCTTCTAGTATTATCCTATAGAAGAAGTATTGGCTGCTGAGTATTTGCTTGAAGAATTCAGGCCTGATTTAATAGAGATGGTACTGGATAAATTGAGACCAGAAAACATTCGGTAAGTTGAACTACAGTAACTTGTATTTTAACACAAATATTATAAGAGAGCAGACGAACTAATGGAAACACAAATTCTTAGGTGGTTCTTGGAGCTCCAAAGTAAATGTTACTATAAAAGAGAGAGTAGTTTTGCATTAATAAGATTTATTTCTGCTCCTCATTGAAAAGAAGTATTCTAAGTGTATGCAACTTTTCCTGCTTATACAAAAATACCCTCTCAATCTTTCCTGTGTGGGATGTCTTCCTCAGACTGAAATAGTTTTTAGGAAAATGAGTATTTGAATAGCTCAACTGCAATAGCTCAACATAAATTCTTGGGGCATTTCTAATGGAATGCTCTAGTACTCATAATTTTGAGCTAAGTCTGGAAATTAAGAGGAAAGTTTTTATCTGCTGTCTATATGTTCCCTATGAAAAGCTGCCAGACTTGATGCAGATTAGCAGACCCACTTAAAAAAAAAAATCGGCTTCAAGTGGATAGAAATAGCTGCATCTGTAGCTGCTAAAATCATAGTATGGTTTGGGTTGGAAGGGACTTTAAAAATCATCTAGTTCTACCTCCCTGCCATGGGCGGGGGTACCTTCAACTAGATGTAGTTGCTCAAAGCTCCATCCAGCCTGGACTTGAACACTTCCAGGGATCAGGCATCCACAATCACAGAATCACAGAATTTCTAGGTTGGAAGAGACCTCAAGATCATCGAGTCCAACCTCTGACCTAACGCTAACAGTCCCCACTAAACCATATCCCTAAGTTCTACATCTAAACGTCTTTTAAAGACTTCCAGGGATAGTGACTCCACCACCTCCCTGGGCAGCCTGTTCCAGTGCCTTGCTATTTTTTCCCATACTTTCTGCAAATGTACATTTTATTTTATTTACTTATTTTCACCTTTTTCCCCATACAACTTCTATTCTTTAGGAACTTAAAGAGAAATGTTCTGGAATTATATAATAAGAGGCCATTACTATGCTTTACTTTGCCTGACCTACCATGTAGTTGGAAGGTGTGTAATGAATTTATGAGGTGCCATAAAATGCAAAGGATTTTTTTTTTTTAATATCTTAAAATAAGCATATAAAATTAATGTGGGTTACTTTATGTGGGTTTCTTTATGCCTCAGCTTGCTTTCTATGAAAATAATGTCTTCTGGGGTATTTTAAAATATGAAATTAGTCACTGTAACACTGAATGCTGTGGAAATGACGTTTTAGTAATTCTGCTCATTTAGAAAAGGAGGTGACTATTGGAAAGAGAATTCAGCTCATGCATTGAGGAAAACAAAAAGACAATATCAAATAACTGCTTCTTGGTTGTCTGTTGTGTAATATTTAAATGTGTGTATCTATGTATGTTTATGATTTAATACAAGCTAATTACTAGAAAGGGAGAGAGCAAATTAAGGTTGCATGGTCAACAATTAAACTAGCACTTTACAGCCTGAATTTTCTTTTTTGCAGTTTATCAGTTCTAATACAGCTTTTGTGTATATCATAACAAATTGCAATATTAAATTTAAGTTGTGTAGAGATACTAAAATATATAGAAACAGAAACAAGGTGTTGATTATGATTCTGTATATCAGTCTTAGTGTATTTGAACATCTGTTTGTCAGACTGCTTTAGAAGCCAGGTATGTTACCAAGATACTGAATTTTTTTGCTCTCTTTCTGAACATATTCTGTATACATTTTTTGGACAGTGTTGTATACAAAAGGACAGTGAGCAAGTATTCGTATATTTTTAGAGCATTTCAACTTTCTGAATTTAGTGTGAGCAACTTAAAATTTGGGGCATGAATCTTCACTGTACTTTTTTTGTATGACAAAATTTCTTCAGTGATTTCATTTAGTTTATGCCATGTTTTACTTTATTTTCAAAAAAATTTGTATATTTCAAATAGTTATTGGATAAAGGATAAAATTGGATTATGATCTGTATTTGCAAATGTCATGGAGCCCTGCTGTTTCAAGGGGTATATTGGTAATGATAAAATAACTGGAGCTGCCTATGTCAGTGACAGTAGTTGCCATAGTAATTAATGCCCTTTAAAGAAGGGCCTGTATCCTTGTATGTGGGTGTGCATCTATGTGTAATGTGTGTGGGATACTGAACTGAAGCTGGAATGTTTGGAGAGATCATATTAGGAATGAGCAAAACTTTAAAGGAAATTTTCCTGGTTCTCTTTCCTGTTTTCATGTTTACTGCCTAAGTTCTTGAAAATTAGATACAAAAGCTTACTTGTAATATAAAGATGTATTTTAGTAATTAACAGGGAGAACACACAAATACTTATCTTAAAGCTTACCAAGAAATTCCACTCAAGTTTGAACTTCTCACAGGTTTTAGAATTGTTCACAAGTAATTTTTTTTCTTCTACCTTGCATAAATTGTGTCTTGCAGTATTTAGCTTTTCTTGACTTGAGGTACTGCTTTTTATAATAGACTTGTTATTTGCTTTTCCTAATCTTATTGGAATTCACCTGCACCAAGGGCTTTTCTTGGCATGTTTATATTGGGGTAGCTGTATTCACAGTTGAGACCACTGTTAAGTGTCTTTAAAAAAAAAAAAAAAAAAAAAAAAGGAAAAAAAAAAAGCTTAACTTTTTGACCATGTTATTTTCTTAACAAATTGTGTTTTTAAGAAGTATGGAAAAATATCCATACTCACAGATGGTAGCAAGTATCCATATGCTCTTCTATTTGATTGAGCCATAACAGGAAATTTTTATATTCTCCTCCTGCCCCCGCGTGCTATTTGTTGCATTTATTAGCTTAATTTCCCCAAGAGAGAAACCTCCTTAAGATATAAGCATCATTTTTGCTTGTTCAAACTGCATCGGGTTTTGCCAGCCATCTGTGAAGATAAGGTATTTGTTGCAATTTTAGCTGAAAAATATATTTTTCGTGTTATTTCCAATACATCTTTTTCCTCATCATCTGCAGTATAAATGCTCTTATTAAAATTTAAGAAGTTAGTGACTCATTAGATTAAGCAACTAAAGAATGTTTTTTTACTGGATCTTAAATGGATCCTTTTCCTTTGTTTTCTATATCTGAAGTGAAGCATTAGTAGAATCCTAGATGGAAAATTTCTAAGGACCTCAATTTGACAGATATTGAACAGTTATTTAGTGTAGTTGTTGATGCTTATCCCTGATGATAAACATGTTACAAATATAGTATGCTTACTTTTTTTTCTTGCATTGTATTTGATGAAACGTTTTTAAAATCACAATTTGTTCACATATTTCCCATCACAAGCCATTGCTTTTTGTAGGAACGTTGAACATAACTGAGTAACTGAGAACTACAACCACTTGTATGTACAAGAATGTACATATAGAAGTAAACTGCATTTATATTTCCTTTCTTTTTTTTTTTTTTTTCATGAATGGCTCAGAATTCTGTTTGTGCTTGTTTAGTTTAAGTATGTTATAGGAAGGCCATAATGCCTATTTTGCATTTCCAGGGCATTTCAATGCTGTCTTAAACCATGTGGATGTTCATAGTTCCAAAGAGTACAGCGCAGAAGTGAAAAAGAACAATTAGGAGCTTTAAAGATGCATCATGATGTATTTAAATAACTGCACAGCACTGTGTTTCAGCGTGTGGTACTGCTTTTTCCCTTTCCCTATTTTGTCCTGCTGTTCATTGCTGTAGGTGCTTGGTTTTGGTTGAGTTGCAGGCAGATGAAATACCTTTTAATTTGTGTCATGTGGTTGTAAGCATTTTTTTTGAGAGAGCTCAACATGTAACTAATTACTCCAGTGGTAACTTGGGGTATAGGGAAGGCAGGAGGATACCATGAAACAGAACTTCTTAAAAAGCTAATTTCCACAGTTCAATTTTCTGTACGTTGAGCGAATAGAATAATTCTTACCTCTTTAATTCTTCTTTTTAATTCTACGTGTTTAATTCTGTTCCTACAAGAAATGTATGGGTGCCCATATTGTCACTACATTCCCTTCTCCAGGGGTACTGATGCTCAAGCAGCAAAATAAGACATTTGTGTGTTACAGCACACCTTTGTCTTGCTGCTCAGTCCATATGATTATTGGAATTCTATCAGGATAATCTCTTAGTTTAAGACTTTATCTCTTTTGTTGTTTGTGTTTTAGGATGGGAAGAAAGACCTGGTAGGTTGCTCTGAAATTCTAATAGACTTTGTTTTTCTACAGTCTCTTAGCAACTTCATCTGTACACGGTAGAGTTTTTGCTCACCAGCTGTCCGAGTTAAAATGCAAAACATAGAATATTCCTATGGCTCATTTTTATGAAAACAACAGTCTCTGTAGTAGATGTCATCCTGTTGACTGAGCTAGTGTCTGCTGTTTTGCAAGAAAAAATATTCTCTAGGACTGAAATGCTTAGCTCTTTTATTTACGTAGTGTTATATTGTTTCTTTTGTGTAAAAACAAAGGACAAAACAATACAATAGATGCAACATGTGAACAGACATGAAACCATTTTATAGGAAGTCATGATGAAAAGGTTAACTGTTTCTGCTGCCATTTACAATGACAGATGAAATACATCTCTCAGAGATGAACATTCTCATTCTGGTTTAGACATTTTCTAACTTTTGCAGAGAGGCATGGGCTATTGTGTATTTGTATGTGTGTACATGCTCATGCTAATCATGTGGTTACTCAGAGGAAATCATCTGCATTCCTGAAACATGAGGTTTGATTACCTTGTTTAGTGTGTCTGATTTAAAATATTGTCTCAAAATTAGACTCTGGTACAAGTCCTGCTTCCATTTTGAATTTATTGCTAGAGAATGTCTTTGCAATTCCATGTGGCTCTTAGATGTATTTCTCATTTAAATGCATCTACTGCTAGCTGTATGTCTAGTGATCTTTTACCCCACTGTTGTCCTGCTGTTTGAAATGCAAGGCCCAGCTTAAATTAGAGTAATTTGAAAATTCTGGTAATAGGGGAATCTTGAACTTAATACGGCAGAATCCTTTTTTCTTCAATGTTATTGGATCGTTTAGTCATTTACATGTATACATTAGATGAAAAAGGAGGTATGAGGACATAGACGTTCACAATATTAGTATTCTGTGTATTTAAGCTTTTCTTGTATTGTAAAAATCACCCTAAGGGTATTCTCCAGTAGTGTATTTCTGAAGTAAAATGCTATATTTTGAGGCACATCCATATGCCTGTTTTGATTCCTGCCCCTATTTGTTGTACACATGAAAAATATACAACAGAATGTTCTTAGCCTGAAGATACTGTGCTATAAAAGAGCACTTGCATTGTATATATTTTGATGCTTTAATGTGCATTTTAGCCATCTGCACAAGATTTGACAAAGTTTGTTTCTGTTCTATCCAGCATCTAGCAATCATTAAATGTACATAGGAGATAATTCTGCTACCTTTTTTAAACAATTTCAGAATTCTTATAAATTCTTTGTTTTCATTTTTTACTTCTTTACATTTATTTTTAAAGCTAGCTCCTTATTTCTATTGAATACTATTTCATGTTGTTGGCTGTTAAAAAAAATTCAAGGGATTTTCTTGATATCTGTTCTGAAGACTACTGAATAAATATAAGTTTGTAATTTTCTTTATTCTGGATTTCTCCTCTTGGGTGGATTCTCTGGGTTTCTAACTGAGTGCAATTCTCTAGTATTGACTATAGAATATATTAATCCTCCTGCTTTTTTATCCTCGAAAAAGAATAAATAAACAAAAAGGTGTAAATCTGAAATAAGAATGATACGAGATGAAGAAACATGAATCAGGTTATGAATAGGAAGAGTGCAATTGCAATACTGTAATCTAAAACCCTAGGTCTGGAATAACATTTCTGTAGTCAGTATTTCCATTTCTCTGAATTTTGATATAGGTGGTATGAAAAATTGAATTAGTTGATTCAAACAAGGACAAAGCTTATAAAATATACATGTATATTGAATACAACAGTTATGTATAGCTCTAGGTTGTAACACTTCAGAAAAAATGGTAAAATTAAATTATGCTGATAGCAAGTATATGGATACTTAACTAACCACTAAGATTAACCATGAAATCAGGCTATCTAAATGTACTCTGTAATTATCCAAGGGAAATAAATGCATTATCATAATGGAACAGAAATAACGCTCTAAATAATTTCTCACTGTTTTCTTAAACATATTCATGCAAAAGTGCTATGTCTCTTTGTTTTCAGAGTTGCAATAGTGTCCAAGTCTTTTGAAGGAAAAACTGACCGAACAGAAGACTGGTATGGAACACAGTACAAGCAAGAAGCAATTTCTGATGAAGTTATTAAGGCATGTTAAAACATTTAATATATTCCCATACCTACAAGTGAAAAGCAGTGGTAAATTTCTAGTCTAATTTTACATTTAGAGGAAGGGAAAACATAAATTTGCTGTACATAGTACAAAAGTATACATTGAGTTCATTTAATATTATGAGGACCAAGGATCTTTGAATTTCAAATTTATTACATAGAACGTTTATTACATAGAACATACACGTTTTAATGGCTTTAAGCTATATAAAGTTTTAATAGAGAGAATGTTATTCTCTATATTAAAAACTGGATGCAGCTTTTCTATAAAAGTTCCATAATATGCAGTAGCTACTTTTAAATTTTAAAAAGTCGATATATTTTTGAGTTTCTGTTAAGAGTAGGATGGCTCATTAACATTTAAGAAAGGAATGTTTTTACAACTGCTGTATGTATCTGTGTTTCTGAAATGGATTTTTACAACTTATAAAATGAGAACATTAAATGAGTTTCTAAAAATCAAAACAACACCAGTGAAGGTGGGTAAGTCGTTACTGAATCTCATTATTCACTACTTCTTTTATGTAGAGATGGCTAAATACACTGTAAAGCTATATTGGACCTGCCCAACATGCTTTGGACAGACATCGCATAGGATCACCTCACTTCCTTTAGCTTTTCCATACCTATGTTCTTTGCTGATGTATTTAGTGTAATGCCTTCACTTAGAGTTCTCATTAGCAAAAAAAAGTGAGGCACAGAACCACTTCCACTCTACTGTCAACTTTAAAAATTTTCTTTTTATCTTTTCTCATTCTCCTTCTGAGCACTTCATCCTCCTAATAGCCTACTTCAATTTGGTCTCAGATGTTTCTCTCTTTTCCTGTTACTTTGCTAGCAATTACACATAAGATAGTGGAACATATTATTGAATCTTCTATTACAGTAGAAAGACAATGAGTATATATAGTAATATGTATAAGTAGAAACTTTATTTTGCATCGTTTTCCCTATTTATCTAGAAATGGCAAAATGCTGACCTGAATGGGAAATTCAAGCTTCCAATGAAGAATGAGTTCATTCCTACTAACTTTGAGATTTTGCCATTGGAAAAAGATGCGACACAGTACCCTGCCCTTGTCAAGGTAAGGTATCTATCTGTTCTGTTTGCTGTTTAACTTTCTGGGAAGTTAGCAGTGTGTTTTTAAAATACAGAATTTAGAATATTCCAGAACGTAATAAACAACAAAAATAAAAAATAGGCCTTAGAGGTATTGCTAGATAATGGAAAGTCCATCCATGCAAACCTTTGGATTGTTACTACTTGGGTTCCTATGAAAACGAATCCACGAACAACTTGAACTCTTTTGACATTTTGAAAGTGTGTTAACAGCTTCTATAAATAGTATTAAACCTGGTTTATCCAGCAGAAGGGTGACTGCCTGTCTTGTAGTTTTTGAACACTGTTCGGTAAATCAAGTGTGTAGACAAGGCCGCTTTTTTTTTTTTTTTTTTTTTTTTTTTAACTATGAGTAAAGAAAGCTTGCAATTGCATGGAGAGAAAGAAAGATGTAAACACATAAACATCACTTTCCGGTCTTCTGGAAGCATCATTTAATGATCTCAGTATTTTTAGCAAATCTTATTATCTGTGTAGTTAAAAATTACTTCACACTACTTACACATATTTGTCTTTTCTAATAATGTTCATCTCTATTCCAGGAGATGGACATTATATTCTCTATTAGCTGGAGTATAAATAGGATAAGTCTTCTGCAATTAGACGTTGTGCTTCAGATTGAATACTAAATTAATTCAGGAACACTTTTTTGCACACTAGATTAATATGTCTAGTTTAGTGCAAAGACATCCTTCAGGAAAAGTATTTATTCTGCACAAGGCACTTTAGGCATATACTTGAAGCAGTTTTATTAACAGAGGAGGACTTTTAGCATGTGTTTAGGTTCATCCTTCACTGAAACACTAAACCTCAGCAGGGACAACTACTACAGCTTTAGTAAGTAACGCTAATTGGTTTGCTACAGACACTTGATGATCCTTCAGTGTCTCTGTAGCAACTAGGCAATTGATCTACACAAAAGCCTTGCTTTATGGCATCATTACTTTAGAAATGTATCTGCTGTTAGTTTTTCCTTTGCCTTTAAAATATTTTCTGAGGGGAAATGTTTTTAATCTTCTGTACTTGATGAATTATAGCTATTACATATTTTGCCCACATCTTTCATATGTTCTCCCCAGCTGTATGTCTGTGCTGTTTTGCTGTTGTGTGCCCTGGCATTTGACTGACCCCGTAGCAAACCATTACAAGAACCAGTTCAGCAGAGATAAGATGTACAAAAAAAGCACATTTTTTTGGTCATTTTATATACATAAGTGAGCTTATTGTGTGGACTGGACCAGTGTTGTGGAGAAAGGGAACTTAAATATGAGCAAGGATGGCCTTGTTTCACTGGCAGCATGTCACTAGGTCAGTTCTGTTCTAATGGTACATCGTGTTCTTGGAAAAAAGCATCACGAAGGAGAGCAGTTACGGTGTAGGTTTAGGCCTGAGAGCATAATTGTTATCGTATAGTCCTAGGGCTGGAGATTTCCAGCTACTGGGTCAGGTTTCAAGCGCTATGAACTGGCTGTGTGCATTATCATTGTGTTTCTGATGCAATATGTATTCTAAACTATGTAGTAGCAATTTAATAGAAAAAAATGTCAAAATAAATGCTCAGATCCTTTCCTATGCTGGGAGGTTACTCTGAACTTTTGGTGATGGATCTTTTAATTAATTTCCAACTAGTTTAACTGCTCGTTCTAAACATGAATTTTTTAGTGTTAATGCTTTAAAGCAACGTGCTATGAATTTCTTCTAACAAAAGCCTTAAATACACAATTATTTTCTTAGTCTAAAACATGTCTATATGCTGCTGTAATCTCAGTGCTGTCCCTATAGCAACACATCTTTTGATGTCCACAATAGCAGGGAATTCTGTGAAGCTAACTTTATTAGTTGTCTTTGACCATTCCTGCTGTGGAGTTGTTCCCATTATGATCATAAGCTCATTTACAAGTTTGCAGCCATTTAACTTTATGTTAAGATGCTGTATGGTGAGAAGAGAGTCTCAATAAGAATAGATCATATATAAATTTATATAGTGAGAATGTGAATTTAAGGGGACAACACTTAACTAAGATTTGAAGTGATTAATATGTTTTTTAATAGTTTAATATATCACAGTTAAAAATTAGGTGACTTAATCTCTTTTCTTGACACAGGACACTGCTATGAGCAAACTGTGGTTCAAGCAAGATGACAAATTTTTTTTGCCAAAAGCTTGTCTCAACTTTGAGTTTTTCAGGTATGGTATGTTAAATATAAAACAGAGATTGCTCTCTGAAAGTTTCTTGTTCGTTGGGAATCTGTGTTTCTGTGACAAAACCTTGCACGTATTGCAGCTTTAAAACAGTTGTCCTTGGTGGAATATGCACTAAGAATGAAATAGCAGGAAGGCTCATATAAATTATGCAGTAGATGAGTAGCAAGCAGTTGGAGGTACTCCATCTATATATTAACAGGAAAGGTTTACCTAAAAAGGTTTTTAAAATTAATTTACTTTTATTTTCTATATCTAGTACATCTGTTAGTAATATCTACTGCAAATTGCAGTACAACATTTTTAAAATAGGAGTGTATTTTTTCATTAATAACTAAATGACAACTGTTTTGAAATTATCTTTCTTTACCAGATACTATTCTGATATTCTTTTCCATTCAAATTCTGCTTAATTTGCATAATGCTTGCCAGTATACAGTTCTAACTGTTTAAAATTGTAAGATTTTATTTGACACCAGTAACTCATTTTTTTAGATGAGCATCTTCTGCATTATCTATCAATGAAAGTGTGATTCTTACCTCAGGATGCATGACAGAGTGCTGTAACATTAATTCGGATTTTGCATTATTTTAATCATAGGATGATTTATTTATTTACTTTTTAAAAATTAGCATGAAAATTATGTGTCTTCTTAGTGTTCCAGATGCTTTCTTTGGAGTAATAATATTTAAATTCAGAATTAATAAAAAAAAAAGTACTGCTGTCTTCAGTTATTTCTGTGCTGGATTTCAGAAGGTGGAAATAATTTCAGGATCTCTCCTCCTTTGGCCTAATAAAATGTTTAAGTGATACTGCTGGAAATTGCTGTTAGATGGCCTTGGATAGTTGCTCATAGATGGGCAGTTGAGTCCTTGTTCTGAATAAGCACTGAACTTCTTTTCTGGGTGACCTTGGCAGAGCTTTAGATGGAGGTTTTTTTCCGAGTGTGTCAGAACTACTGTTGGCCACTAGTTGGGGAAAATAGGTTGTGTAGGCATTTCCTCTTTCATTTTGCATCTACAGGGCAAATGTTGTAACTGTTATAACTTTGTCAGTAAAGGGAAGGTCAAAATGGTTCCTTCTTGTCTATTACTCAGAAAACAACAAATGCAAAACTTTGAAGCCTTGGTTCTCACCCAATGGATTACCACGGGACTCTGTGTGGCCAGAATACCAAATGGGATTTTATTCCTGGGGACTGACTTTGTTAACAGTTGTTTGCTTGTTTGTTTTTTAATTCCAAATGAGGTGTGAGGAATCTGTAATACGGTTTATGAAAGATTAAAAAATAGTAACGAATAGTTATGTGGAGCACGCAAGGGTATAGGTACGTGCATATACGCCTGATATGGTGACAGTTTTTCCCAGTTAGATTTGTTCTTTGGTCTCAATGAACCATTTAAAAAAGCTAGGAGTACCTCAGCTTTGCTGGCTAATTTTATTTATTAAATTTAATGTTTTGCCTCATTCCTCCTAGGAATGGTCACGGGTGGAAAGATGGCTTGGTTCATAGGGTTGAGGGTGAAAGTTGTTTTGTTTGGTTTTGTTTTTTAATAATTAAAAAAAGAAAAGATATGAATGGATGTGAAGATATTTTGACAATATTGGTTACATCACTTCCAAGAGAAGGGATAATCACATTTGTCTGGTTTTGATACTTTAAAAGGATTCTTAGTGAATTTTGCTGAAACTGGTCTTGCAGGTGGTCATTAGAAGAAAGAGTGACATGTATAGTATTTTAATAGTGAGACAGGATTAAAACACCCAAGGCTCTTATGGCCAAGTGAATTGGTGAATAATGCCATCTTAATAACTTGGTTTTCATAAAATGTTTTCGACTTATTCTAGATCAGAATGACAGTTATGCTGTAGTAGGTCACAAGAATCAGTTCACACAGCAGACTGCTTCAATAGGATAGGAAAAAAATGAGGCAGATTTTTACTACCTGCAGCCCTAATCATCATGGATCATTGGAAGAATTCCTGACCCAGATGTTCTAGCAGCAACTACTTTGTAGATGAATTAATACAAAGTTGCTGAGGGTGGTTTCTCCCTCAAACATATAAATCCAATAGGAACAGTTTGACTATATGAATCTTTTGAAGTCACCGTTTTCAAAAACTGAAAATCCTAAGATTCACTTACCGTAAGGTAAGTGGCATGATCCAAGGCTGGTATAAAGACACACCACAGTAAAAATCTCTGACACCGAATTTCAACCTCCTTTGAAGCTGGATGGTTAAGAGCTTCTGCTTTTATATGAATAATGACTTGAGAACTTAAGAAGTATCCTTTTCTAAAAGGATGCAAAATGCCAATGTAATGTGCTATTGCTTTGAAAACTCTATGAAGGTAATTATAAACTCAGCATATTGTTTCTCAAGTTTCAGAGACTGATGTTAAAATAAAGTGCTAATTATATTTAACCTATATAAGGATATATGCTACCTCCCAGTTTAAGAACTATTTCAAGCAATTTGAGAGCCTTTGATTAAAAACACTGAGCTCTTAAGGTAACCTACTATCAACACTTCAGTGTTGACTCCAGCTATGTCACTTGCAGATCATGTTTGAAATGAGGAAAAGACCAAGCTAAGATTGCTTCAATTCAATTTCAATTCAATTCAATTTCATGTATTGAAACAATGGAGTTGTTTTGCTTCCTCAAGTCCAGTAAAAAGAATAAAATGTAGACTAGAAATAAGCATTTACTTACCAAGTTGTCAGTAATAGAAGACAACTCCCAGAACATTGTTATTGTAATCATTTTTTGTTATTTTTCACTCAATGACTAATGATTTAATAGTCTTCATTAGTTTTGAAATTCCCTGTTGGCCTTTGCCAGCTAATGGGAAAGAATATGAGTTTGGAGGAAGATAGAAGATAACAAAGGATTGACCTACACCTTTCTTTTAGCTCAGTTTTAATTTAAAAAGTTCAATATTAATAGGACTTGCATCACGGGGCTTAGAAAAATTGTTCATTGTGGAAAATTCGTATTGTAGAGGGAAATGCAAATAGCTGAGTCCTGTTTTTCTACTGACCTGTTTGCTTAAGTTATACAAGCCCAAGCCCTGAATAGTTAGCAGAGTGGTAGTAAAACAGCATGTCCTAAGCTGTGATTTCTGTCTAGAAGGCACAGATATATTCCCTAATAGAATTATTATATTTTTTTGTAATCTCTTCCTATGCTTTTTTTCCTTAGTCCCTTAATTTAAAATGAAGAAGTCAAAGCCTCACTTAAAATTATTAGGAACCTTCTTAAAAATACCTTTTCAATGTATACAAAAGTTGTTGGCATGTGTGTGTTGGTGATGAGATCTGTCTTCATTGTACTTCATAAATACTGGTGTACATCATCAAATACCACACTATATGAGCCTAAACATATCTAATAACATGTCTCTGAATTTGATGATTGGTGGCTGCTTAGGGAAAATAAATGAAAGTGGCATGTTTTTTTAATTGCAAGCCCAGTCCTGACAGCAATTTGTCTTAGATACTGTACGTTATTTCTGCAAAATTGATAATAAATTTATATGTATTTCAAAAGCTTTAGAAATAAATTTCCAACAAATAACTTGTCTTGAATTTGCAAATTGTTAAATTACAGAACTATTTAACAAATAGCAGTACTGTTGAAACATGGCTCGAGTCTTTGAGTTGCATTTCTTTTTGAGAAATTTGTGACAGTAGCATATGTGATCAGATGCTAATAATACAAAATTAGAGCTTTTATGGTTGTTTCCATTAAAAAGATATCGGAAGGAATTACTGTGCTATGAAAGTGAGTATGCGAAAACTCTTTCCAGAGCTGACTTTGGTATGTACTGCGTGTTTTTCATACCACAAGTTGCTAATGTCTTGATTTTTATAACTACTTGATTTTCTCATAGAAGTATTAAATAAAATTGTTCAATACACAGGTTGTCATTTTAGTCTGTTAAATAATGCTGTTTATCCAGGATGTATTTATTTTATCCTTGGTGAGTTCTGACCTGTGCAGCAAAGTAAATGTAACGTGTCTTGATTTATCAGCACAAGTAAAGGATTATCTCGGAATCTTCAGTGTATTTAGCATCACTCAAACCATAAGCAAGTTAAATAAATCTTTTCATGTATGTTCGTATTTAGCTTCAAGACCTTCATAACGGGATCCGTCAGCATATTTGCAGTAAATATTGCTTCCTTCAGATCACAGTTAAAAGGCCAAAAGAAACTGAGAAATAATTTTAAACTGCATATTTTACTTTCAACACTTTCTTCCAGCCCATTTGCTTACGTGGATCCCTTGCATTGTAACATGGCCTATTTGTACCTTGAACTACTCAAAGACTCCCTCAACGAGTATGCATATGCAGCAGAACTAGCTGGCTTGAACTATGATCTCCAAAATACCATCTATGGGATGTATGTAAGTACCCAAATCAAGGAAGAGCTTAGAGCCTTAAAATTACTTCCAGTCATCAACATTTTTATATTGATTTGATGGAAGGACTTTTATTTAAAAAACAGCTTTTTCCATTGTGGGTCTAAGGCTGTTACTCCTTTTGATCTTGATTATTAACCATCCTTTCTTTAATTTGAATTTTAAGTTGAATTTTGTTCAAAGTCTTCAACAAATCTTTCCATTCATACTAAGCAAATTTTCTTCTTTCTTTTTATGTCATACATGAAATGAATTAGTTGTAAGATTTCTTCCTTCATTTAAAAGAAAGAAAAAAGCAACCTAATTCAAGCTTACAGTTCTATTTCAGTTTGTCGGATACCTACTAAAAACTTTCCGACTGATGGGGTAGAAGACCCTTTTTTACGCTATTAAACAGCACCCTTCAGCTTTCCTATTCAAGGACTACTGATCATGAGGCTGCATATACATACTCTTCAGTCATGTTTCTTCATCCATTACTTTGTCACTGCTTGAGGTATCAAAGCATTTCTTTTGTTTTTCTTTTTGTTAGTCGCTACATTTATGCTGATCCTCTCCATTGCAACATGACATACCTGTTTATCAGGTTATTGAAGGATGATTTAAAAGAGTATACATATGCAGCACGCCTCTCAGGTTTGGTCTATGGCATTGCATCAGGAATGAATGCAATACTTGTAAGTAAGAAAAAAACACAGGAGGAAATTAAACAGCTTGGGAACTGTTGAGCTTGGAGAAAACATTTGACTTCTGCATTTCTAAATGAGATGGTTAACGTTTTTTCCCTTGCATATATGTCATGAACTAAAGACAAAGCAAAGCAGTGCATTTTAATTAGAACTAAATGACCTCTTTGAGATTGCAGTGTCTTGTGAACACGTGTGCAGTGCAGCTGTTGCATTCTAGTTCACATTTTCACTTGCTTGCATGGTAATCTTGAAAGTATTATTACTAGTTTCTGTATGAAAAGATTGAACTTTCTGTTGAATGAGCTCTAGCTTAACATATTCTGTCATAATGCCTCTAATTCTACTGTAGTAAGCTATGGAAATGGATTGTGCATGTGCTCGTTAGAAGGCATCGCTGGATATATGTCTTTTCCTTCGTGTGTGTTTTTATTGTGTGTTTTATCATGCATTGTAAAGTGACAATATTTCACTGAGAAATACTGATGATATGATGAATGGTTATTTTTTATTTACCTTCATGTATGAGGTTTTAATAATCTCTCGATAGTCCACAAAAGCTTTTAACAGGACTTCATTATATAACAACTTATTTGGAAATTTCCTGTGTTATTTTCAAGTCATCTTACTAAGAGAACATACTATATATTGTCCTTGTATTTTATGTATGAAAAAGTGCTGTCTCTTTATCCTTGGATTTTTCTTATTTATCCAATACACATCCAGTATCTCATTTCCTGAATGAACTACATTCATTTACTCTGGACTAGAATGCATTACCTGCCACTGAGAATGAAAGTTCATTATAAACTTCAAAATTCCACTAATCCTAAAAATATATCAGTATTCAATAACATTCCTCCCCATCGCCCTGTTTGTAACATGATCTATCCTACAATTCGCCATGTGATACATAGCCTCTGAGCTGCACGTAACAAATTTTTTTACCTACCTACTAACATTCCTAATTGCCATACTACTTTTAACAAGTGCAAACAGCATGTTCCTCCTATTCATCAGGCTGAGAAGGAGTGGGGATCATATTCTTTCTCCTCATCGGCTGATGACAAGGCCGAGCAGAAGCTAATACTGCTGCCCTACAGGCCGTAATCTACAACCGAATTGGAGACATCAGCCTAATCCTGAGTATAGCATGACTAGAATCAACCTTCAGCACCTGAGAGATCCAACAAGCCGTACACGCCCACCAAACTCCTGTCCTCCCCCTCATGGGACTAAGCCTCGCAGCCGCAGGAAAATGGCCTACACCCATGACTGCCCACAGCGATAGAAGGCCCCACCCCCGTATCAGCCCTATTACACTCCAGCACCATAGTAGGAGCTGGAATCTTCCTACTCGTCCGCATACACCCACTACTAGCCACCAACCAAATAGCCCTAACCACATGCCTATGCTTGGGCACCCTATCAACCCTATTCACCGCCACATGCGCCCTAACCCAAAATGACATCAAAAAATCATTGCTTTCTCAACATCCAGCCAGCTCGGACTGATGATAGTCACCATCGGACTAAACCTCCCACAACTAGCATTCTTACACATCTCAACCCACGCCTTCTTCAAAGCCATGCTATTCCTGTGCTCTGGATCCATTATCCACAGCCTAAACAGAGAACAAGACATCCGAAAAATGGGCGGCCTACAAAAAATGCTCCCAGTCACTACCTCCTGCCTAACCATCGGCAACCTAGCACTTATAGGAACCCCATTTCTGGCCGGATTCTACTCAAAAGATCTTATCATCGAAAGCCTAAATACATCCTACCTAATCACTTAGCTCTATCACTAACTCTCTTAGCCACAGCATTCACTGCAACCTACAGCATCCGTATAACCCTCCTAGTCCAAGCCGGACAAACCCGCATCCCCCCAATAATGCCAATAAACGAAAACAACCCACTAATCACTGCCCCCCTAACTCGACTCGCCCTGGGCAGCATTATGGCAGGAATACTAATCACCTCCTTCATCACACCAACCAAAACGCCCCCAATAACTATACCCCTCATCACCAAAACTGCTGCCATCCTAGTAACAATCCTGGGAGTCATCCTAGCCCTTGAACTCTCAAACATAACACACACCCTCACCCAAACCAAACCACCTCATAAACTTCTCCCCTTATTAGGGTACTTTAACCCCCTGGTCCACCGATTCTGCTCCAAAACCCTACTAGAAAAAGGGCAAAACATCACCCTATACCTAATCAAACTCTTCTGTCTCAAAAAAATGGGGCCAGAGGGTCTCGCCGAACTGCAGGTAGCTGCAAGCAATGTTCATTCACTTAACTGACTGAGGACTTGGTTATCTGTTCTCAGTCTGAAAGCTTGCTGAAGTTTCCATGGTTAGTGGTGTGAGGTGGGGGTAATTCTTCCTCATTTCTAGTCACAGTTCAAAATTTTAGAGTTATTTTAAATATTAGCTGTTTCTTCTAGGAAGTTCATATTCTTCTATTGTAAAGATTATATTTTCAAGTAAAATCAGGTTACTCTGTTTTGATATCTGGGCAATTCTAATACTCTTTACTACATTGTAGATTTTTTTTTTTGTTTAATAACTGTATAGTGTTGATACTTTAAGCAAGGATAGTAACTAGCTTTACTAAGAATATTCACCTACATGTTTAAAAAACTGGGTTCTTCTGCTAATCTGTTCTGCTAATCTAGGGTGTCAACCTTTTGCCATAAATCCATTTAATATATCTCCTTCTTTAAATTCATTGTTTAGATATGTTTCAGTAACTGTAGAAGAAAAAACTTCTTCCTAGGGTAAAGCAAAAATTGATCTACATATTGTTTTGTGCCCTAAAATTTAGTTTTATCCTGATAAAGAAACTGCACTAATCCTATTGTTTTACCTACATACCAAGTTTTCAAGATTTTTTTTCCCCCTGAAAGGCCTTTGGATGCTATTTTTCATTGGGCAAAACGTTCTATGCCTATGATGCAATCATATAGCATATGTATTGTTGTTTTATGGTTTGTTTTGTGTTTTAATGATCTAGCTTACTTGATGTATGCGTTCCATAAAATCTGCGTGATCAGACTGGTGTCTCTAAGATTGTAGACTAACTAGCTGGGTGTTTCAGTGCAGCACCATCCTCTATTATAAATTGTGTAGAAGTTGGCAGTACCCCTTTTCTCATACTATTGCTTACTTACACTTGTATAAAATATATTTTTATTCAACAAGATAAATATGAAACAGTTAAAAGTAAATTGGAGGTAATATTTAAGAGGACTGTGACTTTAGTTCCATTATTAAAATGTGAAACCTAGAGTAAAACCATTTCAGTACTCCAAACATATTGTTTACTGAATGAACTCAATACTTAAAAATGTTAAGAATCTGTGCTCTGAGTACAACTTAATTAAACTAGTATGAATTTACATTAATTCTCTGCGTTCATTACTCTTGGGTAAATATGCAATATTTTATTCATCAATTGGTTATCTTTTGGTAGAGGAATTTTAATGTAGTATAAATTAATGTTGAGTAACACTGAATTTAGATTGAAAAATTTATTGTTCATTGAATTATGTGAATTATGGTAATTGTTTTGTTCTTACTTCATCTTCTGTACTTAAAGCAAATTATGCACTTTTTCCATAGCTTTCTGTAAAAGGTTATAATGACAAGCAACATATCTTGCTCAAGAAGATCATAGAGAAAATGGCTACTTTTGAGATTGATGAAAAAAGATTTGAAATTATCAAGGAAGCGGTAAGCTATGTGAAAAGTTGAAATTTTAAAGTAATTTAAAATTGACTTGAAGTGAAATCTTGAGAGCTAATTATCCATGCAACTTCAGAGTGACATTCTGCCTCACTGGGGCTGTGAACGTTTTTTTTTTTTTTTTTGTGGCTGAGTTCCCCAGAGTTTCAATATGAAATTCTTTGGTTAAAATAATTGGCCCTGGAATCTTCTCTCAGTTGGTCAGTCTTAATGATTGACTAAGGGATTGCAACTTGCTTTGATGTGAGTAGAAATCAAGAAGGGGAAAAGGAAAAATCTTATATCCTGTCTTACAATTTGGAAAGGCCCTAGTGGGATCTAGGCACATAGGATGAAGGGGGAAAGCAACATTTCTTCTCCCCAGAGGTGAAGGGGACCTCTGTTCCTGGGCCAAGATCATTTGGTGCGGAAGTAACCAGTTGTTTATGTACATAATGAGTTCTACATATCTAATTCTTAAATTTAGTGATTTATCTATATATATGGAATATAAGTTAGAAAGTTTTACCTAGGTGTGACAAATATAAAGGTAAAACAAACCAACCCACTAAATGACAACAAACAAAAGCAAAAACAAATGGAAAAAAAAAAAAGCACAAGTCTGTGAATGATCTGTTTGGGGTAATTTTCATTTGAGATGTTTTCCCCTCTTTGTCTTTACGGTTTGCTTAAGCTTTGCCTCTGTGAAATGACAAAGCATGCATAATACAGTATGCATGCTATGTAATCATACATATCTATATAATAATTTTATTACATAGACCATTTCTGTATATAAAATAATGACAAAATTAGAAAAAAAAAATCAAATCAGTTGTGGAAATAGCAAGTTTTCCCCACGTATTTATGCCTGCAGATTAGGGAAGTAACTGAGTGCTTCTGTTTGAAACAGAGGGATGCATCCTCAGCAACTTCATGCTGCTTATTTCTTACCCATACAATCTTAAATGAGTTACTTTTGTCTTGTAGTGGATATGATGTGCTAATTAGCATATCTGTAGATCCAGGAGATTCCAACTTAATGAAACTACTAGTTCGCACTTCCAATTCTTCCTGTAGAGAAAAAAGGGTTTCTTTATTTTGGAAAGGTGCATCTGGACTAGGAAGGGGTTCCTTCTCTCCAAAGAGAGCTCATACTCTCATACTTCTTTATTCAAGCTAAGAACGCAAAAAATTTCTCAGATGATTCTGTATTTTCCCTAGGCTGAAATAGTTAGAAATTAACTGGGAGAAAAACATATTTTCTATTAGCCAAGTTCTACTTTTCCGTGGACAGTCGTCATAGTATGCATGTTTTCTGGTTACTGCCACTTGATCTATCATACTTTAATTAGGCTCTGTCTACAATCATTTAACGTTCAGCCATTAATTTTATGGAGAAATTTGGTTTCTTTCTCATTTAAACAACCTTAACGGTAATTACTTAATCCATAGCCTCTCAAGCCCACGTTACTACTAAGATGATTTGGCTTAACATGGCTTTTGAATTGATCTAGGAGAATGTTCTTGGCATTTGTAACGGACCTTTTTGATGGTACACAAAGTTGAGAGTAGAGGGTTAATATTTCATGTTCAGTTATGGAGGTTTATAATTTGAACTCAATTTTGTTTCAGTACATGAGATCGCTTAACAACTTCAGGGCTGAACAGCCTCACCAGCATGCGATGTATTATCTCAGACTCCTGATGACAGAAGTTGCTTGGACCAAAGATGAATTAAAAGAAGCTCTTGATGGTAATGTTTTGCTAATTTTAAAGTTTATTCTTTTTCATTTTTTTTTAATGGAAAATGTCTTATAACTAATGAAGGTACCTATTTTGAACTCTGCCCACTATTTAAGTGAGCTTTTGCAGTGCCAGACCTGTGCTGACTCTTCTGGGTGTTGATGCCTCTACACTTGTCCTCCAGTTTCTAGAAAGTTGAATAGTTCAAAGGGCTGTACAAAGGTATGGACTCAACTTGATCTGGCCCTGCCATCAATCTAATGCAACTTCCTGCCAGTGCTAGGGAAGCAAGTTGCTGAAAACTTTAATGGCTTTGTGGACGTGAAGCCTGGGTATAGTGACACCAGTGCTTAAACCAAAACTAAATTTTCCAGGACTCCAGCTGACGTTTGCAGACACTTTGAAGTGTATCTGCATTGTACTTTGCAACATGCATACTGTTTTGTGTTTTGCATTGTCCACGGATCCTAAGTTCAGTTTCTGTAGAAAATAAAGATTATAAAGAAGACTGGTTCTTAAGAAAGAGGTGCCCTGTGGTTTGGGGATTTTAAATTAAGAGATTTAATTGATTTTGGTATTTGCTGAAGAACTCTTCCCTATCTCTATCTTACTGTGTTATAACTAAAGGCTGTTACTGGGATAGTTTGCAAAATATTTTGTAATATCTCCTTAGAATACACTGAAACGTTCTTTTCAAGAAGAATATCTGACTTTGGTTTTTATTTGAGGGGGTGGATTCAGAATACACATACTTAATTGTCTGACTGACATGTACCATAGTGTGTTTAAAGTTCTGATGCTGAGCATTGCTTCATTAGATGCCCGAAGCCAGCTGCACAGAGGTGTATGAGTTTTTCCACAGGAGTGCTCCAGGACAAAAATATAAATGTTTAGCTGTATGGTCTCTTGAATGATTGCAGATATCTTAAAGATTAGCAGTTGTGCCAGTGCTGCCAGTCAGTGACAAAACTAATGCTGAGTTTCATGGCAGTAGATTCATCTTAATAACAGCCCCATTTCAAAAACAAATGTTCTGTTCCTTGTGTAAGTTGTCTTTATAAAATTAATTTTATTCTACTTAGCATCAGAATGGTTTAAAACGGAATGCTGGATTGGAATGCTGTCTACTTAGCATTGCTGGAAATCTGCTTGAAATACAAGGAGTTGAAGCATGAATTATTTTCCTCTCATCTTCTCTCAGTGCAACTGTCGTGGTTCCGCTCGAGTGGGCAACCGAGCTCCACCACAGCCGCTCTCTCACTCCCCCTCCTCAAAGAGGAATGGGGAGAAAATATGTGAAAAGGGCTCAAAGGTTGAGATAAGGATGAGAAAATCATGCAGTAATTATTGTAACGGGCAAAACAGACTCAGCATAAGGAGATAGTAAGATTTATTGCTTATTACTAACAAGCTACAGAAGTGAGAAACAAAGGAGAGAAACCAAAAGCACCTTCTCCCCCCATCCACCCTCTTCCACCTCCTCCCCCCGAGTGGCGCAGGGGAACGGGGGAATGGGGGTTATGGTCAGTCTACAGCACTTCTTCTCTGCCGCTCCTTCTCGGTCACTCTCGTCCCCTGTGCTGTGGGGTCCCACCCACGGGATGCAGTCCTTAATGAACTGATCCGGCGTGGGCTTCCCACAGGCAGCAGCTCTTCCAGAACTGCTCCAGATATGGGTCCGTACCACGGGGTCCATCCCTCAGGAGAAAACTGCTCCAACCTGGCTCCCCTACGGGCAGCAGCTCCTGCCAGGTCACCTGCTCCTGCATGGGCTCCTCTCCACGGGCTACAGGTCTGGCCCGGAATCTGCTTGGGCAGGGGTTTTCCACAGGTGGCAGCCTCCGTTGGTGCAGGGCCACCTGCTCCACCATGCTCTCCTCCACAGGCTGCAGCGTGGAACCCTGCTCCACCGTGGTACTCCATGGGCTGCAGGGGGATATCCTGCTTCACCATGGTCCTCACCACAGGCTGCAGGGGACTTATGCTCCGGCACCTGGAGCACCTCTCCCCCTCCTTCTGCACTGACCTGGGCGCCTGCAAGGCTGTTCCTCACTCCTCTTGCTCTCCCAGCTGCTGTGTGGCGCAGCATTTTTTTCCCTGTCTTAAAAAAGCTCTCACAGAGGTGCAAAACAACATTGCTTATTGGCTCAGCTCAGGTCAACAATGGGGCCCTCACCAAACATGGGGCAGCTTCTAGATCCTTCTCACAGAAACCATCCCTATGGCCCCCTGTTACCAAAACCTTGCCAGGTAAACCCACTACAGCAACCCCAATCTTTTGCACTATTAATAAGCAGTTTTAGAAACAAAAATTAAGATGAGGATTACGCAACAGTAAAAGGACCATTTTCTTTTCCGAAGGTCTTGTAATGTTTAAAATCAAAAAGAAGTAGGAATTCATGTGGAATCAGGGAATTAACAATTAATCTATTGACTTCAGGATGAACACCCCTGTCCATTTAACCATCCCTCATTTCTTATTCTGTTGATTCTGTATTTTAAACTATACTTTGCTTTATATATGAAAACTGCTTTACAAAGGTAGGCTAACATAGAATGTGTGTATGTGCTCTGAGAAATATTGCAAAAATGTTTTTCGTGTATATTGTTTGTTGCAAGGATATTGTCAAAATACCATATTTCAGTTGAGTTTTTTTAATTCAAGGTGATAGATGTAAAATGTGTTTATTGAGCATGATAAACTGCATGCTTCTTGTTTAGTTAATATCTAAGGCTTTATCTTGGAACACCATTTGAATGACTGCAACTATTCCCTCTGGAGAGGGAATGTTTGCTCAGAATAATTGGAAAGAAGGCTTAAGAAGGCTTTTTTTCCTTCTCTTTTTGGAATCTGGGTCAGACGATATTTGAATTCTAAGCAAAGCAAGCTATATGATGAGTGTTGCTGTTTAGACCTGGAAACTTTCAAATGTTGCATTTTTAAGTAGAGATTCACTTTTTTTATGATGATGACTTTCTCTTCTTCCAAGAAGTATACCTTACCTAATAATGACTTAGATACTTCCTAATGTAAAAATGTATATCATCGATTTAACTGTGTTAATATCTATTCTAGATGTCACTCTTCCCCGCCTGAAGGCCTTTATATCTCAGTTGTTGTCACGGTTACACATCGAAGCTCTTCTCCATGGCAATATAACAAAACAGGTTGGTGTGATACTTTCTATAATAACACAGTTTTTAGTTAAAAGCAGTGTTAAAAATTGAAGGCTAGTTTAACTTTCTTAGATCTTAATGCAGCTTTGCCAAATGTAATTTCATAATTTGACTTTATTATTATCTTTTTTTATCTTTATGGTACTATCACAGTGTCATTTTTTCCACTTTAGATTTATTAGGCTAAGTACTGCCCTTGTGTTGCTCTTGGAAATTTAATAAAAAACAGCTTATGATCTAAATATTTTGAAGTCTCTGTTGCATGTCTTTGCTGTAATGTGATCAAGCTGTGTAAGGAATGATGTGCTACAGATCCTGCTATTCTATTTAAAAGAATCGGGCTAACTAACAAAGCTTTAACAATCCAAGATCCTGCAAAATGATTTGCTTTGGACAAAGCCGAACAGGAATGGTGGTCCATAAAAAAACAATCCTCAACTTTCACTTGTTTCTTTGGGAGTAAAAAACAGAAAATGTTAGTTCTGTCTTCAGTTAAAGTAGTTATAGCATGTACTTGTGTAGGAAATTTAATAAAATATTTGAATATATGTATAAAAACAAAATTCAATACCTTTCTTGTATTTAAAACATGATGTTTTTGCATTCTGTCTTTGGAAAGCTGGTATAGCAGTATTCCTGTAAAAATATTATATTAGCTCTGGGACATTTTACTGGCAGGAGATGTTATAAAACACTGCTCGTGACTGCTGAATGTATGGAGCATGTAGTATAATAAGGAAAGTGGAGGGGGTAGTGAAGCTTGTATTCCTTCTTAATTTCTTATACACCTGTATATGAAAGTCAGTTCTTACGTTTTTTTCTTCCAGGCTGCATTAGGAATTATGCAGATGGTTGAGGACACTCTCATAGAGCACGCTCATACAAAGCCACTCCTTCCCAGTCAGCTAGTGAGATACAGGGAAGTGCAACTTCCTGACAGTAAGTTAAATGTTTTACTTATAAATCTTTAATGCACGTTAAACCAAGATTTTCTGTCTGCTAATGGCATTTTAAGATCAATAGTACTCTGTTTCTTGGAGTTCGTTTCAAAGTCAGATTTACTTCAAATTACTTTAAACTGCAAATTTAGCAAATTGTGGTTTTGTTATGTAAAATTACACATGAATTTATGACTTTTTCCTGTCATACTTGAAAATGAATTTGATGTCATTTTTAATGTATGTGCATAAGTTGGCCTTCATTCCTTATTCACTCTGTATGATTTATGGAGACAGGAACCCTGTCCCATTCTTTGCTACATGTAGTATACATATTTGAATAAGTGTCACTCTTTGAGCAGTTCTGAGTATTAATTGAATATTCAGTGGAGGATTGTCCAAAAACCTCTTGCTAATTGAGGGGGAAAAAGCGATTACTCAGAAAACTTTTTGTGATATAATTTCTTTTGGTTTCATAGTGCTTTTATGATTTTATTTTTATTGTGCAAAAAATCTTATGTCTTAGAAGTCAGATTCAAAGAATCCTGGGAGTTATAAAGGACTGATGACATTTTGGGCTACACAGCCAGGCCCAATTACTGTAGCTGATCAGCAGCCTCTGGAAACTACTATATGCCAAAGAAGCTATTGGTGTTAAATGCTATTTTTTTTTATGTTCAGAAATGCTTCTGACAAATTGTCTTTAGAAACTGTATACAAGTGATGTCATACAGAATTTACAGAATTCCATTCCAGTTCCAACAGTATTTGCTTGAGGAGAAAGGAGACAAGTTTCAATTCACTTGCTGATACGCTTAGGCTATGACATTTTGATATGTTAAAATAATCATTTTTTTGTCTGTTTCATAAAAAGCTTGCTTGATCTGTTAATGGTTGATCACTCATGAAATGGAATTTTAACAAAACGATTAAGACTTTTAAAGTGGAATTTCCACTACCTTTTTAATTCTGGACAATAAGAATGTATGCCTTTGTGAACTTAACTGTTTTAACTTTGTCTTTTAGGAGGGTGGTTTGTATATCAACAGAGAAATGAAGTTCATAACAATTGTGGCATTGAAATATATTACCAGACAGATATGCAGAGCACTTCTGAGAATATGTTTTTGGAGCTCTTTTGTCAGATTATTTCAGAACCATGCTTCAATACTCTGCGCACCAAGGAACAATTAGGTAAGTTTTCTCATAGTGATTATTTGTCTGTATAGACACATACGCACACGTTCACACAATTACATGAGTCATGATGAGGTGTTCTTTCCCTGCTTAGTGAGTGCCATTTAAAGGACACATAGTAAATGCAAATCATTTTAACTGCTGATGATTCAAAGGAATGTCACTGTGCACATATTCTTAATTGAGGAGAAGTAAGCCAAATTTTTAAAGTAAGTCTGAAATAATCTTTAGTTAAAAAAAAAATCGATGTGCAGAAATGTGTTTTGTTGTTGTGTTGTTTTGTTTTACACCAAATAGAGGTTTAGGAGAATTTTTACCAAGAAGAAATTAGATCAGTTTTGTAAATTTTATGTCTTCTTAGAGAATCAGCAGCAATTTGGTCTTTTCTGCTCATGATCTCACTTCCAGACTTGATTGAGGATTCATGAGCTTTAGTTGAGGAGTCGTAAGCCTTAGCTTAGGAATACTACTGCATTGGTAATGGTAAGCTGCAATACTGATGAAATCCTGAATGCATTGTAAGAATACAGCTATTTACTAGTAAGTACAAATAATCATTACCTGAACCAGTAAGACTGAAAACTGCTAAGTTTATTCCAGTTAGGATAACAAGGGGAGACAAGCATTTTACATAAGTTTGCATGATTGAAATACATGTAAGTAGTACAGTTGCTTTTTTATTATTATCATTATTTTATTTTTCCAAAGATGAGAGGCAGAGGAATGTCTCAGTATGATGACTGAATGGAAAAATAACATCAGTATCATTACAGCATTCTGAATTACTGGGGAGATCAGGCAAGATTAGACTTCTTGTAAGCAGAACCAGCCACATCACATTGATCTAGTTAGATACCTGTTGAAAATAGTGCAGGACCCAGGTTGCTTAGCTGGTTTTTGGAATGTGTTGGTGGCAGGTTTCTCACAGAACCTGGAGGTAACTGCTAAAGAGGAGGTGGGGAAAACCAGTGAGGAAAAGCAGTGAGGAAGAACTGTGTGATTATGTCAATACGGCAACCTGTATGGTGTGACTACCAAATAGTAGAGTTCACAAGACTCAGGAGGGAAGATAGCCAAAATGCCAGCAAAATTCAGTAAGCTCAATGGAATTGTTAGTAAGATCTCTGAGAAAGCTAGGGGGAAAAGAATTTCAAGAGTTAGCAGTCTGTTAAACAATAGAAATAGTAACAAGGACTCATTCAATGAATACTTGAGAAATACAAGAAAGACAAAGGGAAAAGGAGTAAATTTTAAAGAGATCAGGCATGAAGAACTCTACATTTCAAAAGCAAAATGCTGGGAAACTGGAACTAGAAATCTTACAACTGAGAATTTTCAGATGGTAGGTGTGGTACTGGAAAAATCAGAAGGGTAAGTGCTATGCCATTCTTTTTAAAACAAAAGAGAGAAGAGAATGGAAGTTGCAGATCAATTAGCTTCATTCTAATTCCTGGGGAAGAAATTCGTATGTTACCAAAGCAGTTATAAACTCATAGGAGACAACTGAGAAACAATTACTAGGCAAACTCATTTCAAAGTAACCTTTTTTTTATATGGTATGTCGCTGGCTGGATGAAAATGGCGATGTCACGGGTCTCATCTTGATAGTATGAAAGGCACGTAACATTTTCAAACAAGCTACAGAGAGAGCCTAAATGTAAATGCTACACATTTGGATGGAAAGTTATGACTGGAGAACAAATAAGAATAGTTCATTACAAAAATGTCATTCTCTATTCTCATCCAATGCTATTTAGTATTTTCTTCAACTCTCTAGGTGATAGAAGACTGAATATACTTCCTAAATCTTCAGATAATACTAAGCTGGGAGAGGCTGCAAGTGTGTGGGAAGACAGAATTAGAATTCAAAATTAGTTTGACATTCTGGAAACATGACTTGAATACAGATAAGATGCTATTTGGTAGGAACGGTTTGGCAGGAATAATCAACGGCACAGACACAAGATTGAAGCAGTTGGCTAGGTAGCAGTTCTGTAGAAAACAATCACTAGATTACTGTGGGTCAGAAGTAGAACATAAATGAACATTGTCAAGTTGCTGTCTAAAAGAAACACTGGGATATATAAAGGGAAGCTTCCAAGATGAACACGCAATAATATTTCTGTGTTGTTCAAGAATTTTAAAATACTATGTCCAGTTCTGACACAAAGAACAGCATCAAGGAACAATTAGGAAGCCATAAAATGACATTTAAAAGACTGAAATGTGACAGGTTTATTATAAAAAGGGGAAGAAGACGGAAGAAAATCTTAGGTATTTAGATAATCAAAAGCTGCAAAAAATGAAGGGAAAATATTTCCTTTGTATCTAATTGTAAGATAAGAAATAAATCTCTTACATTGCAGCAAAGTGAATTCACATTAGTCTTTCTGGAAAAATACTAAGTTCCTGTTGTTGAGTCTGATCAAGTGCTAAAGTACAGCCTGATTTCTGCTTACCTAATCCTAATGACAGTTGCTTTTGTTTTTTCTTGGTCTGCCTCATCTCCTTCTCACCCTTCCCCTGAACTGACAGCTCAGTGAAATAAAGATGTTTTAAAAAGTACAGTGACATATTTTGAAAACCGGTATTCATGATACAGAATTAGATGTAGCATTAAATTGCAACCCTTTCAAATTTGCCATGTTTATCAAACTTAATGCTGGAACAGAGGATTTCTTTAAATTTGTCACTGTTTGTTTTTCCAAGGTTACATTGTGTTCAGTGGTCCGCGTAGGGCAAATGGCATACAAGGACTGCGATTTATTATCCAATCTGAAAAGCCACCACACTATTTAGAAAGCAGAGTGGAAGCATTCTTAAAGACTATGGAGAAATGCATAGAAGATATGTCAGAAGAGGCCTTCCAAAAACACATCCAAGCTTTAGCAATTCGTCGTCTAGACAAACCAAAGAAGCTGTCTGCAGAATGTGCTAAATATTGGGGAGAAATAATTTCTCAGCAGTATAACTTCGACAGAGGTAAGAAAAACTATAATTCCTTTAAAGATGAATGCTATACTCTGGCTACGTTTGTAACTGTTGAATGTGAGCGTGTTCATTTGGGAACAGCTTAAACTTTTACATAGCTGGTGTTTAATTTCATACACTTCTTGTGGTTTCAGTCCTATAAATTGCATTTCTTCACTCTGCCCTGAGAAAAGACCTCATTTTTGCAGCCCATGGTCTCTCTGCTGTAGGTGTTGTTACTAATAGAGGATAAACCTGTTCGCTGATGTTCCCCACATGACAGGGGGTGGTGAGTGCTTCATTGTCCTTGCGTCCTTTCCTTTAAGGCTCAGTGAGACATAGAATAGGTCAAACACTGGAAGTGGTTTGGATGTAAGTGTTGGTGTTGTCTAAGCTTAAATCTTGGTCTGTGCAGTTCAGATATGTCTTTTTTACATGTGTGCCTAATACTTGACTGAGATGCATTCAAATGCTCTTTGACGTTCCTGACAGCACAGGCATTACCATGAATCCAATTCCTGTTTCCATTGTGCTGTTGTGTTGTGGGAGCGAAATGAAAACAATGGCAGAGGCAACAGCAGGCATCTTAACTAACACATGACCTGTCTCAGCTTAAAGTAGGCCTAAAAGAAATGTGAGTTTTGAAATATTTTTAAGCCATGATGCTTTGAAGATGATAAGCTTGTAGAAGACTGAGATCCAACTTCTACTGATATTACTGAAAATGGACAGTTAGGCTGATAGCCTAAAATTGTGCTCCTTCATACTATTGAAGCTTTATTTTCCCCTTTTCATCTGTGTTGGAAAGATTTAAAATCCAAAATACTGAGGTATGTAAATAAGATTCTGAGTTAGCTTTTATTTCATATCACTAAATAATACCTTTTGAAACAAAACTAACTTGATTTTAACGATAAAGGTAGGCTCTTTTTTTCCCTAAAAGGTAAGGGTAAGAATTTTAAGACTAGTTTTTATTGTGTTCATTATTTACTTCTTAAAAATAGACTTCTTTGAAGAAAGAGAATGTAATACTTAAATATGTTTTAGTTTCTAACAAAAAAAAAGGTGTAGATCAGCTTTTCATCACATTTTCATGTCTCAACTCTAAAGCTGTAATTTTCAAGTCTCCCATGCATAATGCTAACTACGTAAAAGTCACTGTGTATGCTTTGATTTTGATTTTGCTTTACATGCAGAATATCAGGTTTTTGTAGTAAATACAGTTTTTTTGTAGAGCTACTGAACTGTTTTAATAATGAAGAATTTTGAATTGTCACCTAGCTTGGTCTTGAGAGTATGAGGGCTATTGACAAGATTTCATGCCTGAGTATGAGGAGTGGTGTGAAAATTTTAACACCTGAAGTACTTGTTTCTGATAAGTTTGTGTTTTCTCTGCCTTAAGTCTCTCTGTATTTATCATACTTGTATCGTTCGTCTCTCTCTAGAATTTCTTACTGCTTAGCTGTAGCCATAGCTTTCATAACTAACTCCCACTGAACTTAACTATTTCCCTTGAGTTTCATATCTTTAATTCCCTTCTACCCACTAGTAATTCTGTTCCATTAAATTATTCTAATGTGACTAGATTTGTCAAATCAGAAATTTATATTCCAGCCCTAAGAAGTGAAGTGCTTTTTTCAGGTTTTTACATTTTTGTTATTATTACTTCTACTGTTTTACATCACACATCTAAAAATTTACTCTCAAATATCATGTGATTTTTCTGAACTTTTTTGTTGATTTTTGAATTCCCTCCCTGTGGAATTTAATATGAACTATTTTTAGTTGCATATTTGTACTTTTGCACACATTTTTCTTGATCTCCCTTCTAACCCTAAGAAAAGCAAGCATACCTACAATAAAAACATTAATACTTATCAATGATACTACATTATGAGTTTATTATAATTTAATTTATGTAAAGTGACATAGTTACTGAGACACGGCCCAAATATATGAAAAGTGATTTTTCCTTAATGGGTATGATGTAAGCAGTTAGCGTTCCTTACATTTATGTTAAAGTATTTGTCATCTTTCCTAACTGTGTATAAAGGCTTTCTATAATCAATCTGCATTAGAAATATGTAACATTTTTGAAGATGATGGTGGGAAGTACACATATCTTTTTAGCTACTGAATAGCATACAGTGCAATCAGCATTCTTCGAATGTGCATTTTTTTATTAAGTCCAATCAAATGGACTTACTGAAGTGTAATTTTGTTCCAGGCTTTCAATGACACTTTTAGTGGTACAAGTGTTGGCTTGTAAGTTAAGAATGAAAAGCATTTCACTTGCAGTCAATTGCAGCATCTGAATTTGAAAGAAAAATACTTTTAATAAACAGTGTGTTAATAACCAGCTATGATTTGCAGACTTACTCTAATTTTTACTATTGTTGTGCAGATAACATTGAAGTGGCTTATCTAAAGACCCTGACCAAGGATGATATCATACAGTTCTACAAGGTAAGTTAGTCATGTAGTTGAAACGTTATTTGGAAAGAGATGTCTTTGAAAATTGTTTCTCTTTTGTAATCTTTGTTTATCCTTTTCACTAGCCAGGGTTGTTCTTACGATATCTTCTATTTGTATTGGAGTTTCAATCTTATTGCTTAAAACTGATCATTTCTTAAATGGCACAGTGAACCCTAACGTTGTTTTTTACGTAGTGTGGTAGCATGGGTGAAGATACACAACAAATAAACTTAGAGAATGGAATTTCAATGGCTGTTGTTTAGTAAGTAATAACTTGAACAAATATGCACACTTTGTAGAAAGCTATGCTTAAAAATAAAAATTGTATACTCTAGTGCTCAATACACGATCATCCAGTATTCCAGAGTAAAAGTAACTGGCTAGATTAGTGAGCTAGTCCAAGTGAGTTTAATAATCAGGTTCATGGTGCTGTACTTCTAGGAAGTTGCTAGGGTTTTAGGTTGTATTTCTGCTACTATGATAGCTAATCTAATAGCTGAATTTCTATTACTTCTTTTTTTGTTTGTTTTGCTTTGTTTTTGTTTGGTTATTTTTTGTTTTGTTTTGTTTTTGAGTCCCTGGGTAGGACGTGAAGTTTGTAAACAGCTTGGTTCTAAAATTATTCAAGGCACTCTGTGTATAACTTTTCATTATATTTTAAGGAACATCTCAAAATTCACCATCATTTGAAAACTTAGAATACACATGGTGTCATTTTATAAGTACAATCTCTGAGTGATAGTTTCCACACCTGAAAGAATTGATGTTGTTTACTACAGGTGCTGTTGGCAGTAGATGCTCCCAGAAGACACAAGGTATCAGTACACGTCCTTGCAAGGGAAATGGATTCCTGTAAGTATTGTGCTGAAAATAGTATTTAATCAATTATGGTTTGAGAAAGTCATAGTTAAAGACGACCTTGTTGTATGAAATAGAAACACAACAGGAAAAATCCAGTTCTGGAGAGCATATACCTTGCAGAGAATTATATGTTTTCTTCTATAGATTTTCTTCACAGGGGTTCTTCAAATTTTGTAATTGACATTTGTGGCCAAGTTCTTCAGCCATTCTGAAGTATGTTGATACAAAACAGTATATCATTAAATAGCACTTCTTTACAAAGCAGAATATTTTAATATAAGTATAAAACTCCATGATACTTCTACTGGGAACAAAACAAAAAATCCTAAAACAAAATTAGGATTTACAATTATCAGTAGAATGCTTTCTTTACAAGCAATGGATGTCCGCAACTTACTATTCAAGTACCCTCAAAAAAAAAAAAAAAAAAAAAAAAAAGAGAAACACAGTGGGAACATAAAATGTTATATTTGATATAACTTGAGAATATATAAGTGTAGGTTTTATTTTCAAATAGTCTAGATTAGTTATGCATTGTAGACTGTCATTAAATTTTAGAATTCAAGGAGGAAAAGGTTAGAAGTGTTTCTAGTTAATAAATAAATAAACTGAGAGGAAAAGCTTATGTTGTTTTCTGTGTATTCTTCACCAGTTTATACTTCCAGCATGTAACTGGTTGCAAACCAAAGACATTAAAAGTTTGTCTGTAGAACAGAAGGAAGCAGATGGCTGTGTTCATGTTACGTAACTCCCTCCAGTCTCACAATGATTTTTGTGATACCATGAAATCATATTTCTATAGCTAAGGAAGACTTGCTTCAAAGTATCTTTCCAATTTTCATGGTTAATCATTACTAAATAGAATTGGCTCTAATACTTTGATGGACTAAAGACTCTGAAGTTTTTTAAAATAAAGTAACTATATTGCCAAAAGGTTTTTTATTTGCTTGGAACAGTACCTTCCCAAGCCAAGGGAAGCATGGGAGCAGCCTAACATCTGGTAACTCTTTCAGTGATTATAGCAAGGTATTCTTGCTTCTGTCCATGTATTCCTCTACTCCTAAAACATTTAAACTGTCAAGTGACCTCTTTTCTGCCATGAAAGAGAAATTGGGATTGTGATGGATTTCCTGCAAGTCTAAATGTGCATTCTTGAAAAAAGCACAACAGCCCAAGAGAGTAATGCACTGGAGGCCAAAAATCTTCCGAAGGAGAACCCTGCATGGAGACAGACACACCGTTTCCCCTGGCAGAGGAAAACAACTGGAAGCATAGTGCAGAGATCTGGGATTTTAGGGGGAAGTATTTCCCCCTAAAATCTCTTCTGGGGAAAGCACTTGAACTATGAGGGTAAAAGTTGGGGTTGAAACTTGAGTATGGGGATAGTGCAAGGGAGGCTTGAGGAATTTAAGACCATGTGTTCGTGGGACAGATAGTTTGGATGCAAGAAGTTCAAGGGGGGAGTGGAGTTACGGCATGTATGGGGACAGACAAGGAAGACTTCAGGTTGTTAAAGAGGGTTTGGTACACAGAGTAATCCCCAAGCCTCCAGAAGTATGTCTTACTGGAATATTCTGTCGTTGGAATACCAATGTGCTGTTGTTGCATATACAACTGGCATTTACAGTATTGCATGTACTGCTTGCATTCACAATTTTTACTGAAAAAGAGTTTAAAGTATTCATCGTTCAGTAGATAAGCAGTTTTTATTTCTATATTCTCTGTATTTTTAAGCAAAATGGAAAAAAGGCACTGCCTGAGCACATGTTCTCAAGTCAAGTCATGGATTAATCTGCTTGTATTTCTAAAGGTGGTTGTGGACTATAAAAGCAAAATCTTCAGAAAGTCTTACACTAGAGATACCTGAAAATTATTAACTTGTGCTTTTTATCTATGTAGGTCTTATAACAGAAATCACTTTGCTATTTAAAAGGTACTGGTTGAATTATGTTCCTAAAATAATTTTGATGATGTTAAATAGGCCCTGTTGTTGGAGAGTTTCCATGCCAAAATGATGTGAACCTGGCACCAGCACCACCACTACCACAGGTAAAAAGAAACCACACCAAAAAAATCCCAGGATGTATTTTAAAGTGTAGCATTACAGTTTAAGGTTACAGGGAGGAATTACAAACTTGATATTTATACTGTAGCAAGTTGATGGTTTAGCTCTTCTACACATGCATTGTCATAACTACAGTTTTTTTTTTTTTCTGAGAGTCTCTGCTGTTCTTTGCTCATTCTATTCCGTTGAAATGAAAGCTAATAGAAGTAGGTAATTCTACTGAGTATCTACCCGGTGGAATGAAATACAGATTATTATTGTTATTGTTATTATCTGAAAATACTAGAATGTATCAACTACCAGGAGAAGGATGAATACGCATCAAAAAAATTATGTTCTGTTTAAAAAACAAACAAACAAACAAAACCACACACCCAACTATCTGGTCACTTTCTTAAAGGCTGGAATTTTAATTCCAGCATTCCCATTCCACATTCCCATCAGTGTGTACCCTGTGAATGGAACAATTTGACAAATTCTATCCATATAAGTATTACAGGTTTCATGGTGCTGTTTGTGTGAGTAGATGTGATAACACTGGGCCATTACTGGACTCAAATGAATTTGGTTGAAGAAGGATGGTAATGTTTGTCCCAGTAGGTAATTGTCATTTTGCAATGCAGTAGTAGATCTTATTCAGTGCTTATAAAAGGTGAAATAAGGAAATAATCACCATGGGTGGAAATTTCTATATGAATTAAATGTGATTATATTCACCATTATGACTGAAATATTAAAAAGTGACTTTATTGCAGCAACTACAAATAATAGCTCATTGAATTGCTATTGTTTTTATGGTCTTAACTGTGACTTTCAACAGAGAGCTGGGATGGTTTTAAGTAGAGGTCATAAATGAAAAGACAAGCTCTGCATTTCCTAAAATACCTGCCATTATTAACAATGCAATTACTGCATTATAGCTATTGTTTTAAATTACCCAGAGTAAATATGAAACCATATATTTCATAACTAATAACACTTTATTTGGGAAGATCCTGTAATAATGAACCGTGAATCATTAAAATTGCAGAAAAGAGAACAAGAAAGATGTGTGTATATATGTAGCTGTAGAAAATGTTGTGAGGAATTTCTCAGTCTTCTGATTAAAGATAATTGAGCAGAATTTTTTTGCATACGCTTCTTTGCAGCCAAGTGTGATTGAAAATATGACAGAGTTCAAGCGCAGTCTGCCACTCTTTCCCCTGGTGAAACCACATATCAATTTCATGGCTGCAAAACTGTGAAGAACCCCAGTGGATGAAGAAATGCAAATGATCAGTACTGACATGGTTTCAGGGGACTTCATGATGAACAAAATTATCAAAGACTATTAGAACAAATGGTTTTGTGCATTATGAAAGTCCCAAATTCCTTCTTGGTTCATTTGACATTAGATGTGTGTTAGGGATAGAGAGTATAGAAAAATCAGTTGTGGTCATGTGTCATTTGTATTACAGACAACCTGTTGGAAACCAAAATCAACGGAATCAATAACAATAAAAAAAAAATCTTGTAGATGCAGTATATTTTTGAAATAGAATACCCCTTCAAATTTTAATTTTGGTAAAATTAGCCTCTGGAGCAAACAATTGCTTGAAATACCCTTATTGTTCCTGAAAAACACCATTTAATAGCCCAATAATAATCTTATTGGGGATTGGAGAGGGGTGAGAAGGAGCTGCTTTTTTTGGGATGGGGTCAACAATTTTTCTTAGAAGTTGAAAGTGTCACATTTTTTTGAAGTGTTGAATGAGACTTTTTAAATTGATCCTTAATGCAACCAACATATTTTCTATTTAATTTTTCTGAAAACTGGTGGAAAAAAAAGGGGGGGGGATTTGACAACACAGTAATAAATGAACGAATTGTCTCAATGAGAATAACTGAAGATATGAGCATGATTTTAATCTTTCTATACAAATTTGGGGACGTTTTATATTCAAAGTTGTGAAATGCTGGAAACACTTTAATAGTGCAACTTTTTTTAACAAAAGTGTTGTCCTAGTCTCGGTACTGTCAACATCCTGTTTAATTCTTTAGTGTTATTCTGAATTGTTTCCATATGGTATATGAAATACTTCGTTGTCATTTTTTTGTTTTCAGTTGCACATAGACTACATGAGTTCTCTGTCAGTATGTTTTGCCTTACTTGTTATACTAGGTCTCAGTCCAGCAAAGTATTACTAATGCAAATAACTTTAAGCATGCATTAATCAGTTCTTGACTCAAGAACAGATGAATATCAAAGATAGACCCTGTAATGAACCAGATGCCTCGCTTTTATGATACATCTGTGTGAGCCCTTTTTGCCCTTTCAAAAAGGCATTGAAGAGCACGGTGCTGACTTAACTTAAAAACATAAAACGTTTAACTTAACTTAAAAACATAAAAGTATGGTGTTAGCAGTACTGCTGCACCACAGAGTGTGGTTCAGGTTACATCACAAAATGTTCCTTCCTACTTTAAAGAAGGCTGTGCAAAACCCAGAAGGATCAAGAATTATGCTGAGATTGTTGTATATATACCCCATAACTTAGTGAAATGTCAAAACAATACATAGTGTCTAATCTTCACCAAGTCTACTGAATTGCAGAGTGGTCTGCCACTTGAGACAGCGTATCAGGATAAACTCCCCAAATTGAAAAAGATAAGGTAGCATTTTGCTAAGTTCTCTAACATGTTTAATGCATAAAATTGATTGTAGCTATTCAGATAGGGTGGAGTGTGCAAAGCACTGAAGACAGAAAATCTGCTCATATAAACCCTTGCTGTTGGGTGTTACTGAGAGTTGCTTCCTATTAGGAGTACCTAAAACTAAGGCACTGATGTGAAATGTATGTCATGTATGTGTGCATCAGAACCTGGTGTGTTCAGTAGGGGTGTTCTTGTCACCAAGTTAATGTTCGTATTAACACTGGCTCTGGAGGCAGTTAAATGCATGCTTGCCAGGATAAAGGCTTCAAGTTGTGTTTATTTGAGTCTGCATTAACTGAGTAAATGCAGTGTATTTAAGTTGTTTCAAAGGTCGACAGGACATATTTCAACATCCCTTTAATAAATCCGATGATAGTTTGTGATGTAACCTGTTGCCAGGAATGTCTGCTAACAAGGATTTTTTGTAGCCTGAGGGGAAAAAAATCAGACATGGATATCAGCAAAAATAGTACAGGTGTCTTTGTTCACCATGTTTTTCATGGCTCCTTCATGTAAAATGGACTTTTTAACCCTCCTGCGTTTTGCTTTTGTTTATAGTTTTCTCTTAGTAAAAATATTTGTATTATATATATTAAAAGTTTTGACAACATATTATTAAAAAATATATATATTTTGGGATTTAGTGGTATTTAAACAGACCGCTCTTACGGTAAATAAAATCAAATTGCTTCTATCGAGTGTAAAAAAAAAATAAAATATATATATTCATGGAAGTACTATGAACTCTAATTTTAACAAATTCTATAAATAAATTGGAATGGCAGTATATTTATCACAAACAACAAATCATGTTTTTCAGAGGAAAAAACGTAAAATTGTAAAGTTCTGTGACTGGATGTGGAAGCACATGTGGTTTTCCAAAAACTTTTAATTGCTTTTAAGTGTTCTCCAGCATTTTACAGTTTCTGAGTTTGATATAGCAGTAAATTTTGATAAACTCAGGCATACTAATGGATTCATTTTAATGGATCCAAAGCTGCAGTGTCTACAAGCAATAAAAAACTACCTAGAATACACTGTAATTCAATTTTAGTGCTTGTTAATTAGTTTATGTAAGAAACCATAAGTTATTATTACATAACTGTAATTTTTGCAAGTGCTATTTTAAGCAGTTGATGTGGAATTGGGTGCATGTGACACAGCCAGTATGACAGAGTTCTAGCGTTATTCTGTTTACAATAAACAATCTGAATTTAATGTTTGGAGTTATTAATTTGTTTCATTTTAATATATTGTTTTCATAGTGGTAATGTTACATCTGTCAGTCTTGCATGTGTTTTTTACTACATATTAATAGTGATTTTCTGTGATGCAGTTCTTGGACTGGTTAGGCAGAATAGCCTTGGTGGAGAAGTGTTCCTGTTCACTTCCAGGGAGCTTTGAGGGACTTCCCATGTGTCATTCCACACTCTTTAGGTAGATCACCTATGCTGCTCTCTGAGTGTATTAAAACTTTATATTATAAAGGTAGAAATATTTGCGCAAGACAGGATTTTAATAATCAGATTTGAAATTGTAAATTCAGAGCATTGCTGCAGACACACTTAATTTTGGCTGGTGCAGCTTTACACTAGTGTTGCTTTTGAGAAATTAAACTCTCTGATCATTTTGTTCTATGCACACCACAGGATTGCTTTCAGAAAGCTTAGAAAGAAGTGTGATTGTTAGAGCAGTAAATAATCTGAATTGTGACAGCATAAAAATACAAGTCAGCATGCCCTTCTGCTGTTCTGATGGGGCTCCTTAACCTAACGTCTGATAACTAGCAGGGTAAAGAGGTTTTGTCCTCAGCCTTGGGAAGAGTGAATGGCAATCTCAGCTGAGGAATAAAATGCTTTCAGCCCATCCAAAAAATTACTTAGACCCAAATATTAGGATTCTCCACTCTTATTGTCAGGAATTTGTATGAATCTTGAATCATGGGCTCTTTTATCTTTTCAAAAACTAAAAAACAACAAAAGAACTGTCCAGATATACCTAGACCATCACTTTTAGCCATAATAAATCATTTTTTCAGACTGTTGTTTTAAGTGGGTGGGTATGAAGAGCCCCTATTGATAATGTGTTCATTATATCATTCAAGAGTGTAACCATAATGTATGGAGAAACCATTGCATACCTTCTTAATTTCATTTATTATTTTCTAGCTTTTGTTTTAACACAAGATCAGAATTCTAGCCCATCCTCTCCCTACTGTATAACTGGTTAGTATGCTTTTGCTGTATCTCCACTGTAAAGTAAAAAATCTTTATCTTCTATGCCTTTCTTCATATGTGTTTCCATGTTTTTTCAATATTTGACCATTGAACTGATATTGTTGACTAAAATGATGCTTGGATCCTTTCCTTGAGCTGATGGCTAATTTGATATTCAAATTCAACTCTGAAATACTTTATTTCTAATTTTTTTTCTTCTGATTTTCATTTTTGTTAATATTATTGCTGCAAGCTACACAATACAGGCCACCTCTGAACTATTTTAAAGGGAGAAGAGCTCAGAGACTCGGGCACCTTTCTTACCTTTCATATAATTTAAAAAGAAGCCTCGCATATGTAGATTGTGCTGAAGCATTTCAGAGTCTACTTACTATTCAAAAAATGTAAGTTGTAGTGTAGTGCTGTTGGTGGAATATAATGTCAATAGGATCTGAAACCCAAATTGTGAATCAATAGAAGCAAGAGTGTTTAAGGCCAAAGACCCAGTGGAATGGGAATGGTTATAATTAAACCGACTTAATTGAGCTCAAGCATCTAAACAGAATTTAAGGTTTAAAATACTTATCGCTGCTTAAATTAATATTTTTAAGCCACCCTATTGCCGTTAACTGTTTCTACAATTGAAACGTTATGGGATGTAGGCACCACCGTGCTGCACATTTGCTGCTGTTAACTTTCAGGACGCCCTCTTTTATGATGCAATGCAAAATTCTGAATTGGATTTTTGGACTGTTGATGCAATGCATGGGGAGAGAGATGCACGCCTCTAGGTGGACCCCAGGTTACTGTTGCCTTGAGCAAGGACCTGACGGGACTAGTTAGGGGGAAACTCCTGTGGGAGGGATCCAAGTTGCCATGCTCACCACCTTACTGTGTGTTAGACATGCCTCCTTCTCCTTCAGATTTCCATTGCAGCTTTTCACTGCCTGCTCAGCTTCTCTTTGAAGAAGGGGAGCAAAGAACTGTACTTTTCTAGTGGCCACCACTGTATGTAATGTAGTACATTACAGATAAGTAAACTTTTTACTGGAGCAGCAGCTGGAACTCAGGACTTCCACCCCTCCCCTTTACCTGCACGCAGAAGTGGGCATCCCATGGTACCTGTGGGCTCATGCATGCACATGTTCTCACTCTACAAAGTTAGAACTGTTTCAACAGAAGGGAATAAGGGGGTTCCCAGCCTGCACTAGCCTCCTGGGAGGTGAGAAAAATTGACGTTTCTAAGGCTGAGTCATCTCAGGGCATGTACAAAAATGGTATTCTGGGAAATCTGAGACAGAAAATTTGGGTGTGCGCAGTTGTTAGTGACACCTGAATGTGGGCACTGAAGATGGAAATGTTGGATGTGATGCCTTTTAGTGGACACAGCTCATAAGTGTGTTGTATAGCTATTAAAGTGATGCATTTGACAAGATAGTGTTGGAGCTGATTTTAAACGTCAGAAACATATGAGCAGTAGTGCTCAAAAATGGCTCACTTGGTATTTCCAGACTTTCCAAATTGCTCTAGAATGTAGTAATTCTAGCAGGACAGGTTTTGACCCAAAGGTTGAGCACCAGGATTTGACAGGTTTTGATTTGTGCATGTGTGTAAAAGCAAGGGAGGTTCATGGTAGGTTAGTGCCTGTCAGTGCCCTGGAGCCAGTAAGCTGTCAAATAGTTCAGTGTTTTCCCATCTCTTATCATTTTGTCATTCCAGTAACTTTAAGCCTCCTCGTATTTGTGTTCCTAGCGTTCTGCAGTACTGGAAAGAAGGCATTTCTTATGAATGCTTACTGTGAAAGTTCTGTGTTTCAGCTGAAATATCACCATCATTCACTGATACCTATCTGGTAAGGGTGAAACTTCAGGAATCTGAAAACATCACTGTAGATGATTCCCCAGTTCACAGATTTGATTGATATTTCCAGATGAAATTGTCTGCAGCATTAAATATATTTTAGAAACACAGGAATCTGTACTTATAACTGGATCTAGCATCTCCACAAGCTGAGTGTGTAGTTCCTTGTGTCATCTCCAAAGGCAGAGAGATCTGCTGTTCATCGTGCTTTGTCAGGTCTCTGACCAGGGTGAGTTGATCAGGTTATTCCCATTGTCATATCAGCCAAAAGCATCATCAGTGTCCCTTTAGCACTGGCATCCACTGGTTGTGGGCTGCATGCATATTCTAGGCTATTTTTCATTATGAGAATGCATCTTCTATTCATGGCAAGCTTTTATCCATAAGATAAAAAGACAAAGCTGGCATCTGCAGGATGTCTCCGCCTGGAGAGCCACGCTGGCCTGCTATTGAAGCTCAGCGAAGTGGGAGATTTAACCAAGTCAAACTAGTTCAGAAATAAATTGAAAACAGGTGCTACTCAACCACAACAGGAGACTGATCTGCTGTTGTATGCACAACGTGATTTTAGTACTGTGAGCAATCTAATAAAAATGTACCTTATATGCAGCCTTTTCCTGGAAGTAGGCATAACTGAGTGGAATACTTTGTATACTTGGTGTAACTTGAAGAATGCATATACAAAGATTGCTTGTAGTTTTGATTTTCTACTTGAATTTAAATGTCAATAATCATTAGTTTAAAGATGTTTATGAATGTTAAAATATGGAAGATTGTATTAAGCTCAGTGTATACAAAATGTAAGAGTGAGCTTGGGTGCTTTCCCGCACTGTGAGCCACTTAATAAAAATAATGTTGAAATGGAAGATATCGCATATAAGTTGAAAGCAGCTAGTTGCATGCCATTTTGCTTTTCGTGTCTAATAGTCATGTCTATCTGTTATGTCACTGTGTGTAATTATAAATTCATGTAAAAAGGAGTTGTGCTCTGTCTGTGAACTACCAATGCACAAGTGTGGCACTGTATAGCTAATAATTTTTATTTGGCTTTTTAAATGTTGAGTTGAATAATTAAGAGTCAATGCAGGACCTTTTTTCAGGACAACTTGCAGTGTCTGAACAGCCTAAGTTTCTTTGAGCTTTGAAAGCAACAGAATAATAGGTAGCAGAATCTCTGATTAAATTTATTAACTCTACATTGTCTACCAAACAGATAAAACAAACAAAAAACAAGTTCAGTTAACTTGGAAATTAGAGATTAAACCCGAAATATATACTCAAGCTGACCTGACAACTGAGGTAAATGTGATGCCCTGTAGCATGTTTAAGAGTCCTAAATTATAAAATATATATGTGTATATATATATATATATATATTACAATGGTTTTGGCATAAACTCTGACTAGCCATTTGAAGTAGTCTTAAATACTGTTTGGAAAGCTTAACTGTCCTGGAATTCTTTTTGACATTCATTTTTTTCTTTAATTTGAGATCTAGATTACCAGTCTTGTATAGAAAGGGCATTAAATAGTCCTTAATTTCATACTTTAATTTAGCAATGAAGTTACAGAGCTCTTTTGTGACAGATCAGTTAAAAGATGCCAGAGGAGCTGCCCTGCTATTCTCCAGGAATACATGCACCATGAAGATCCCAAGATAATGTTTACTTAAATTTGTTAAAATCTTTATTAGTTACGTTTGGAGTGTTACTATTCCAACACTTTCTCTTAGGCTAAAGTAAATAATATGCTGTGTTAAAAGATGTAATATGTCTGATAGTCCAGTAGCTCAGGAAGAGGTAATTGTTCAAAAAATGAACTGCAACATAAAATCAAAACTGGGTGTAGATTTATATTTATGATTAAGACTGTAAGGGATAGTGCAGTCAGTATGCTTAAAATGTCTTGCATATTCTGTTGGTAATTTCTGGTTCATTGAACGTGCTGAGATGCCCTCATACACAATACCAGAAATATACTGGCACCAATGTGCACAGTTCTGACAGACTGGGACTGTGGGAGAGAGATTGCACAATTAGGAGACATAATGAGAATGAATAGCACTGCAGTATCCACAGGCCAACAGCAGCTCTTTGATATAAAGAGCTGCATTTGTAATGTTTCTTCTTGGTTCTGAAAGCAGGTGAATGGCAGAAGGTATCAGGATGGAGACTGGTCCCATCTTTGTTGGCCCTTTGCAATCTCAGATGCATCTGGCAGATACTAAAGTTCTGTTCCTGAGCAGCAGCTGCATCAAAGCAAGTCTCCTTAGTCCACAGGTTGTTCGTTTTGTGTGACTTAACGTTAAATGTTACTACCTTTTGCTTGTTAGAAAGGAAGTTCAATTATATCTCACATTTTACAGTATTTATAATGCGCTAATAAGTGCCATTTCCAACTAGATACCAGTGCCCTCAGATAAAAGGTATATGTGTATGTATTTGAAAATTACATGTTACATCTACACCTGAATCTTTGGGCTGAACAAGCAAAGTGAATGGCTTGGTTTATTTATGGACACGCAGATGATGAAAGATGATAATTTTTATTTTTTGGTTCCTTGCTGAGTCTTTAGAATTGGCACTTACCAAAATATATTTAGCCTGGAAAGCAAAGTAGAAGTGATATAAATGACAGTAAATATTGAACTCCATAGTGCTATCTTTACAGAAATTAAGAGTAGGATTGTAAGTTTAATTTGCAGAGGAATGTCCAGATTCATGATGTAGTCATTGCCTATTAAATAATTACTTCCTACTGTTTGACCAGGTTGGGGATAAAGGAAGACCAGGAGAGGAAAAATTCATTTTTTAAGTTTTAACCATCTCAAAGTTTAAAGAAAATTTGCTATGCAAGAGAAGAAATCAAATTTAATAGCTTAATTTATAGAAAGTGTCAAGGGTTTTAAACAGCTACATTGTATTTCCAATGTGAAGTTTAATTTTCCTTGCTTGGAAGAGCGTGTAGTTCTGAATACAAATATCAGTGTAAAAAGATTCACCATGAAACAAGGAGCTTTCGTGGTATCTTTTCTTCACACTGTAATTGAAATTCTTGGTGCTATACAATACAACATTTGCTGTTACTCCCTATAATAATGTGAAGAGTTGTGCATCTCATCTTTATGCATGAAAACGATTCTCTTCATTTGGATGAGGAAAATCATATTTGTTTGACTCTTAGGGATAAAAACGTAGAGAACTCCAACTGCTTAATCTGAAAAAAATAAATCACTTTTAAATCTCAAAAATCGTCCAGATGTGTTTTTATAAGTAGCAAGACTGCATGAAATCTTTTATCTTCACAAGTTCCGCATCTTGTTTTGTGTTGCGTCCTAAACTGATTGCTTTTGTCTTATCTGTCCTAACGTTCAACTACATAAGCAATTAGTTTCATAAAAATGTAAAATATTAAATAAAAATACTGTTTGTTGAAACGTATTGTTACATATAGCTACTCCCGCTTTTCATGAATATATTTCTTTATTTCTGATTTGGCACGCAAGGTGGGGTTATGGCTGGGATTTTGATTGTAGACTCCCTCTGTGGAATACGGTGAGGTGCAGTGGCTGAAGTGGCAGCTTCCATGTTGGAGCTTCAGCTTCTCTGGGTGGGGTCAGGGGCGTATTTTGTGTAGAACTCCCAAGAGTAAGAAAATCTGAATCACTGAATAGACAAATTATAGAAAATAAAATAATTGTCGGCTGATATCAGCTTCTTGAAATATTTCATATTTTCTTGGATCCCTTAAACGAGCACTTTGGTGCATGCTTTGTCACTTTAGTTAATCCAGGCACTGCTTTTTGTAAGGTTGATTGGCAGCAGATCCACTGTCTCAGATTTTATGTGCACAAGGTGCCGTTTTTAAAGCAGAACACTATGCCCACGTGCGGGTGCACAGGTTCAGCAAAGCCCCGGTGGCCGGGGAATGCTGCAGCGGCCGAGGGAAGGAAGGGCTGGGCCAGGGCAGCTCCGGCGGGAACAGCGGCGCTGGCCGGGCTGGTGCCAGGCAGCGGCGGCCCCGGGCCCCCTCCTCTCCGCCGCCCTCCCGCGGACGGGCCCAGGCCGGCGGCGCCGCCTCAGGCCCCGCAGCGATCGCCGCGGCCGCGGTGAGGCGCTACCGAGAGCGACAACCCGCGGGGAGCTCCGTGAGTCGGGGAGCGGGGCCCGGCCGGCGGCCGGCAGCGGAGGGGGTTCGCTGAGGGAAAGCCGATGAGGAAATGGCGGGCGCGGGGGGCCAGGGGCCGGCGCCCGCCCTGTGGCCGCGGGGCGAGATGGCGGCGGAAGATGCCGTGGCCTCGCTTTCCTCGCACCGTCGCAGCCCGCATTTCTGAGGGAAACGGTGAGATACCGGCGCTGTCACAGGGCAGCCCGTGAAAACAGCCGTCGTTCTGCCCTGGGAGCGAGGCTCCAAGAGAGCGGGGTGCAGGGGGGCTGTGCGCGGTCGCCTAAGGCACGGAGCCGTGCCTGGAGGGAGTTGTGAGGCCGCCAATTTCTGGTGGGTTTGACGTAACGGGGCTCTTCGCGATATGCTGCTGATGGCATGGATGTCAGGGTGTAATCGCCAAGTGTTCAAGCTCCAAAAAAAAAAAAAAAGAAAAAAGAAAAAAGAAACCGAAGGAAAGCAGAGTGCAGCTTCCCTGCTGTGCTCCGTTGCTGATCAGGACCCGCATTATCTCGTGAGCGGGAGCCATGAGGTCATCACACGCCGTGCGTGTGCCCGTGCGATAAGCCCCTATCAGTGGCATTTGCAGGTGCTGAGGAGCTGCAGCGCGTGCTCTGCTCCAGCCTCACAGTGACAGGCCTCCCCGTCCCCTTCCCAACCATCTCTTCTGTTTCTGGCTCCCCATCCTTCTCCCGTCCATCTGCCCTGGCCATTCTCAGTCCTCACCTCCTCACCCATTTGTCACCCGCCTCCTTCAGCTGCCTGTGATCCCCTGCTCCCTGCTCCAGCCTTTCTGTTGCTCGTGGGCACTGTGGAACAGCTTAATGCCCACAATCGCGCTCCTACACAGTTTTCTTAACCACCCCTCACTCCCCAAACAGGCTCCTTGTCCACTACCTGTGCTGCTGAATCTGTATTTTATCTTGTGCCTTTGAATAAGACAGGCAAAGCAGGGGGAATCTTGCTGCTTTCAAGTCCAGCTATACAAGACTACAAGTAGAGTATAAAGTGCTAAGAAAAGAACCATTTCTCCTCTTAATGTGCCCTTTACAGAAAGAAAGAACGAAAAAAAAAAACAAAAAACACAACACACACACAAACAGCCTCGGGACATTTCACCTCAGTTTCAGCAATCTGAAGAAGATTCAAACTTCAAATTGTCAAGGAATTTGGGTAGAATTTCATAAAACTCACAAAAGCCACCACCTCAGCCACCAACCTGAAGCCCTCCCTACTACCTAATTTTCAATTTGCTGCTTCAAACGTTGAGTCTGTCAGAGACCTGCTGCAATTCCTCATTAAACAGCTAAACCATCACAGAAAAAATCTCCCATAGTTATTCACCACAGGCCACATAGTCAGCGTGCCAGCATGGTGTTTAAAGTTTGACAAGCATCTTAGCAATTAGAAACATAGTCTTATTAAAGGAAATGTCAGGCAAGCTGGTGGTGGTGGCAGCCTCCATGTGTCGTGTGTCGGGTGGGAGTGGAGGAGGAACCTTTCCTCACAGAGCTCTGTAACGTAAGGCCAACTTAACCCTGAACAGAAAGGATCCTGCACAGTCACCTGCCAAGTCTGTGCTACTGAGTGACTCTTTTATTTAATCTTCCTAGTCTGGGAGAACTGTGTGTGTGCGCCTCCAATGCCTAGCTATGCCCCTGTTCCTTGTGGGGGTACAGGCATATGAATGCTGGGGAAGGAGAGGGGCAGTGTGAGCCTTCACCACAGAGCACAAGAGGAAAAACTACCTTGGCAGTAATATGTAACTCACATTAGCTGCATACTTTGCACCATGAATAAAGAATGGAATTACACAGCAGTATGCGAATGTCTGCCCTTTTGTCTTTGTCTGCCATGCGGTGGGAGCTTCCTTTTCCCAAGTCACACACACCGCCAGGCGTGTGTCCCTGAGCTGCACCTGGCTCCGGTGGCCCTCTAATACAGCTGCCTGGAGGAGATGCCTGGTTTGCACAGGGCAAGGATAAACTGCTTATACCGTTGTCGGTAATTCTGTCACAGAGAGCAAAAGCTCATATGACCGGTTTAACTCAAAGGCAATGTGGTGG